CACCGACATTTTAATTCAGGTAAAGCCATGGGTTAAGACAAGTCTTGCTCCAGGTTCTGGGGTTGTCACCAAATATTTGGATCAAAGGTCGGTTGGAGTCCATTATATTTCCCTTCTAGATACTTCATCCGATCTTAACTCAACTTTTGCCTTCTCTGCAGTGGGCTTCAAGAGTACCTGGACAAGCAAGGATTTCAAATTTTCGGCTATGGTTGCACTACATTCATCGGGAACTCTGGCAACCTTAAAAAGTCGGTTGAATCTGCTATTAAAAATAATGGTAACAGTGTTATTTTGTTTATGAACTTTCATTGAAATTGCAAGCAGCATTTTATTTAAGAGTTTGCACTGTATTCCCTCGTCTCTGGAATCTCCTTGATCCATATTTCACTTTTAGTCACCAGTAACCTCAACAAATTGTGTTTTCCCAGAGATCAATAAGTGCGCTTTGAAACTCACCTTTGCTTGCTTTTTTCCCTGCTTCCTGTCACAGATGTTGTAGTTGCTTCTGTGCTTTCTGGGAACCAAAACTTTGAAGGACGTGTTCATCCACTAACAAGAGCAAACTATCTTGCATCACCGCCATTAGTTGTTGCTTATGCTCTTGCTGGAACGGTTAGTACTTTTTGATCTTTTCAATCATTGACTCCGGGGATCTCTGTTGTGTAGATGTTTGTGTTTATGTGTTTTGGATATCCTTAATTAGGGTGGTATGGATCATATCACTACATTGACAACATATATACTTGAGTGATATAGATTCTCTTACTAGCCTCACTGAATGCTATCTGCCTTCTTTAGTTTTCATGTGGTTGTTTCTTAACATCAAACTTTTTTAAATACAGGTTGACATTGACTTTGAGAAAGAACCGATAGGAACCGGAAGAGATGACAAAAGTGTGTACTTGAGGGACATATGGCCAACCAATGAGGAAATTGCTCAGGTACATTGACCACATGCTAGGAGGATGAGTCATTTACAGTTATGTCTCTGACACTTTAAACGTTCCTTGTCAATTTTCCTGATACTTTGTGCATTAGGTTGTTCAAAGTAACGTATTATCAGACATGTTCAAGAGCACGTACAAGACAATAACAGAGGGAAATCCCCTGTGGAATGAACTTCCTGCAACGAGTTCGACGTTATATTCTTGGGATTCAAACTCTACGTATATCCATGAAACTTCAAGAATATGACCGCAAATCCACCTGGTCCACGTGAAGTGAAAGATGCTTACTGCTTACTGAACTTTGGAGATAGCATAACAACAGACCACATCTCTCCAGCGGGGGATATTCAAAAAGATAGTCCTGCTGCAAAGTTTCTCATAGACAATGGTGTGAGCCAAGAGGACTTCAACTCATATGGAAGTCGAAGGGGCAACGATGAGGTGATGGCTCGTGGTACCTTTGCAAGCATCCGTATAGTTAACAAGCTCGCGGACGGAGAAGTTGGTCCCAAGACTGTTCACATTCCGACTGGGGAGAAACTTACTGTTTTTGATGCAGCAAGTGTAAGTAGAATCGTCACACAGCGTCATTAAATGTTCAACTATACCCTTACCTAAGTGCTTAACTGTTCACCAAAGGCTTTACTTTCAGAGATACAAGACCGCTGGACAGGATACGGTCATCCTGGCTGGTGCTGAATATGGAAGTGGTAGCTCTCGGGATTGGGCTGCAAAGGGTCCCTTGCTTTTGGTAAGTTCACTTTAATTACAACGGTTATCAGATTATGATTATATCATGTGTATCGTAACTGAGGTAACCACAAATTAGGGAGTGAAAGCTGTAACTGCCAAGAGCTTTGAGAGAATCCACCGCAGTAACTTGGCTGGAATGGGGATCATTCCCCTGTGTTTCAAGGCCGGGGAGGACGCAGATACCCTTGGACTTACTGGTCATGAACGCTATACAGTCCACCTTCCTACCAAAGTCAGTGACATTAGACCCGGTCAAGACGTCACTGTAACCACTGACACTGGCAAATCCTTTGTTTGCACTCTACGGTTTGATACAGAGGTAAACTATGTAGCTAACAAAATTATAATCTCGATCTCTGAAATCAAATTTCAATTTGTCTGAGACTTGGTTTAAATGGAAAATGTGCGCAGGTGGAACTGGCATATTATGACCACGGCGGCATTCTTCCCTACGTCATTCGGAGTTTGAGCACCAAGTGATCAATTTGTTTCTCGCTTTTTGTCTTCTTCGTCCTTTAAAGGGTTGAAATAGTTACAAATAAAACAAGTTTTGTGAGCATCTTTATCCTTTCAGGTTACACTGAACCTTTTTCAGCAAGAGTTGTTAATCAGGAAATGCCAAGAGACGCAGCTCATTTTTCTATATCATCAATTCGTTTTGTACCACTTTAATTGTAGCACTAACAAAACATCTGCAAATTAGAGTCAAGAAACAGATACAAAGCAGCCACTCTCTCTATTCGCTTTTTTTGCTTCCCACAAAACGATGTGAAATGAATTTACATAATAACAGTAGGAAAGAGGCATGCATGCTTGGAATATCCACTGATCTTGTGCAAAGAATTCTCATTCCTCAGTAAATGATTTAACATAACCACAGTAGAGAAATGCATGCTTGGAACATCCACTGATCTTGTGCAAAGATTCCTCATTCCTTAGAAAACTAACTCTTGTGCAAAGATCTGGTGGCCTTTGATGCAAAAACTATTGCTTTGGCTTCGTCACTGGACATCATCCAATTTCTCTCAGCACGACGTTGATGTTGCCTTGCATTCTTTGCTCGTTTAGGAGCCAATCGTGCATCTCTCTCCACAAACGCTAGTCTGAACTTCTCTGCTATTGGCAGCTCATTGGAGTTCAAGGATAATGCGGCGGATGTGGGATTCTGCACAAATCCTCTAACAACCCACGTCTCAGGATCAATATATTTCACAAATGGCTCATCCAATGCAAGTGAGACTGTAAGTGAGAAGTGAGGGCTTGGGATTTACCACTATTCTTGGGCACTCCGTGTTAGCATCTCCAATGAACCCTTATTAATTCGTGGCTACAACAACAGTAAATTAAATCTAGAAAGTGAGAAGAAACTCTTGCACCAAAGAAAACAAACACTGAATGGCTAGAGAAGCAGATTGAAAAAGAATTGATCAAGACTCGAAAGTAAATTTTTCCTATTCACAGGTAACTTATTAGTCAGAGGGACAATACGTACCTAAACAAGCCAACGCAATGATTGACCACCATGACCAATCTCTGTAGTGTCTAGTTCTTCCCATGTTTCTCCTTCAACATTACTCAGGTTTGGCTTAAACATACTCAAAGATCTGCGTGCCTTGGACTCACTACTTCGGCATCCTCTGCAATATTAATGTTATCCTCATTGCCTGTTTCAAAAAGTTTGTTAGCCCTAGTCAAACCCACATACTATGGGTTCATTTCTATCTCACTTTACCCATAAATCACTTAATGAATGAATAAACAAACAAGCCACCCCAACAAAAACACATTAGACGCCACTTTTCTGCACTTTGCTGGATGGAAAAATTAAAATTTTACCCGCATCTAAGAGTCTCCAACGATCGACAGTGTTGTACAAGCTCTGAGACGCCCATATATGTGATTTTGTTGCACCGGCTGCATAACAAATCAAAGCAACCATATGATACTGCAGTGCAAACAAACACACACTTATCCAACATGCAAAAGCTCCTAGCTAAAGAACCAGCAAGACCATACGAAAATCCACTGAAACTCAACACAATCAGGATTGGGTTTGGTATATTTGTTCTTCCCATCTCAAAGGAACCAAATTGTACAGAAAATTCGGTCAAAGGACAGATATCAGAGCCTAAAACAATTAAGAAAGCATGACATGAGGTACGAGCACAGAGATCAGGACACAGACACATAGGTCAACTTATTTCTTAGTATAAAATAATACCTAATGTCCACAGCTCGGAGGGATTTGCAAATTTCCGCCGCTTTAGCCAAGCCGGAATTCGAAACATCTGAACCGCTAACGTCTAGAATTTCCCAAGAACTGTCAGCCAAAGAGATAATCAAATCATCATCCAGTAGCTTTCTTCTTTTAGCAATGGCTGCAATAGACATCTGTGGCACATGAATACGCCTTCGATTTAGCAAGTGTATACATTACCAAACCAACTAAAAAGACTTGGACATAGCCAATAAAGCTTGAAGGAAGAAAACACTAACTAAGCTTGATCGCGGCAGGAAATATGACAGAGATATCAGCTAAACAAGGAATGATTTCCTCCAAATGCCTCCCAACATCCCAAGACATAAGCTGACGAGAGATGGTGGTCCTGGTTTTAATGCAGAAATTCCTGTCGTTGAAGCAGAACCAGCAGAAACATGTCAGAATCAAACTCCTAAACCTCACCGAGCATACAACCATGGTTGTAAACACTTTCTCCAACCGACGTTATTGATTGATAGCAATTTTTCAACCGCCCCATAAATGCTACCAATCAGATCCAATCTTAGAAAGTTCTCTCGAGTCTCTTCGAAAACTCTTATCCGTTGTTGCTGTTATATATTTTCGGATGAATAACTTCCGTTTATCGGATTTGTAACTCCAACTTGTTCGGTTCTAGTTTTTTTTAAAGTTTTTTTAGACTTCTCCTTTTGCATGTTTTGATCGACTCTTCGATTGATTTTGAAGTAGTCAAATTCCGAGAGATCTGTCGAGCTCTTGTCTCACCAGCGCTTGTTATCTCTTTCACGAAGTGTAAATCCCTGCTCTCTCTAGATGGTTAAATCGAGCGGTGGTTATTTCAGGGAGGTTTTAACAAGATGATTCGGTCAAATTTGGAGAGGAGTATGAAGATCTAGAGTTCTCGCCGTGTTCTGGTGGCTCTCTGGAGAATATTCCGGCTTCGGTTCACTGAAGTTTCTTTCCGGTGGATCAAGCCTTTGCTCTTCTTGATCTCTTCTGGCGAATCTGCAAAAGGAATCCCAGTGCATCATAGCATAACTTGAGGAGTCTTGGCGGAGATGACAAAGTTCTTTGTCTTGCTTAATCGGTGGTGGAAGCTCACGGTGGTGATGACCACGTGGGATTTCTTGTCTCTGTTTAGCTACACGTGTCTTGTAATTTATGCTTATCTTTATAATTACGTGTAATTCCGTTGGGCTTAATGTTGGGCCAAGAATGTACCATTTGCCCTTTGGGTTTTAATGACACGAAAGTATGTCGACAAAAAAATAATGTTTATAATTTGACCCGTCTTAATTGAGTCTCGTTACATTATTAGCAAAGTAAAATTTGGCAACACATCATTGCCTTTCAGCAAGTCTTGTTACATTATTGAGATCACTGATGACCAATATGGATCTATCATCTATAATAACTTTTCCAACTTATGTATAATGTTTTCACATTCTACAATAGTTTCTCCACAATTTAATTCGATAAACCAATGAATCGAAAACCAATAGAATGCCAAAACCGAACAAAAAACCCAAAATCGAAAGGAAAAATGAAAGTGAACTAAACCAGAACGCCTTTTTATAAAAACCCTTATTAGATTTTAGACGCAAAGAGTAAAGGTATGAACAAAAAACAAGGACTATTAGCTCAGTTGTGCCACCTTATTAAAGAATTCTCACAAAACTCTCGTCAAGAGTTGAAGAGCAATCTTAGAGCACGTCCATCGGGGGATTAACCCAGGATTATGGCTCAAAATCATATGCACAATCCATTTAAAAAAAAAGAAAAATGAGCATTTTTTCGTGATACCGTCTCTTCTGGACGATGCTGAAGATACGGTATCACAGCCACGTGTTGGGCTGTGATTCGTCAAGAATGTGGGGACAAATTTTTTTGTTTGCTCTTCGTTTATTTCATTTTCTTTCAATCCACACTCTTTTCTCCTCGTTTGCGAAGTCTACTCCGACGCCTTATCAGGTTCCACCGCCGGTATCGGCTGCGTCGGAGAGATCGTGAAGCACGAGCGGCTCATCAACGATCGCTTCTTCATAATCTGTAAAGGCCAGGAGCAATTCTGCATCACGGATCTCGTTCGTACGAAGCCCTACCTCGTCGCGAAGGTGACGTGGCTGGAGGATCGACCGTCCGGTGAGGAGAATCTGGACGAATTGGCCAACGAGATTGAGGTTCTGATGAAGGAAGTGATCCGATTTTCGAACAGATTGAATGGGAAACTAGAGAAAGAGGCGCAGGATCTGAGGAAAAATCAGTTTCCGACTCCGTTCTCGTTCTTCGTCGGAAGCACGTTGGAAGGAGCTCCAATGGAGCAGCAAGCGCTGATGGAGCTTGAGGACACGGAGGCTAGGTTAAAGAGAGAGAGGGAGACGCTGAGGAATACACTCAATTACTTGACCGCAGCTTCTGCAGTGAAAGATGTCTTCTCATCTCCGTAGTAATATTGGTACCTGGCTTCTGCAGGGAGGTATATATCAATTAAAAGATTCCATGGGAAGGAGGAGAGTTCCAAGTTGATCCATCAATGGATTATATGTGTTTGTAGAACTTGATGCTGCTTTATTTGAAAGTAAATTGGATTGTAGGAACATATTTTCTGATGATGGAATAACAACACTTGATGAAACGGATTTAACAAAAGGCATGACTTTACTCTCTCTACCTCTCTCACAAACACACACATACGCATACATACAAATTTAGGCTCTGTGTATCAAACTGTTTTGAGATACATTGCTTTTGTGTGTGTTCAGGAAATGGCCAGGTATGTCCGGGGAGAAGTTGGTTCTCTTTCTTTAACATGTGCATTACTAACCTCCCATTATCTTATAATGCTTTATTAGCTGCAACATACAAATAATTTTGCTTGTATAGTTTTGCAGTTCAAATAGATATGCATTTCCTATAATGTTCTGTTTTGTGATGCACGGATAAAGAGCCCATATTCTCTGGAAATTTCTCCTTCACTCCATTGGAGAACAATGCCCTTGTGACTTGAGTGAAATAGAGGAAGCTGTGGCGCTTTGCGAATCAATCTTTCATTTGTTTTTTTCTTTGTTTCAGTTTTCTAATATCTACACAAGGGAATATGCTAGTTGTTAGCATATAGATGATCACGAACACATGGTGAAAGTTAATAAGATACTGAAGTTAGATCATTTGCTGTTATTGATACATTAATTTGTAAACCGCAGAATGTCAGAAATATGCTACGTTAGTATTGTCTTCTTCTCACGGCTTATAGAGTCTCCATTTAAGACTTATAGTGAAAAATAAAATTGATGATGATATGTGGTAGATAGAAACCAATTTACAGTCGATATATGACACTGTAGTACTCCAATAACAAAACATGAAGGATCATAATAGCAAATGTTTCAAAGAAAGAACAAAGATGAAGATTAACAACACACATTTATGTTATGATTACACATCACATTACAAACACAAATGTTGAGACAAAACAAAAAATAAATATGTGTTTAAATTTATAATCAAAATTAAAAAATTTGAATTTAAAAATAATTTTTTTTTTTGATGAATTCCATTTTGAGGTTCACTAATAGAACCAACAAATTAAGACAGGTTCTTCCAAAAACTCAAAACCAAAAAATAATAATATTCACTAATGTATATACTCTTACCAATCGTTTTTATTGATATTGTCCCGTACCAATTTTAACGTATCGGCCTATTAGCTCAGATGACCAATTTTAACGCGAAGGTCACAGGTTCGATCTCTGTATAGGCCACTTTTTTTATTTGTTTGGCTTTTTAGAGCGTCAAAGTTCTAAAAACGTCGTTGTACGTTTCTGCTTCTTGCATTTCTTTCTTTTATCCCTTTCTCCGATAGTTTTTTGGTTTTCTTTCTTTTCCGGTTTTTATTTTTTAATTTTACGGATATCGTTATCTGCTTCTCTACTAAACACGAAGAAGCAGGAGAGCTCGAAACAAAAATGGAGGGAAGCATCTCGCCGCTTTGCCTACGTTCTTCCTCGAGTCTCTGTTACTTCTCCAGTAATGTTTCTCCTGATTCTCACCGTTCTCTAGGATTTACACTGGTGGATTCGCTCCGGCCGACGAACTTGGTATCACTTCGAACGGGAAATAGCCGTTCGTCGTCACTACGACTGATTCTATCTCCGACGAGAGGCGCTCTACGTACGCCGACAATTTCCGCGGAGGAAGTGAAAGATGTCCCGATGCCGAAGATAGATAAGAGCGGCCGATTAAGCAGCCCTCGAGCCGCCCGCGAGCTCGCTCTGTATGATTTTATACTCTCTCTTTGGTTCCTTCCATGCTCGTTTCTAAAATCGTATTCGCTTCGTTGATTTATATGGAACTGGAAATTTAGCTGGAAATGAGAATTCGCCTTTACTTGAAATTGGAACAATCCGGTCATCTTTGCGGCTTGGTGGGACACGAATTAGGCTCAGATTAGAGAATTGCATGTGTGTCGTGCTCAAACCTGAAATGATATTTCCTCAAGTCTATAAAAATCAAGTCTTTTTACTTCATTTCGAATTTTCAGCTAAAGATGAACAACTATATGGTTCTTTGCTATTCGTATGAGTGTTGAGTCTGCCCTCTCTGATATATATGTGCTGGATGATCTTGACAGAGTAATACTTTATGCCGCATGCTTAGAAGGCTCAGACCCAATTCGTCTCTTTGAGAAGAGGATAAATGCAAGAAGAGGTAAGTATCCAGGACCTACTAAACATGTTTTGATCTTGTTTTGTTTCCTGCTGCAATAAAGTCACGAATGTAGGAATCTCATTGTAATTTATGTGGTTTTGTCGATACTATTTCCTGATTCTGATTAGTCTACTCTGTGGATCAGTTGCTTGACTCTTCATTCAAAATGTTTGTGACATAACTTCAGTGTATAATGATTGGTTTATTCAGAGCCTGGATACGAGTTTGACAAGACGTCTTTGTTGGAATATAACCACATGAGTTTTGGAGGACCCCCAGTTAAAACAGAAACAAGTGAAGAAGAAGATGAGCTTGTGCGCTATTATGAAAACGAATCGAAAATCGGTAAGTTTTACCCTGAAGATATGTTTCCCTGTTTTGTTTTACTTATATCGCAAAGAGACTCTTGTTTGTGGCTCATGGAAATTTCCTATCTTTTAACCTGCTGTTTATCCTCTCTTTCTGCAGAAGCAGAAGTGCTTTCAGCTCCCCCTAAGCTGGTGTACAGCAAACTTGTTTTACGGTAATCTATAAAAAAATTTGAATGGATTGTAATTGCTGCTTACTCGGAAATAAATTCTGAATATTTTATTCCCACTACGTGCTTTTCCAAAGGTTTGCAAAGAAACTATTGGCTGCAGTGGTTGATAAATGGGATAGTCATGTCGCCATCATCGAGAAAATTTCCCCGCCAGATTGGAAGGTAAAAAAAACTTGAACTTCCAACTCAGGTCAAGTACTGATTAATTGAAACCTAAGGGACCACAAAACTCAAAGCTTCATTCCTGATAATCCATTGCCCCTATGTTGTGATAGCTCTCTCTCTCATAATTACAAGCTGTTTGCACCCTGAGCTCAACTTTTGCTTTTGAATTAGCTTGAGAAACTAGAAGCAGCAACTTATTTTGGTGTGTGATTGTATATATATATTCATCTCCTACTACCAATAAATACCTTATGAATGTGCTGCACCTATTCATAAGCCAAACCTGAGTAATGTTGAAGGAGAAACATGGGAAGAACTAGACACTACAGAGATCGGTCATGGTGGTCAATCATTACCTTGGCTTGTTTGGGTACGTATTGTCCCTCTGACTAATAAGCTACCAGTCAATCAGAAGAATTTACTTTCTAATCTTGATCAATTCTTTTCTGTAGCCATTCAGTGTTCGTGTGCTTTGGTGCAAGAGTTTCTTCACACTTTGTAGATTTAATTTGCTGTTGTTGCAGCCACGAATCGATAAGGATTCATTGGAGATGCTATCCATGGAGTGCCCAAGAATAGTGGTAAATCCCAAGCCCTCATTTCTCACTTACAGTCTACACGAGGCTCCTCGAGAAGCATTACCAGATGTTGCATTGGATGATGCATTTGTGAAAGATATTGATCCTGCGACATGGCTTGTTAGAGGAGTTTTGCAGAATCCGGCATCCGCCTCATTATCCTTGAACTCCAATGAGCTGCCAATAGCAGAGAAGTTCAGACTAGCGTTTGCAGAGAGCGATGCACGATTGGCCCCTAAACGGCGAACTTTCAATATCGCTGCAATTTTATCAGCTAAATTTTCAACAAATGATTATGCGGATGATGAGATAATCGAACATCCTTCGGGAGTGCACTCTGGTTGGGCGGCCTTGGCAACGAGAGGTGTCCACAAAATGGTCATGAGCATTGGTTGGAATCCTTATTTCAACAACACCGTCAAAACTATTGTGAGTTGATAAAAACTTAATAAACTTTTTCACTCTTGCAATGGTTGTTTTCTTTATCTTAGCTTTTGTTAGAGAGGAGCAATGGTTGTGTCACGATTTCACTGTAAGGCTTCTACGGAGAAGAGCTACGTCTTATTATCGTTGGCTATATACGTCCTGAGGTAGTTTTATTTTACTTTGTTATCATCCATTCGTCATTTGAGCCTGTGATCTTCTTCTCTCTGCAGGCTAATTTCCCTTCAGTGGAGAATCTCGTTGCAAAGAGAGCTCTTGATCTTCCATCTTATGCGAAGTTCAAGGATGAGCCATGTCTGACGAAAATGGTTAAATCAGTTATGTAATGAATCGAAACTATTGTTTTCTCACATTCTTAATTATGAATTTAATAAAATAATCAAACTCTCTGATTGTTTTCGAAACTCAAATAAGACTTGTACTGTTCCTTTACTGTCAGGTTTAGTAAATGGGGTTCTATGTGGTGTTGATGATAATAAAGAGCACCAGAGAAAGTTTGAGCAATGGCGATAAGAAAAAAATTAGGTATTTTGCTTCTAAGAAAAAGCATCTATACCAAATTAATCGGCTTTTGATTGATTAAAAACAATATATAAATAATAAACAAAAGAGGGGATATACATATTTTCGATTTCATGGTCCCTTTATGAACATTGCCCATCTCTACACGACCAGGGTGACAAATGCGATCTCCAAACCTGACTCATCTCCTCCATCGCACCCCTCTCTTCTCCGGCAATAAAAAGTAGATGAAGCATGTGACAAAGCATCAGCAGAAACACTTGTGCGATTGTGATTACATACGTGAAATTCTGTTCATCGACTCCGCTGAGCCGCCGATCGGATTTCGAGAAGGAAAACCTCCAACGGTACTAGCCATCCAAGTGGACCCCACGACCAAGCGAACGCTGCCATGTGGATGCATATGAACAAGACCACACTGATTGTTAAAGCGACTAAACCGGTACATAATAACCGGATTGATTGTTGACTAAAACCAGAAAGATGAAGAAATTGAATAAACCTGAGAAATTAGCAATTTGGAGAATCCTCTCCTTCAGGGAAGAGAAGTCGTCTACTCGTCTTCCCCATTTATCAACGCCGAATATCAAGACCATGGTAGCTCCGAGGTTAACCAAACCGGTTACTACCGCGGACATCTGAGCGGCCTCGCTACCGAATCCGATCGTTTGGAACAGAACCGGCGCGTAGAACATTATGACACTGATTCCGGTGAGCTACTGGTAAGACGAGATCAGAATCGCCATCGTTATATGGATGCTCCACGAGCTTCGAAGCTTCGCTGTCGCCGATCAAGTCGTTCATCTCGTCGTCGACGCCTCGGATCTTACGGTTAAGGAGTTTCGTTCCGGTTAGCTCGAGTTGATTTCGCTCGATCATGCAGTTGGGTGTGCCCGGGAGGATAAGAAGAACCGACGGTGATGATGAGAGCAGAAACGACGGCACCGCCGAGGCTGAGCCTCCAACCCCTCCCGTCGCTAATCTTGGAGAAGAAGAAGTTCAATACGTTGGCAACAAGGATACCAATGGTGATTTAGAGTTGAATCCGATATTCAGAGCTCCTCTGAATTTATATTGTCAATTTGAAAAGAAAAGGAAAGAAAAGAAACGTATTGAGACCATTTTATAATTTAGTTTAACTTAAGAGTAACATGGAGGAGGGAACAGGGGCGGATATACAGCATAGAGGGTGGGGCAAGTGCCCCATACTGAGGCTATTGTTATACGCTTTGACTTTTTAAGTGTAGAGTTCGATGCCTCTTGTCTCTCTTGTTCTTTTATCTGTTTGTATATATTTATTTGTTTTCTTTCTCTTATCATTTCTTGAATATCCCATATTCCCTTTTTTGAGTTGTTTCTCTCTTCCTCCATTTTTTTACCTTTCTTTTTAATTGGCTGACTTTTTTCCTTTCTTTCATATATTTATTAAAATTTATTTCCTTCTTATTTTCTTTTCCAATTATACTTTTTTAACAAATTAAGTAAACTCATTAAAGTAATCATCCATCTATGTTCTAATAGATTAATAAAAATATTTTGTAAATCTGTATAATGATTATGATTTTGTTTAGCTTATAATTTATAAAATATTGTAAAACTTATATAAACGTATAATTTATGAAATATCAGTTATTTATATTTTCTTAAAAATTTAGAGAGATTTTAAACTCAATGAAAATGAGTTTAAACTTTTTATTTGTGCCCCATAAAAAAAAAAAAAAAAAAAGTCTCTGGGAGGGAAAAAAGCACCCTTCTCATCTCAGTTCACAAGATACATACTTTAAGAGTAACGTTGAGAGCGTGTTGCGCAGTTTTAAATTAATGTGTGCCTTATTACCAAGTGTTGAGCGGATTTCTGTATTCTTCTTTTTCTTCTCTTATTTTGTTCAGAAAGATGCAGCCAAGACTAGAGAGCGTTTGGACCTTCTCCACACCTCCGATGAACACCCTCATCCGATCCGCTGATCTACAAATCCCACTGCAGCTCCAATCGAACGAGGCAACACAGATGTTCCCCGCCTGCGCCTTCCACTCACAACCTGCTGTTCATTGGAATTGGTAAAAGTTCCCTTATCATTGGAAATAGATAAGGGAACTTGGTTTTTTCTACCTGTTGTACCACAACATAGCCTACGGTCATCCATTCTCAGAAACCATGGAAAAAAAGAGACATCCTCATTCACGTACTAGTGAAGTACGTTTCTGCATACACAATTTGAGATAAGCACGAGTGTTTAGTATCACCTAATCTTACATGCACATCATCATCGGCTTTCACGTACAAGTATGCATCCCACAATGCAGCTTTAGTTCTTTGCTGAAAGCTGTAGATAACCTTCAACATCCTCCTTCTCAAACTAACTTAAGAAAAATAAAAAAAACAGAAACCGGGATGTTGACTGGAGCTTTAATTCATCAGAAACGGGTGAACCATTCATGATGGATTGTTGAGCGGCCGCCTATTCCATTTCCAGAGTCGAAATCATTTTGTCGAGCGTTTTGCGTAACACCTTAAGAGAATCGATCTTCTTGTTGAATGTGAGATGAATTATATGGTAATACTTAACCCAAGTAACCCTCCATCCTCTTGTAAATGCTCTTTCACAGATTGCTGTATATTCTTGTGTTGCAACACGTGAGAAATTCCAATGCAAAATTAGAGAAGCATGCATATAATATGCTTTTGCAAAAACAAATTTTATAAATTCGAAACTGCCATATAACTTATTATATAATCCATACTCTCATGCCATCAAATCTCAGCACAAAAAGTTATAAAAAAGAGAAAAAAATCAGATAAATTGGATGATGCATTTTGATGAAACTCTGGGGATAGCCATTAGAATAGCTCGCATGTATTTATTGTTGAAGGTGCTTTCTTCAAAGCCAACTTTCACAGTTTCAAGACATTCCAACTTCCCAAAGAAATGTCTCATTTGTTGTAACTCTCCAAGGCTTCCTTCACTTGACACCTCGACAAACAGCATACCATTTCCGAGTTTTGGATGCAAGGGCACGCATTTCCACACCACTCTGTGACTCTGTGCACAAGACCCTGGAACCACAACAAACAGACCACACCATTTGATAGACATGTATAAATGGCAACAGAGAAAAGCAATGTGTCTTAAAAGATCAAAAAAATTGATACCTTAATGACTAAAGTTTGTAGATTTGGGGAGTTATGGAGCAGGCGTGGGATTACTTCCCAGCCTTTTTCCTCGTCACTTTCGATAGATAAAGTAAGTAGGTTGTTGAGCACGGGCATGGAGTCACAACAAAAGTGAAACACCTGATACATAAACCATTATCACCATGTGATAGATACTACAAGAAGAAGTAGTAGCAGCAAAACTGACCTCTAGAGAATCAGCAGACAATTGAAGGCTCTTAATGTTTTTCATACCTTCAATCAGAGTTGAAATATCGCCACAGATTTCATTGAAATCTGGACAACCATCATCATCTAACCCATATAATCGAAGATCTAGTCTAGCTTCGACAAGCGAATCCAAATCAACAAAATAATGTGCCGCAACGTAACTAGAGTAGTCAAGGTACACCAAACTCTTTGTCTTAAGAGTAAGGCCACGGAGTTCGAAATCGTCATCAAAATCACTAGTGATAGTTAATCGCTTGACGTATGGAGTCGACAAGTAGCCCGTCCAAACACATATGAATAAATCTTCTAAGGCAGGGCAGCCCTCGATGAAGAGCTGATGCATTTTAGGAGATATAAAGGCAACTGAAACAAGTGTAAGTGTTTTGAGCGCAGGGAAAAACACTCCTCCAAGAGGAAGACGACGACCTTCAAGACAAAATTTATCGGTTATTGTGAGCTTAACCAGTGTGTTGCTTGTGAAAAACTCAGAATCTATACCGATACTGAAATTTGACTTTAAGTTTAGCTCTACGCTGCCCCGTCCCAGAGCAGTGCGAATCCAACAATTGACACGAGATTCGTCATCCTCATAATCACATATTAGAGAGAATTTCTTGATGGTAGAATTGCTTAACAGATCAAGTGTTTTGTCCACGAAATCAGAGAAGCGATGTCGTCGTCGACGACGACTTTCAATACTTGTTGGTTCTTCTTCTCCGTCTTTTCTGTCGGGATATAGAAGCATCGATTCATCAAAATCAAGGCTGTCTACAAGAGGAAGCAAATTCATCCACCTCTTGGACAGAACCGCGGTCGAAGCAGCAAGTTTGGTCGGAATTAAAGACAGGATTTTGCCGAGAATTTCATCTGGCAGATTGCTGATCCGATCTGTAGCCATCAGAGTCAGAGTATAATCCCTTTCTTAATCCTGCAAAAAAAATATAATTCAAAACTTGATGAGAAACAACAATTCGAGGGTTATAGAAACTATAAAATTCTCAAAATTATAAACAGATTCACAACGGAAAGAACACAAAAAAACTAAACTTTGCGATGGAAATCACAGAGTTTATCAAAATCTAAAACAAGGTACCCCGAGTCTAATTCATGCCTCAAAATAGCCAATTTCGATTAACAATAGAGAAATTTACCTAGACTTTACAAGTTGGATTTATCAATGGCTTCTAGTACTAAAGATCTACGGAAATCTCTCTCCAAGAATGGGATAGAAGAAAGAAACCTGTCCTTCCTTTTTTTTCTAATTCTTTTTTCCTTTTTTTTTAATTATTTTTCCTTTTTATAAAGATGCAAAGTCATGCCGAAAGGACATTTTATTCGGTGTATATGGAATAACCGAAACCAACCATAATGTTTTAGTTTGGTTAGGTTGGGATCGGTCGGTTCGGTCAGCAGATTGAACACCCCTCTGTTAAACCTTTTAGCAAAAAAACCATTGTTTTAATTTGTTTGTTCTGTGTTTCTCGAATCCGGCTGCTTTTTGGAACATATATTATCAGAAGTCGTTGACAAAAAAAAAAATATTATCAGAAGTCAGTAGCAAAATCTAAACTGAACAAAACCCAAAAATCTGAAACTTTTGAACACTTGAAACTTAATTTATAAGTCTAAGTACATTCATTTAAATTATATATAAATTTACTGTATAATGATCACTACATCAGCATGCAATCATGACAATATAGAAAGTGCGGAAGATGAAAGAAACCTGCCTCGTGTCGTCACTCCTCATCAGTCCTGTCCTCATATTCACAAAACTCCCCTGTAGAGCAATCTTACCAATCTTTTCAATTGATATTGGTTATTGGTTCCATTGGTGATTCAGTTTAAATGTTTGAAAATTTTAAACGATTATATCAGAAATGGTTAAAAAATAGGCGATTAGAAATAACAGTTGGAAAATATTTATAACAGAAAACGGTTGAAAATTTAGCTTGATTGATAGTATTACAGCGGTTAAATAGTGTAAATATATAAAATTATTAGTACAAAATTTTTAGATAATTATTTATAAAATGATACAATAATAATATAATACATAGTTTAACTTTATTATATGAAAATTGAGTAAACAAAAATTACAATAATTATTTCTGAAATAGTTTTAAACAATTCAAAATAATTCTTTTTTAAATGATTTGAATTGAATGTAATAACAAAAAAAAATTAACACATATATATATATATACAAAAAACAAATAACTTTACTAGTTTATTATTAGAAATCGATATTAAATCATATATTTTATTACTAAAAAAAATTCTGGTTACAACTTATCGTTTACTTTAAATGCTCATTTTTTAATAGTTTATAACCGTTTAAAAATTAATTTCTAACCGTTTAAATCATCTTTCAACCATTCGTTTCAAACGCTGATTACAACCAACGTTTTAAACGCTTTCTCCAACCAATCTTACTGATTATAGTATTTTTTTAATCATCTGTCTCAACGGAGCAGTTGATGCCACCAATCAAACTCATTATCACGTACTAATATTTAACGTATTGGCCTATTAGCTCAGTTGGTTAGAGCGTCGTGCTATTTATGCGAAGGTCATAGGTTCGATCGATTTAGTTGGTCAAAGTTCTGAAAACGTCGTCGTACGTTTCTTCTTCTTGCATTTCTTTTATCCCTTTCTCCGATAGATTTTTTTCTTTTCCGGTTTTAAATTTTTAATTTTTACGGATATCGTTATCTGCTTCTCACTAAACACGAAGAAGCAGGAGAGCTCGAAACAAAAATGGAGGGAAGCATTTCGCCGCTTTGCCTACGTTCTTCCTCGAGTCTCTGTTACTTCTCCAGTAATGTTTCTCCTGATTCTCATCGTTCTCTAGGATTTACACTTGTGGATTCGCTCCGGCCGACGAACTTGGTATCCCTGCGAACGGCAAATAGCCGTTCGTCGTCACTACGGCTGATTCTATCTCCGGCGAGAGGCGCTCTACGTACGCCGACAATTTCCGCGGAGGAAGTGAAAGATGTCCCGATGCCGAAGATAGATAAGAGCGGCCGATTAAGCAGCCCTCGAGCCGCCCGCGAGCTCGCTCTGTATGCTTTTATTTTCTCTCTTTGGTTCCTTCCATGCTCGTTTCTGAAATTTTATTCGCTTCGTTGATTTTTATGGAACTGGAAATTTAGCTGGAAATGAGAGAATTCGCCTTTACTTGAAATTGGAACAATCCGTCATCTTTGCGGCTTGGTGGGACACGAATTAGGCTCAGATTAGAGAATTGCATGTGTGTCGTGCTCAAACCTGAAATGATATTTCCTCAAGTCTATAAAAATCAAGTCTTTTTACTTCATTTCAAAGTTTCAGCTAAAGATGAACTACTGTATGGTTTTTTTGCTATTTATATGAATGATGAATCTGCCTTCTCTGATATATGTTTCTGGATGATTTTAACAGGGTAATACTTTATGCCGCATGCTTAGAAGGTTCAGACCCAATTCGGCTCTTTGAGAAGAGGATAAATGCAAGAAGAGGTAAGTATCCAGTACCTACTAAACATGTTTTGATCTTGTTTTGTTTCCTGCGGCAATAAAGTCACGAATGTAGGAATCTCATTGTAATTTATGTGGTTTTGTGGATACTATATCCTGGTTCTGATTAGTCCACTCTGTAAAAATCAGTTGCTTGATTCTTCATTTATATGCTTGTGACATAACTTCAGTGAATAATAATGATTGGTTTGTACAGAGCCTGGATACGAGTTTGACAAGACGTCTCTGTTGGAGTATAATCACATGAGTTTTGGAGGACCCCCAGTTAAAACAGAAACAAGTGAAGAGGAAGATGAGCTTGTGCGCCGTGATGAAAACGAATCGAAAATCGGTAAGTTTTATCCTGAAGATATGTTTCCGTGTTTTGTTTTACTTATATCGCAAAGAGACTCTTGTTTGTGGCTCATGGAAATTTCCTATCTTTTAACCTGCTGTTTATCCTCTCTTTCTGCAGAAGCAGAAGTGCTTTCAGCTCCCCCTAAGCTGGTGTACAGCAAACTTGTTTTACGGTAATCTATAAATTGTTTCAGTGGTTTGTAATTGCTGCTTACTCTGAAATAAAATCTGAATGCTTTATTCCCACTACGTGCTTTTCCAAAGGTTTGCAAAGAAACTATTGGCTGCAGTGGTTGATAAATGGGATAGTCATGTCGTCATCATCGAAAAAATTTCCCCGCCAGATTGGAAGGTAAAAAAATGACCACTTGAACTTCCAACTCGTGGCAAGTACTGAATAATTGAAATCTAAGGGATCACCAAACTCAAAGCTTCATTTCTGATCATTGCCCCTATGTTGTGATAGCTCTCATTATTACAAGCTGTTTGCACCCTGAGATCAACTTTTGCTTTTGAATTAGCTTGAGAAACTAGAAGCAGCAACTTATTTTGGTGTGTGATTGTATATATATGTATATATATATTCATCTCCTACTACCAATAAAATACCTTATGAATGTTGCTGCACCTATTCGCAGAGTGCACCAGCTGGAAGAATACTAGAGTTTTCGATTCTTCACTTAGCAATGTCTGAAGTGGCAGTCCTTGAAACTCGACACCCAATCGTCATTAACGAGGTATCTCTCTCTCTCTCTCTATATATATCTCCCTGTTCAGTTAGCTTTGCAATGCAATAACCTTGATCTTGTTGTGAACTAACACTGTTACAAAAATGATGCGAGAAAGGCTGTTGATCTTGCAAAACGGTTCTGTGATGGAGCAGCGCCACGCATAATCAACGGGTGCCTTAGGACATTTGTCAAGGATAGAGCAGCAACACCAACACCAACACCTCAAGCTTTAGAATTGAAGCAAGAAGTATCGGTTTAAGTTAGAACACACCCGCATCTTCTTCGTTTGGAGGCAGGCAACCTCAGGTTTTGGTCTTCGGAAATAGTTCGTTGGCAAAGTGTTGATCCGATGATCTTATATATAGAGCGAGACACAGTCTCAGGAGAGATTCTGTCCTCACAGGCAGCTTCTGGTCCGAAGCTTTCGTACTTGAGACTGAATCTATCGTTCCATTGCAGCTCAACATGATTATTGCTAAGAACACAATATGCTCTCAAGTCTGTATTATATATTGCTCTAAAATATATATTAACAATTAGTAATAGCTAAGTTTTCATGTTTTTGTGTGTTTGTATTCTCCTTCACTTTTGTCCCATATTAAGTAACAAAGCTGGTATAATCAGGTTTTTCGTGTAATTATGTTTGCCAAGATAAATTGTTTTGCTTTAGTCCCATTGAAAGAACTTTAATTTATTCAGAAAGTTAAAATACCAATTATACGCCCACCCACGAAAAGATCCGACCCATAAGCCCTCATGTAATACGACAGCGTCTCGTCAAAGAAGAGAGATTAGGGCTCCTTTTCGTAGTCAACCTCTTCGTCGCCGTATATATACAACTTCTCTCCTGCTTGTATTCATTATCTCGCGTCAATGTTCTTAAATCTCTTTTTTTCTTTCTCTGTCGGGTTTTGATGATTCATGAGAAATTATCGTTAGGAATGTTGTTCTCTTAGTCCTAGATTCGAATGTTCTGTGTTATATAGCTTTCGAAATCTTGAGGGGTTTGATGGTAAGGATGATGAAACAAATCATTCGGATTCCCATTGATTTCCTACGGGAAAGATGTGATCATAAACCAGCTACTTTTGACTCATCATCATACTCCTCTTTTTTCTTTCTCTTTGCTCTCTGATTCGTATTATTTTCTTGGTGAATTAGATCTTCACTTTTGATTGAGGTCTTTATAAATACTTAAATCTGTAGATGGTGTTGAGATGACGAAAGAAATCATTCGGATTCCCATTGATTTCCTTCGGGAAAGATGTGATCATAAACCAGCTACTTCTGATTCATCATCATTTATAAAGAAAATCACAAATTGCTCATCTTATTTGTTTTTTTTTTTCCCAATTTGCTATTTCAATTTTTGTTTTTTAATGTTTTCTCAGTATATTTTGAGTAGGCCAGTGATGCAAGAAAAATATTTGCTACTCTTGATGAAGAATATTCAGTTGATGATCGGTTAACCACCAAGATCTCTGAGGCCTTGTTTTGTTACTCTTACACTAAAGTTGATTTTCACTTAATTTACCTATCATTTGCTTTAAACACACCATTTGTCCATGTTCAGACATTTCTTTTTCCTGATGACCTTCCTCATCAATCCATGTAATTCAATTTAATAAAATTCATTCACTATGGCATACAATGATTAGTAATCCTCTTGAAGTAATATTTTCCACGAAATATCAAATTGCGTGTGATTCCTTGATGTATAATGATCCGTAGTGATTGAAACCTGACATAAATCCAACACAGTTGAATACAGAAACAAATTATGGGCAGACGAAATAAAACACTCAAAACAAACAAAGGCGATAACAGAACATGAAAATGCCCTAGAATCTTGATTTGTTTGAGATACCAAAACTACTCGACTTTATGGTTCGAAATATAGAAGAGAAAAATTGGTTGTATCGAAGAATTAAACCGGATTGGCTTCCAGAACACAGCTCAGCCCGTCAGGTCCCATTATAAATCTAATCCTCATTATTCTGCTTACTAATAAACTACGGCAAAATATGCAGAGGAACTACATCAGAAGCTACAATAAGCGCTTCTGATAAAAGATTGTAACCTTCAGACCAAATCCACTTAATAGTTCCAACCAAAAACTAAAAACAGCCATAAGAAAAGATACCAAGAGAACTAAATGTATGATAATTGTTCAGTCGAAAAGAAGCTGAGACGATATTGAAGCTGTAGGTACAGATGCCAACTCCTTGAGCATCTGATACTTGTCTCCCACATTAGTAGATTCTGGAGAGAAAGTAGCTGTCTTCAGACAAGCAGCATTCTTTAAGACATATGTTGCCAGCTCTCTATCACCTTGTCTCCCTTTGTACCCGATCCACACAAAAGCCTCGAGACTAAACAAAAAACACTTGGGAACAGAGTTCGACGGCTTCCAACCAATTGGGGGTTCTTTGGCAGAACAACCAGAATCATGTTTCTAAAACACAACATCATCGTTATTATCAGTCAATCATATTGGGAAACTAAACTAGATTAAACAAGATTATACAGAACTCGTACATCGATAAGTTTGAGAGCTTGTAGCCTGGGGGAATCTTGGAGCATGTGAGTAGATCCCACCAACCTTTAGTAATTGTATACAAGTCCAGATGAACAAGCTGATTGAAACTCATACCAGAAGGATGCATAACCTGATTTAAAAACAACAACATAAATGAAAAAAAATTGAGAGGAATCATAATCTACAATCACAAGATTCAATATTCCAAGATTTGTTTATTACCTCTGAAAGTGATAAACATAGAGAAAGGCGTCTGACAGAAGTAAGAGCACTCAGAAACTTCTGAGTAGCTCCATGAGTAATCTCAACATGTGCCTCAGCCAACTCAGGCGTATTCTCAATTTGACGAAAGTTGTAAAGCACACAATCTTTAATGTTAAGATACTTCAAACAAGGAGCATCTATCACAAACCGACCAGCTGTTCCAGAATTTTGGTCCAACATAGTTAATCTTTGTAAAGAAGGGATCACAACAGTGACATCCGTTGTTGTGTCTCCATCATATCGTTCCACAAGCAACCCTTCAAGTCTTGAACAACCGGATAAAAGACGTGGTAGAGCCGTGTCGTCTATGTAATCAACAAGCCTAAGGCTCAGAGTTTTGAGAGCCGGGAGACGAACGTGAACAGGAACATCCAAAAGAACGCAACTGATGAGTCTCAGGGTCTCAAGCGTTTCGGAGGAATATAGGCTACTCGGCAAACTAACACTAACAGAGCCTTTCACGGATGAAGAAATAGAAATTTCCAACTCACGCACACGGCGACTAACTGCAATATCGATCCATAATCCAATATCTATAACAGGACAGTCAGCGCCAAGATTCAGATGCAAAGATTCTAGAACGGGTGCCTTATTTGATAGCAAGGACCTGTAAACAAACTGCGAGAAGGACTTGTAGTCACCAATGTGAGTGCTATCATCGTATTCAAGATTCGGGATTAACATCCAAAGGGACCGCCATCTTTTGGACAAAAGACTTGTGGCCGCAACACCTTTTGTCCGAACACATGACAATATTCGCAAGAGCAAATCATCCGAAAGTTGACTGATAATGTCCATGTTCAAACACTATCTCCCCTGAATTCTCAAGCTTACAGCTAGTAGTGGCCAAAGGACAAAAATTGTCTACGATCGTTGCCTGTATATTATAAATCCTAAAGGGGTTCATACTTCCGAGTAGATGAACAATAAAAAAATAAAAATAAAAACTTAACAGTTTGATTGTTTGTAGATTACCCTCGTAGTTCCTTAGTGCTTCTTGGATCTTTCTAAAATGACAAGATGAGACCAAGAAGATTCCAGAGCTGGGTCATTGATATATTAATCAGAGGAGTTTGATCAAGTTGTGGTTGGCCTAAACCCTAATACGCAAACAATTGATACGGCGCCGTTAGGATTAGTAGCAATCATTTACAGTATTTCGATCGGGGAAAGCGGCCCATGCCTTAACCGCAAGAACTGGTATCATTTTATGTCTATACTTTGATACTGTGCTTATACGTACTTGAACTCTTTAAAATGAACCGCAAGAACTAGTATCATTTTATGCCTATACTTTAATATTGTGCTTATACGTACCTGAACTCTTTAAAATGTGTAAATTCATTCCCAAACTAGAATTTTTATAGCCAAATCATGCATTGACTTTTTATACTGGGCTGACTAACTTGCCACGTTGGAATCTCAGAGATATGATGCTACGTCGTTTGTATATTTCTGAGAAAATTTTTTTTGCAAGCTCAAAGATTCAAACCCTGCACCATACCCACTTATCCGAGCCCGAAGACCAGTAGACCAGATGAAGTAATTGATAACCTATCGCACACTTAAACAATATAAACTACCCATGGCCATTATTAAAAAAAAATACGACATCGTATTGGTTTGGTTATTCATCTTTTTTTAATGAAGAATCTATCTTCTTCTTCGTCGAGGCCTGTGTTCAAATTTGGGGAAAAACTCAGCAAACGGATCGAAATCGTCATTGTCGTCACCATTAACCGATTTCTACTCTTAATTCTTCTTCTGCTGCTTCTCCTTCTTCCTCATGTCTCCTCGTGATTCCTCCCGTTAACCCTGCGGCCGATTTGGTTTTATTTCACCAGATCTAAAACAACAATCGTTTGATGAATTCGATTCATAGGAGTATTGAGAATCGAAAAAAAAACCAGCAAAGTTTAATTCAATTGTTTAAAGTTAAAAGCAACAAACATCTTATTAGATTTAATAAAAGGAAGACCCTTTCGAGCTTTGGTGAAACTCACAAATGTCGTGACTTTCAACGACTTTAGATTTTTCATTTTTCTAATGATTGTAGGAATAGTAAAAATATTTAATGGTGCGACTTACAACTAATAATTGCATTTGGTCTAGTGGCATCAAGGGATGTTTTATAGAGGATGTCTATGGTTTGAATAGTTAGATGTTCAAAAAATTTGTACTTTTTTTTTTCTCGACTTAAAACGACGTCGTTTAGTATTATCGTTCCAACACAGATTCCACCATGGCAGCTAACTCATATCTGTTAACAATTTGACAGAGTTGACTAACAAAAAATAAGTCAATGCATGTTTTGGCCAAAAAATTTGAGTTTAGGTATGAATATTCAAATTTTCAATAGTTAAGGCATGTTTGAGCACAGCATAATTGTACAAGTACTAATCGGTACCATTCCACTCGGTTGAGGCATGAATTAGCCGCTTTCTCGTACTTCGATCTCATGATATGCTGCCAACTCGGCAAATCTCGGACCCACCTTATGAAAACCAAATTTTAAACCGAAATTCACTTAGCTGAATATTATTATATGGAATTAAACAACCGGATTAGGCACTAACTTATGTGAAATGAGTAACGATGATGATGAAACATTGAAGTCAACGTGGCAAAATCACGAAGGTTGAAGATCTGGAAAAAAACCCAGACCATTAGACAAATCCGACGGAAATCGCGGAATCATCATCACCCTCTTCAACTCTTCAAGAAAGAGAGAAAAACAAAAAAATATAACAGTTACGTTCTGTAATTTAGTATTGTACTGATATATGGTGTTCAACGGCGGGACTGTGATGTCGGTAGCCCATCTATCGGCGGAGATTTGGCAGAGATTACGGCGGATCCCACCGTCCGATCGTATAAGCAGCCGCGAGATGCTTGAGCTCGTCTGCTTCTTCCCGCTCCAGCAAATGGGTCGGCTCGCTTTATGGTTCTTGACTATCCTCTGTCTTCCTCCGCCAGGTTTGCTCTATCCTGAAGCTGACGAAGAAGACGATCGTGATGTTCACGCTTTTGCTTCTGGCTCAGCTTCAGCTTCCGTCGCTACATATCAGAACCACTTTCATCTGCATTTTGAGTGATCAGTTTCAAACTGGATTCTTTGTAAAGTTCTCATTTTGTTTTTTTTTTTGTCGCAGTCACTCTGTTTTCTCAATCTCTCTGTTTTTTTTTTTAAATGTCTTGCGATTTGGAGAAATCGGATCTTGTTTCCTGATCTTAGCTGAAGAATCAGGATCCTGGTTACAGTTTGAATCCTTGTGAATATCATATTCAGAATATGTCTAGAATTGAGGTCATTCAATTTTTCACTCCTTGATGATTAGACCATCATCAATTCGTGTTTAATCTGCACTTCACCGTTGACTCGGTTTGATCTCGGAGTACTGAGACTAGTGGAGCAGTCTTTGATTTTCTTTTTGTATCTTCGGTGGTAAAATTGAACAGAGATCAAGAGGATTTTGAGTAGCTGATTCGGTTTTAGTGTTGGAAATTTCTGTAATCTGATCCTCGGAAACTTGTGTCTACTTATTTGGGAGACAGATTTTGTCTGATCGTCAATTCCGGCGAGCTTTCTTCATGTTTTTGTCACATTGATACTCTTCTTGCCTTCTTGATCTCTCGCTGATCATCGCAGTTTGTCTTCAACGGGTACATTTCGTTGGTATAATCTTTTTTTTTTCCATTTGATTGCAAGTCTCGACCTTTATTGCTCTGTGTCTGATGTAATTGGCAATTTCTAAGTTCAAGAAAGGTATGTTTCTACCAAACCATCTTTCTTGGGAGTTGGGTCTCTTGGTTTTGTGAGTTTTTGGTTTCTTGACTTCCAAGAAAGAAGCTTGTTTATACTTTGTAAGTTTGAAATAGCTTCATGATTCTTATATCTTTAGTTTGAATTTGAATCAAATTCTTGTGTGGTAGAGTAGCCTAATTCAATAGGCATAACATGAGCTTGAACTCGCTAATTAAACCACCCCGCAACATTCATGAAACAATAAAGAAATGAATCTGGGGTTCGAAATGTCTTTATAAATTAATGAGAATAAGATGCAACAATTTTTTTTTTTTGTGAACCGGGAAGTTCCACACCTAGACCCATACATCTATCAGAGCCGAGATCAGTCTTTACTAAATCATCAAAAGAATTTAGTACAAACTACCAGACCGCATATCCCGATCATATTAGTTTGAAATATATACCCCGACCAATTGCCCATGTAATAATTCTGTTAGCATGATTGATCTATTTTGATTAATTGGTTTTGAGATTTAAAACTTTAAAAATAATATCAAATCTTTATATACTGTAAACCCCGTTGTCAATTTACAAAGAATAGCAGTCATATAAACTACAGTTCTTTATTATTTTTATTGTTATATAATAAAATGAAAAATTACATTTTATAAATTCTTCTTTCATCGAATAGTGAGCAATAATTGGGGAGAAATGGATATGGACTCAGCCAATTATACATAACTAGGAGCACATGGAGTCATCAATCAAATTCCATATTCTTAACCTATAAAGAAACAGCCAAACAGCTCATTACTCTCTCATTTTCTGTTCATTTCACGACTGTCACAGAAAAAAACAACATTTTCCTAGATCTTTTACTCATAGTCTTTATAAATAAAACGTTTTTATTATGAACTGTATCATTTGAAAGCTAACACCTTATGAACTGTATAATCTTTGAAGCAAACTATTATATTCTTCTAGAAAAAAAACTGGATAACAACTAAAGTCGGCGGCACGGTTCTTTCCAGCTGTTTTAAATATCTTAGTTGATAAACCAAATACCCTTAATTAATTGGTTTTATCTGCTCTACCATTTTTTTAGTTTAAAACGTTAACTATTTAGACTAATGCTTTACTAATTTAACCGTAAGATAAAAATAAACTTTAAAAATGAGGTTCATCAACATCGATCTGCATTGTGTAACTGATTTATTTAGTTCTTAAACCACGAAAAGTAGTATATTCGTTTTAAATTATAGATTTGATTAAGTAAGAAATTTAAGAATTTTTGTAGGTCTTAGAGATAATACAACTACACAAATTTATTCATAATCAACTTTTATCTAGAATCCAGTGAAAGATTATGACTCGAAGACAAATCAATTTATCTTAAACAAAAACAAAGAATTAAAACAATTAAAAGTTGATTAAATGGGTTGGTGTTAGTTAAACTGTAAAGTGATACATACACAGTTGGCCTAACACGCACCCATGTGTATATATAACCCACAAGTCACAACACATAACAACACACCACAAAACACACAAACTTCTAAACTCTTCTCTCGTTTGCTTTCTCAAGATTATTCACCAATGGAGGCACTGAAGATGAAACTCTTTGTGGCTGTTTTGGTGGCGATGATAGCTTTCTCTGCCGTGCAACAGGCTGCCGCCGTGGAGGCTCCGGCTCCGAGCCCCACCTCTGACGCTTCCTTGTCGATCCCCGCTTTGTTCGCTACCGTAGTCACTCTGGCCTTTGGGTTTCTCTTCTAAGCAAATTTGTTTTTTTTGGCTCTTTAGTTTATCTAAGAAATCATTTTCTTGATTTCATTTTTATATCCCTCTATTATGTATTGTCCTAAGATTTGCCATATCCGAATATCAATAAAAATATCTCGATAACCTTTTTATTCAGAGTCGGTTTGACAAACTCTTTAACAAAAAAATGTGGTTTTATTGAAAAATCATAACTTTGGTGAAAAATGGAATATTAGTTGAATCTTAGTCTGAAAGCATTTTAATTAAGATTAGGGAAACATTTTAGCGGGAGGAGACAACTTGATAGCTTTACAATCATGACATCCTCTAAGTATTATTGATTTAGTTTGTACTAACATGGAAAGCAATTGGAAAAAGATTAACTATATTTTAATTTAATCCAGTTTAATTTACAGTTTGGTCGGTTTGGGTCGATCAATATGTCTACTAATAACCCCAAAAAATGATTTGTAAAATGATTTGGGTGAAATAATATATACGGATTACTTCATGTATTCGATTGCAATTTTTGAAAAATATAATAACAAGAATTTAAGAAAATGTGGAAATGAATAAATAGTCAAAGGATGACGTAAAAAAAAAATTAGTCAAAGGACCCTCAAAAACTCAAAAGTGTTCCTGAATCATTCCGCACTTCTCAGATTTTCCAGCACATAAGAAAAACCCTAACGACACAGCTCTCGCCGCTGGCTCTACTACGTTCGTCTGCCGCCGTGTTCGGCCGATCGTCTGAGTTTATACACCGTGGTATGATTCCACCTCCCTTCTTATATGTTCGCCTTCCTCGTCGACTGACTATAACTTTCCCGCTGGTTTGTGTGCAATTCGCCGATTGTGCAGCGAATCTGCCGATCGCAGACGCTAAAATGTTTAAAACGCCAAACCACGTTTTCGTAAACATATTTTGCATACTGGGCCTAGTATTTTTTTTGGCCCAACACCTAAATTGTTTTAAAATTAAATTAAAAATTTAGTTTCCTTTTGGAAAAAAAATAAAAAAAAGAAAAAAAAAAGAAGGAAAGAAGTTGCTATGGCAATACTAAGCCTAACCCTTTTTCCGGTATCAGCTACACCGCCGTCTTCTCTCTTCTCCTTCAATCGTTTTTCTCGTTACCATCAGTTCGCTTATTTGTCTTCTTACTCGTCTCAGACTGGTAAAATCCTCTCTCCGAGCTCTAATCTTCCCGTTTCTCTCTCCTTATCTCTACTTGTGATTTCTGTTCTCGCCTACATTTCTCCAATTGCTTCTCGAGCTTTAGGCCATGGAGTAACATTTCTACTGCCGTATTAGTTGAGATGAGAGTTTTGTTATTAGCAGAGGGAGCCGATTTTCCTTAGTTTCTGTGCTGCTAGCTAATTCTGATATTGTTTTCCAGTGGTGTTTTTTTTTTGGGGATTTTGATTGGAATTTCGAGAAATAATATTGCGTTTGCTTGTTTTCTTAACAAGCCTTCGTGGTTTCCTTGTGTTTGAAGTACTGAAAACATCTAAATGTTGAAGAAGATAAGCTTTTTTTGTTTTGTTTATAATTCAACATGGTCTGTAGCAGTGCTTTAATGAAACTTTCTTCCTTGGTAAGAATTCTAGATGAAACTCCAATAGAAGAGGAGAATATTGCAATCCAGTTTTCATTTTTTTTTTTCTTGCTTTTTTGAGGGTTTGCTATTGCTTGTACTGATCTTGCTATGTGGTTTTGTAACCTAGACAGGCATATTGAGAGCAACGAGTAGGAGATTTGCTTTCGCAATCAAATCAAAGTCAGTGGCAACCATGGCAGCTGTATGTCAGAGTTTTTGGCTTTTTGTTTTAATCCAGGAGACTGTCTAAGTATAATACTCTTCTTTCCCCGTTTGATGACTGATTTTTGAGTGCTGTGACAGAATGAAGAATTCACGGGAAATCCAAAACGTCAACTTGAGAAGCTCTTTGATGTGTCGCTGAAATTAACTGTTCCTAATGAACCTGGTGTTGCGCCCTTGGTTGCTGCCTCTCAACCTGGAAAATTTGGAGATTACCAATGGTGCTCCCTCTTTCACTTTATTCAAATGAAACTAAAGTTCCTTTCTGTTTGTTAATTTAGATATTCATCATATTGTCGTCTGCAGTAACAATGCAATGGGCCTATGGTCCATTATCAAAGGAAAGGGTACTCAGTTTAAGGGACCTCCAGCTGTTGGACAGGTTTGTGGTTTGATTGGCCTTTTACAGTTCCGTGGCTTTTGTATGCTCTGTGTCTTGTAGCAGATTCTTATGGGATTTTATATTTCCTTTAACTCTTATTTTGTTCCCTTTTTCACATAGGCCCTTATGAAGAGTCTACCTACTTCTGAGATGGTGGAATCATGCTCTGTAGCTGGACCTGGATTTATTAATGTTGTACTATCAGCTAAGTGGATGGCCAAGGTGCTCCTGTTGTATTGCTCACTTGCATAATCATTTTCTAGTCCTCATAAATAAGTTATGTTTAGCATAATTGTTTTGTCATCTATCCGCAGAGTATTGAAAATATGCTAATCGATGGAATCGACACATGGGCGCCTACACTTCCGGTTAAGAGAGCTGTAGTTGATTTTTCCTCTCCCAACATTGCCAAAGAAATGCATGTTGGTCATCTTAGATCAACTATCATTGGTGATACGCTAGCTCGCATGCTCGAGTACTCAAAGGTTGAAGTTCTACGCAGAAACCATGTTGGTGACTGGGGAACACAGGTAGCTACTTTCTGCTTTCAAACAAATTTCTTAACCTTCAGACCGAGTGCTTTATTGTTGTATTCTAATATTTATCAAAGAAATAAAAGCAGTGTTTATTCTGCAGTTTGGCATGCTAATTGAGTACCTCTTTGAGAAATTTCCTGATACTGATAGTGTGACAGAGACAGCAATTGGAGATCTTCAGGTCAGCTGCCTTATGGCCTCTTGAGCTTTACAGTCCTTCCTATGTACCAATATTGGCATAATATACTTTATGTGAAGAACCAAAGCAATTTAGTTTCTAATATTACATGTCATCTGACAGGCATTTTACAAAGAATCAAAAAGTAAATTTGATCTGGATCCGGTCTTCAAGGAAAAAGCGCAACAGGCTGTGGTCCGTCTACAGGTAAGTAAAAATTCTCCTAACCTGAATTACTGGTGCTTTCTTCTGTTTGGCAGTGTTTCAATATGCAGCTGTCTTAGCTACCTAAATTACTCACTTGTCTATTTTTTTTTCGTTTCTTCGGTGCAGGGTGGAGATCCTATTTACCGCAAGGCTTGGGCTAAGATTTGTGAAATCAGCCGAACCGAGTTTTCCAAGGTTTATCAACGCCTTCGAGTTGAGCTTGAAGAAAAGGTAAAGGAATAGATTGAACGATAATATATTATTTGAGACATAATGGAAAAGAGGAACATGGATGGGTGATGAAATATACATTGATACATTACAGGGAGAAAGCTTTTACAACCCCTATATCGCTAACGTAATTGAGGAATTAAATAGCAAGGGGTTGGTTGAAGAAAGTGAAGGTGCTCGTGTGATTTTCCTCGAAGGCTTCAACATCCCACTCATAGTTGTTAAGAGTGACGGTGGTTTTAATTATGCCTCAACAGATCTGACTGCTCTTTGGTGGGTTATCTTTCAGTTAGTTCTTCTATAAGTTCTGTATTTTTGTAGCACTCTTTGGATATATATCTCATAGATTATGACTTTTTGTGTCTGTATTTGCTGAAGTGTGTGGCTTGATCTGAACTTGCATATTGTTTAATGAATTGTCTGCTGATGCTAAATCTGCCTGGCCCAGGTATCGGCTTAATGAAGAGAAAGCTGAGTGGATCATATATGTTACCGATGTTGGCCAGCAGCAGCATTTTAATATGTTCTTCAAAGTAGGGTTGATGATTTTTTTTTTTTTTTTAGTGTCTTGCTTAAAACTGTCAGTCGTAACAGTGCTGTGGTTATCCTGTTACTATGAATCAGGCTGCCAGGAAAGCTGGTTGGCTTCCAGACAGTGATAAAACTTACCCTAGAGTTGACCATGTTGGTTTTGGTCTCGTCCTCGGGGAAGATAACAAGCGATTTAGAACTCGGTCTTCAGAAGTAGTTCGCCTAGTTGATTTGCTAGACGAGGCCAAGACTCGCAGTAAAACTGCCCTTATTGAGCGCGGTATCTAACTTTGTGTCAGCACTCTTTACGTTTTGAACTGTTGAACCGCTCACTTGTTCAGTTATTTTGTGGTCTTATTCGTCCCTTGTTTCTCTGTTTAGGTAAGGACAAAGAATGGACTCCCGAGGAGCTGGACCAAACAGCTGAGGCAGTTGGATATGGTGCGGTGAAGTAAGTATTGTCTCCATCCTCCTCGTTTTTGTGATTTTTGTAACTGCACAAATATGATGAGTGTTCTATCAGATGTTTTTATAGTGGTTTTAGTAATTTCATGCTACTGCTAACTTGCGGTTTTGTTTAATTTCTTTCTTAGGTATGCTGACCTGAAGAACAACAGAACGACAAATTATATTTTCAGCTTCGATCAAATGCTTAGTGACAAGGTACTGGAATTTTCCACCTAGTTTGCATTTTGCATTTATGCAGTCAACCTACACATGCTTATTAGTCACATGTCATGAGCAGGGAAATACAGCCGTTTACCTTCTTTACGCCCATGCTCGGATCTCTTCAATCATCGCTAAGTCTGGCAAAGACATAGATGAGCTGAAAAAGGTATTTTAGCCGCATGAACACAGATCGCTTAACTACTTTTTGGTTTCTATTCTTCCTTTTGGCTGCACCTGAACTTTCCAACTGCCTCCATCTTTGATATTAACGGAAATGCTATTTAAAATCTATTTGTTTTGAAGGCATTAACAATTGTCAGTAGTTTTTTTAACTGCCAACTCCATGCCAGTGTCTACATTGAGCATTTAAATCTTGGAAGTCTTAAGATTCAATTTTATTGCACACCCTAAGCCCTTTATTGGGGATTCTTGTCTTAATTTTTTTTCCTTGGGTTTGTTCTATCTAATTTCACATTTTCATAAATAATGGATCCTCAAACACTTACGAAGACTGTTATAAGTTTACCATAAGCAGTATGATAAAGAGAAACTCATACGTTTCAACATTTGCTTTACTGCAGACAGGAAAGCTAGCATTGGATCATGCAGAAGAGCGAGCACTGGGGCTTCACTTGCTTCGATTTGCGGAGGTAACACTGTTCATTAGATACTACGATCGTATTTGACTTCTTTTTCTTGGTAAGGAAATGATCAGTTGCAAAACCCATGTGTGAACGATTTGCAGACGGTGGAGGAAGCTTGCTCCAACTTGTTGCCGAGCGTGCTGTGCGAGTACCTCTACGATTTATCGGACCGCTACACCACATTCTACTCTAATTGTCAGGTGTGCATACCCGACATTCGATGTTTCTATTTAATATTGTGAGATCAGACTGCATAGCTGCATCATCAATTCCATTGAATTTGATTTCACTTAAAACATTTAATTTTTTACAGGTCATTGGTTCTCCAGAGGAGACAAGCCGTCTCTTACTTTGTGAAGCAACAGCTGTTGTCATGCGAAAATGCTTCCACCTTCTTGGAATTACCCCTGTTTACAAGATTTGATGCATCCCATCATACTATTAAACGACCCAAAAGACAAAAAGGGGTTTTATCTGTTTTGAAAATTCTTCTGCACAATTAGTGAAAAAGGCGTTCTTTAGCTCTAAGTTTTCTCGTCTCATTTAGGTTGGGGAACCTTGTATACAATTGAATACAATGTTAAACTGAACGCGGAAGGTCGTTTTATCATATCATTGAACTGATTTTGGTGAATCATGAAAGGGGTTTAAGGTTAATCTTGAATCATTTCTTAGAGATGTGAATGACTGAGATTTGCCCTTGTAATACTTTGTTAGTCTATTCTTGACGTGGCTGTTTAAAAAATTCGATATGAAAACCATCTGTTAACAATCTCTATGTTTATAGAAATAAGATCAATCAAAGAGAAGAAGCAAAGTGAGATGCGAGCAGAAAGATCCTCAAATGTCACTATTACATATAGATCAAAAGGACTTGAAGATAGCACTGTGACTTGAGTGTTTTACTATTTGTCTGATCATCGTTGTGGATTTAAGCTTAAGTTAAGCTTAAGACACCTATTCCTGTGTAGTGTTTAGCTTAAGTTAAACACGGAAAGGATCTGCCCGCATTTAGACCTCTTATTCTTGCCTTGCAAAAAAAATTGAACGTAAAATGGCTTGTCAACCAAGTCCCAAAATTTGTAGAAAAAAATCAATTTAAGGTTACTAAATAAGAAACATTAAATAAATAGTATTTTCTAGAAAATACGACCTTCTCTCCAAGTACTTAGTAGTCGTCGTCGTTGCTGTCTTTTGTCAAAGAGATCCCAAAAACATTGTACATTATGAAGTACATAAATACATTATTTACTTATATAATTACACTCGCATATACTCTTAGCTATTTTCCCAACGTTATTGCGGCAAAATCCGTCTAAGCCCGCCACATGTTTGATGAAATTAACCTTTTTTAGCAAAACCATCTCTTTAGCCTCAGTGGTCCCTCTCTCTCTCACTTTCTTTGGCTTTTCATTTGCTTACCGACTCCATGGTCAAACACTCTTTGATCCTATTAAAATGGGTCGCCTTGTCTTTGATCTACGGATTTGATTCCATTTCACTAATTATTTCTTTCCCCTTCTTCGTTTCAGAGATCGAGTTTCTTCTACTTTCGTATTCAATTTTTCGTTGACGAGTTTCCAAGTTTCCCTACAAGAAAAAAAGGAATTCCTTTTTCTAAAAAAAAAATAATTAAGTTTGCCACCGAAGAGAGTTATTTCCTTGTTCTTGCTTCGTTATGAGTACTGTGGAAAGTAGCAAGCCGAAGATCATCAATGGTTCTTGCGGTTATGTTCTGGAAGACGTTCCTCATCTCAGCGATTACCTTCCGGGTCTTCCTGTATGTTCCTCTCCATCTCTGATTCGGCTCTTTTTTCTTTTTCAAACTCTTGCTTTGATCTATACAGTTGCAAAAAGACGAAACTTGATCTAGATAGATAGATATTTGTTCATGTGTGTGTATCTTAGCTGTTTAGTTTTTTTTTGGGAACTTGTGATAGATGAAATGAATTCCTCAGATTTTGAACAACTAAGAGTAATATAAGATTTCCCAAGGATAAAAGAGGGATTTTTTTTTGTATTTGGATCCCAATGATCATCAATCCGACTCACACCTGTTTATTTTTGGTTTTATGTTATTGCAGACTTATCCTAATCCCCTGCAAGACAATCCAGCATACTCAGTGGTCAAGTGAGTCTTTTTTTCACGGGTATTTAGGCAAATAAGGTTCTTAGTTATGTTCTATGGTGATTTAATTAATCATTTGCTTGCAGTTGTTACATTTTTTGTTTTGTGGAAATTTTTCAGGCAATACTTTGTTGATGCTGATGACAGTGTTCCTCAGAAGGTATATTTGGTTTGGAGATTTCTATTAAATCCATTGCAGCCTAAGAATTTAGAGCTCATGTGTCTCTTATTGGCTCTTCTCCTTTTTTTTTAGATCGTTGTTCACAAGGACGGTCCAAGAGGAATTCATTTTAGACGAGCCGGGCCACGTCAAAAGGTTTTGACTTTTGCTGAATGTGATCCTTTTTCTCATTTGAATATGATTTTCTGTTGACTTAGCTCTTTGCAGGTCTACTTTGAATCTGATGAAGTGCATGCATGCATAGTTACCTGTGGCGGTCTTTGTCCTGGCCTTAATACCGTGATTAGGGAAATAGTGAGCAGTCTATCTTATATGTATGGAGTGAAGAGAATACTGGGAATAGATGTAAGTTTTCATGATTGTAACAACGTGCTTCCCGACTCGTTCAAGCTCTTGTTTGTTTCATTTTCTCATGCCTGAATCTTTTTTCAGGGTGGATATAGAGGCTTCTATGCTAAGAATACTGTCTCCTTAGACTCTAAAGCTGTAAATGATATCCATAAGCGTGGAGGGACTATCCTCGGGACCTCACGAGGTGGCCACGATACCGTAAAGATAGTTGATAGCATTCAAGATCGAGGAATTAATCAGGTTTGATGATAACCCCCACCTTACACTGTATTTTACTCTAAGAGTTATAAAAAATTAGTTCTTGATGTTTTTGTGGTTGTTTTGTCATCGTTCAGGTTTACATTATAGGAGGAGATGGAACACAGAGAGGAGCATCGGTTATATTTGAGGTAAATCCCAATTCTACCTTGCAAGTTTATACCATTTCAGAACTTACGGATCTTTTGATTGTAACCATGTAGGAAATTAGAAGACGTGGCCTGAAAGTTGCAGTTGTTGGAATCCCGAAAACAATCGATAATGACATACCTGTATGTATCCCTCTCTACTCTGCTTCACCTCTATAGAAATAGCTATGTTTTTTATGTGAAGAGATTGAGAACTTCACATTTTTCTTTTGGCTAGGTGATAGACAAATCTTTTGGGTTTGACACAGCTGTAGAAGAGGCTCAGCGAGCTATAAACGCAGCGCATGTGGAAGCCGAGAGTATGGAGAACGGTATCGGCGTTGTCAAGCTTATGGGTCGCTACAGTGGTGAGTAATATACTCCTCTGCTGCTTCTTTTCTCGCCTGATCAAGCTCTTTTGTTAGATTTATCTCACAAGTGCGTGCAATGCTTTAACAGGGTTCATAGCCATGTACGCTACTCTAGCAAGCAGAGATGTGGACTGCTGCTTGATTCCGGAGTCACCATTTTATCTGGAAGGAGAAGGCGGACTGTTTGAGTACATAGAAAAACGGCTCAAGGAGAGTGGTCACATGGTGCTTGTGATTGCAGAAGGTGCAGGACAAGATCTAATGTCGAAGAGCATGGAATCTATGACTCTCAAGGATGCATCTGGTAACAAACTTCTCAAAGATGTTGGTCTTTGGCTGTCACAAAGCATCAAGGTATATCATAAATTACAGAGAAACTATCAAACATTGATGGATATTATATTATAGTCAGACTAAACTCAACAAGTGTAAATTTTCCTTTTTAACTTGGTCGTAGGATTATTTTAATCAGAAGAAGATGGTGATGAACCTCAAGTACATTGGTACGTTTCATATCACTTGCTGCACTCTCTCCATTATGAGCTTCTTGATTTTTTTGGACTCTTAGCGCATTTCCCTTTAATTTTCAGATCCAACATACATGATTCGGGCTGTTCCAAGCAATGCGTCAGACAATGTTTATTGTACACTTCTGGCTCAGAGCGCAGTGCATGGTGCAATGGCTGGATACACTGGCTACGTCAGTGGTCTAGTCAACGGAAGACAAACCTACATTCCCTTCTACGTAAGTTACAAAACAGATTTGAATGGTTTTTGGATGGATCAAATTGCTAGATTAATGATTAAACGGATCATCTATCATGTCATGTCATCATCATCATTTTGTGGATTGGTTGTGATGTTGTAGAGAATAACGGAGAAACAGAACCATGTGGTGATTACGGACAGGATGTGGGCGAGGCTATTGTCTTCGACGAACCAACCTAGTTTCTTGAGCCCCAAAGATGTCTCTGATGATAAAGAGCAGCCAATGTCGGCTCTCCTGGACGATGGCAACTGCAACGGTTCGGTCGATGTTCCTCCAGTCACCAAAGAGATCACCAAGTAACACCGAACCTAAATATATGATGATGATATGTCTTTATGTTTAGCCTTTAGGTAGTAAAGCAAATAATTGGGCTTATCGGTTTGACCCTTCCCCCATGGCATAAGAAAACATTGTTTTGTTTAGATGCCTCCTCATGTTGTAATTTTCCATAATCTACGTTCCATTTTTACTGATTCCACTTCTTTCAATTTATATCGAACTAGTAAAGCAATATCATATAATAGTTTTTTGTTCATACTTGCACCAAAATTTCTTAAGTTGATTAAAAACTAGCTTTCGAGCTGATCATTATATAAATAGATCAAGTTGTGTAAAATGTGATGGAGTTAAGTAAACCGTTTATGATCATGAACTGATATCCAATTAACACATATGAAAACAGCTATACATGGATTCGAACCATTGATCTGATGTCCAGTGAATTTTATCACACCACTGAATTACAAGCTGATTAAAAACCAATTCCAAGCTTCTCACTATGTATACTATGATGGAGTCAACCTTTGAAAACCAGAACTGATCTCCAATTAATGCTTGGGAAAACAGAAATGCTTTTGGCCCATCAACATACATAAATGTTTAAAGATATGAAAAAATACATGGATTTGAATTATTGCTATGTGCGAATTTGATCATACCACTGCAATACAAGTGTGTTTTCACAGCTCTACTTGGCACCTAAATATTATATATGTTTCATGGAATTCAGCTCAGGGTCAGCCTCGGCACTGTTTAGAACTGAATACGCTGTTTATATTTACTATTATAGATTTAGGTTTCTAATTAATTTAGATGTTAGTTAGTAGTCAGGGTTGAAATCTATATAATATATAGATTATTACTATTGAGTATTGACACAGTTGAAATAAAAGAAAAGGGTAAATCGAAAAAAAAATATAAGCAAAACATATACAAAGTATGATAAATAAAAAGGAAAAATAACAAAAAAGCATGTCATGTTTCCCTAATGTTTTGCTAATTTATATATATATATATATATAGTATTTTTTGGCCAAATTATATAATATGATCTCTTTTTAAGTGGCCTTTTTAAAATTAGAGATCCCATATAATTGTCATAACAATGTCTTCAGAATCGACTATGTTCATTGCTACTTTTTTTCCTCCACATTTCACCACTTCAAGCTCTCCGGAAAATACTGTAAATTTTGAAAATTAGAATAGAGAAAAGTAAGCAAATCATTTAAGAAATATACATCTGCATTACAATAATTATTAATGTACAATTACTTTCTTATGAAAAGAACATGCAATATATACTCACTTTTTTTATAAGAGACATATAGTAGGGCTTGACCTTCTCCACATCAACGTGAACTTTGCTCTTACTGTACAAGTCGTACTGGCTGTAAGATCAATTATATACAGGAATTTAGAGGTTGTAGTTATTAGGAATTTAGGATTAAGACTCAATCAGTTAATCATGTTTAAGAAATGTAATTACTTGAAAACGTGTAGCCACTTCAGGTTCCTTTTGTCTTCCTCATTCATAAGATGGGTGTATTCTCCAGCCGTGTGCAATGCTGTAGATATGTAATTAACATTAAATATTAATTTAAAATGTTATTTATAATCATATTTTGTTGTTTTAATACTGAAGTGCTTACGGTAAAAGGAATGGTATCGTATGATGAACTGTCCTGCAGACGGTAAGGTGCTTCTGTTCTCTTTAACCACCTGAGAATATATTATTTAACCATCAATTATTACTCACTTTACATTATTCAAAACAGATTAATTAAATTTTACTACATTTAATTAGCAATGAAAGTAAATAACTAATTAATTACCATGTACATGTAGTCGTCATGGCCCCATGACATCATGACATTGTTTAATCCACATCCTTCAGTGTATATCCCATTTTTAGTGTTGTAGGCTTGGTTATGAAAATCTGGATTTTCCAGAAAATACTGCAAAAGAAAAGGTATATATAATTAATGTGAGACAGTAAATTAATCGTTTTTTTGGTATAACTTTTAAGAACAAGTATTATATCATCAGTCTAAGACTAATTTCTTAAATTCATAAATTTATATTAACAATTTAATAGATTGAGTCTTTTCTACCTTGTGGTGTACGTTAGATTCATCAAAGGCACACCCAACAGGGAATGTGTCACCTGCAAGTTTTTGTAAGAAACAAAAAAATTAATATCATATATAGTTGGGAATAATTTAAATATTGATCACAAAATTTAGTTTAAATTACCGACAGTGGCCCATTGAGGAAGTCCTCCGAATTGTGGAAGAGTAATAACCTTCCCAAGATCTGATCATCCATTAAATAATTCAAGTGATGATTAATTATGATACACAGCGACATGGATTGTATCCAATTCACGGTACAAAGCTAAATCGAAACCATTACGGAGAAAAACATAGATAAAAAGCTGGATAAAAAAATAGATCAGTTTGGTATTAAATTTGAAGTAATTGTGTACCTACCTATCTAAAATAAAAGATTAGATAGATAAATCATAAAACCAATCATATAAAGAATAAAATTGCAACAAAAAAAAAAAGTTGACAACCTGAAGTCTGAAGATTTGATTTCAATTCGCTTTCTACATATCCGATTCTCATTTTATATATTTTTTGGAACAAAAATAATGATTCTCATTTTATTTCATAATTCAGAAGATCTAAACAAAAAACCAAATTATATATACTCTTATAGTTAAAACAAATTACCATGAATAAGAGCGGTTAGATGAAGCCAGTCTTCATTAGGATAATCTTTGCGGATAGCTTCGGCAGATTGAAGCAAATGCTGAATCTGAGGCTCGTCAAGATCTGGATCACTTTCGTCCACCACCTCGTTAAGGAGCTCACAACATTCCCAAATGCTCATCACCTTTTTATCTAATTTTCCATATTCAGCCCTCATCTTTTTCACCTATAAAATACATTTTCATATATTTCCAAATAAGTAAATATCAATAGAAAACACATGTATATATATATATAAAGATAGCTTTTCTCTCTTCTGGTGCTGCCACCTCAGCAGCCACCTTAGCAGCCATTTGTGCAATTATTTTTTTAAAAAAACTTTTGCTTTGTCCGATTTCTCTAATTACGGCAAATAATGAAACACTTTAAATAAATCAAATATCACACTACCATAAACTAAAATTAAACAAATCATATGAACGACAACAATCACGAAATCACCATCAAAAGGGAATTGCATAAACAGATTTTTCGACGAAAGTGATATTTTCCAGAAAAAAAAAACTCAACTCAGCTCAGCTTAACCATAAACGCTGGACTTTCTACCAATCCCAAAAAGGATCCATGAAATCCACGCCAAATTGGAGTCACCAATGACACACCCAAAAAACCAATTCCAAAGTTGAGAAACCGATCAGCTCCCCAATATGATGACAAATAGAGGTATATCTAAGAAATTATGGAGAGGGGTTAGACCGGCACCGATTCTGGAAAAAAAACACCGCAAGAGTGGAGGATACCGTCACTGAATCATCCAAGGAAGAAAGAGAAGGAAGATGAAAAAATGACTCAATTAGAGACCAAAGTAATGGATATGAACAAAAGGTTGGTCCGACCAAAATTTCAATCACCCTCTTTCAAAGGAAGCACCCTCTATCATTAAACCAAAATTCCAACAATAAAAGGGTTTTGCCAACATTTGAGAGAGCTACACGACTTTGTATAATCAAAATGGGATTTCATAAACATCGAACGAACAAAGAAATATAGCAGAAAAATGAGCCAATATAAAATAATACAAAAAATTAAAGACTAAAAAAAAAACTTTCACATTAACCATTCAAACCCGATTTCAATATAGACATATTGTACTTCTACTGACTCAAGGCCTTATACAAAATATACTAACGGAGAAAGTGTTTTCACAATTACAAATTAAAAAAACAAAGAAACAAATACTTCAGAAACAAAAATAAATTAACAAGAATAAACATAACACTTCCATAACATAAACAAAAAAATTATAAAAAAAACAACCCCGAATAATACCTTCTATAAGAGACATAAATCCCCGAGATATAAAACTATAAAAAAAGGAAAAAACACGTGTATAATATAATAGAGAAGAATTATAACATAAAAACAATGGAAAAACGCCTGCGCGTAGCACGGGTCTAGTATTCTATGTAGATCACATAGATTTAATTCAAATGAATACATAAAGCGTATTTGCACCCGAAAAACATATAAACCGTAATCAGTTTTAGGAATCTTACAAAGTCGACAGTTTGGTTAATATGTTGTAAACTGTAAAACTCTTCAACACTTTTCTGCCTTTCACTCTTAGCATCGTAGTCCCTGCGACCATAACACCAGTGTATGCATATTATGATCAAGTCAAGGGCTATATCTGAATTCTGACCAAAAATAAATCTAAAACTCGGTTTTTGTGTTTCTGGATTAGTTAGATTTATTATAGATGGTAGAATAAAAACCTGAATTGACGGCCGAATGCATTCATTTCAGGTGCCAAGAGCGCTACTTCTTCTTCAGTAGCTATGTTTGGCATCGAAAATCTTCCATCTGATCTTAACTCTCCGGTTTTGTCTTCGTTCTTGTCTGTGACTTGGAACGAATATTAAAATATACATCAGAAAACTTCGTTGAATAATATTGGGATTTGGGGAAAAAAGATTCATTATTTTTTTTTTTCCAAAAAATTGTATTGCGTTTTCCCCGAACTTCATTGCTTTTACTAGAAAATTCAAGTTTGTTACAGTGAAAAAAATCCTATAAATCGTTGTACACATAAAATTATATTTGCTCAAAGCCTTTTTTTTTAGTCATTCTCTTTCCGCCTGATTTTTTTTTTTAAACATCTTCTTTCCGCCTGATAATCAGTGCATTGCTTGGAAAAGTTGGAAAAATTAAGAAATTGGGAGAATATTTACTCACCAAATATCGGCTTCTCAATAGAGATCGTCATAGTCGAAGAACGGTTTTAAAGAGAGGAAACGTAAACGAAAGAGACGATGGGAGATAGAAAATATACTTTTGCGATGAAGACTTGACGAGTTTAAATTGGACTTTAGCGTATTTATAGTGTGGTGGTGGATTAGTATCAAGATTGTCCTTGATATTTGGCGAAAATCTTAAGTCCTTGTCAGCAATTATGTATTTCTAAAAACAGTTTGTTTTTTATATTTATCCAAACCAGAAACGACTTTCTGTTTTTTTTTTCTTTTTTTTTTTGGTATTGTCTAAAGTTATTTATCATCCAAAGTTTACGATAAGAAAATTTATGCTAATTTTAAACTGTGTTTCTTTTTTAATTATTATTTTGACCGTGATTTTAATTATTTTAGATAGGAATCGATAATTTCCTTTCTGCTATATTGATTGTATTTTCCTTTTGATTTATGGATGTAATTAACTAGAAAACGTTTGTCAGAATTACTTTCTTTGAAAAGTTTTCAATTCAGATACTGTTGGTAAGGACATTTAAACTTCCTAATAAAAGGAACCTTAAACCAAAACAGAGAGTTTTGTCCTTAACCCTTACATATGCATGAGTTCTGTCCTCAAAACTCAAAAGTATACACCATAAAAAAAAAAAACTCAAAATGTATGAACAAAGTGTTAGCTTGATTGTAGCTGGTAATACAAGTCAAGGCGTCCCTAAAATAAAGCTGCCATTGACTCAGCATTACGTGGCCAATACTTATATAGGTTATCTCAATCCTACCTATTTGCATTTCCACACATGCATGACGAAATATATATCTACTCATCATATTCAACATGTAATTCACGTACTTTTAACTTTTGCTTTAATTTTCCTTTTAAAACGGGAACTAGAATAAAACATGGGAGGGAATGGATTTTCCATCCCAAAAATGGACAGGCCTACGTTTGAGTATAGCAAAAGATGGTTTACTTAAGCCGGTCTCGTTTATTACGGTTTTAGAAGATACGATGGTTTACGGGTTATCGTAGGGATCGTCTTATTATAACGTACACTGGGCTCTAAATGGGCCCTGACTGAAAAGTGTTTTTTTCGGCTGGAGAAACTTTCGTTGAAACTTGAATGCTCCGTAGACAATAATCTCCAGGCCGTTGAAGATTTCCTAATTCCTGTCGATCTAAATTCTGCGTTTCTCTGAGTTTTGCAATCTAATTACGTTTCCTCGTGAAGAAAAATCGATGAAGAAGCTAGCGAGAACATGGCGGAGAACTCGTCGCGGCGACGAAGATGATAAGTTCGTCCTTCCTACTTCAGACGACATCGATTCTCGGCCGATTGATACGCAAGGTTTTTTTCTGTCGTCCTGTGAATTGATAGGCAGATTCGTAAAGCAAGTTCGTAACACTTTCTAGCTACATTCGCTGTTATACAGAGCAAGAGGAGTACGTTCGGTCACTCGAGGAAGCTCACGCTCAGCAAAGTCGGCAATGGAGGGTATGATCGAAGAACAGTATCCAAATATGAGAGTTCTGTTTCTAATTAAGAAGTCTATATTCCTATTTTTGTGTAGAGCGTGTTCGCGGTTCTTCTGTTATGCTATGGAGCTTTCCTCTTCTACTCCATTTTTCAGCAGTTCATGTCACCATGGGAACTGGTATGATAATCTCTCCCTAAATGTGTCCTTGCTCGTCTTTGTAGCACTTCGATTTTGATCGATTAGTTTTCTTTCTTAAGATAGATATGAAGCCTCTTGTTCATATCAAATTGAGTCCATAGTTGATGTTCCGATCAGATCCCTTGTCTTCATTTGAAGTGAGATCTTTGATTTCAATAGACGAACTTGAAATTAAAACGTAAGAACTTAATCTGACTATGGACAGCTAATATTTTACTGAAGTGATTTCACTTATTACCTTTGTATGATCCCGCCAGTGTATAGAGTTATGTGCACTTATTTTGCTTTAGACGTACATATACAAATGTCTCTTTGATTTAAGGTATGTATATTGTACAGTCTGTATTTTTATGAGTTCTTAGGTGATGCCTTTTTTTTCCGAGCAGCGTTATCATGCCTACTTCATGGAAGATCTCAACTCATGGATGGTCATTTCAGCTGGTTTGTCTTTCATCTTTGTGTTTTTACTTTGTAGTCACAGTCTATAACATCTGTCCTGTCATTCAATATGGTGGTACATCCAATACTGAGCTTGTGTGGAAGTTTCTGTGTAATCTCTTGTGTCAATATGGGAAAGAAACAGATATGTTAGATGCATGTTACTCAAATGCACACTTTCATATGGTCAATTTCTGGCTGTAATTCCTGAGTATCACTTTCATAAGAGATGAAGTAAGGAATAGTGTAGAATGAGAACTAGTGATTGCTTTTTCAGTGTTTTGGACCTTAGGTAAGTAAACTGCTTCCCTCCTAGTATAGTTACTAGAACCAATTTATGGCCATACTGAAACCTCATTTCTATGAGAAGACTTTGATGTGCTTGGTTTCCTATTCATTTTTTTCTAAGTTTTCACATGTTATTTGATTCTTATAGCAATAAGAAAACTTTTATGACCGTATTTGTGTATCAGAGTGGATCGCTATCATGGCTTGCTGCCTCTCAATCGTCGGGCTACTAAATAAGAAGAATGATCATAGACGGTGGTTCTGGTACTCATGTGTTCCTGGATCTGCGTTGACCATCTTTTGGCTATATTACTTGCTGAGGTACAGTTGAGAGTATATATTTCATCACTTCCGATACCATATTACATCTTCGACGGAAAAAAAAAAGATACCATTTTACATTTGATAGACCTTCAGAAGTACTACTACTATTAGAGTGAAGAGAATATAAGAGTGCACTTAATCTTAATATAGAGCTCCAGAGATGCTGGTTCATGGATTATAATGCAGATTTTAGTACCAGTAATCCTTGTGCTAATAATCCGTGCTCTGTAGATTTGTGCTAATAATCTGTCTCACACGTGTTTTAGGCTTCCGAAGTTCCGGTGGGATGCTATATGGATGCCATTTGGGCCGCTTTGGTATGTGCATCTATCTGGTACATATAATTATATATATCCTGTGTGTGTTAACACTAATGTTTATATAAACTTTACTGTATTTTAAAATTGAAGCTTAGCTGGAACTTGTCTATATGTGGACCATCTACTGGAGGAGTCTTCTGAAGAAGTGAAAAAACTAAGGAACTATATGTATGCATATAAAGCAAGGTAGAGATATAAAGACATCCCAATACTCTTCAGAGTATATTTGTAATAGCAAGAGTGCAAGTTTTGACTCTACCATAACTAAAGAACCATTCATCTTTTGCTAAACACTCAGGTTCTATATTGTGTAAATACCCATGATCGAGTCAAAAGTCAAAACTAGATTCAAGGTTATAAAGGCAAATCATGAGGATATTGCAGTTTACGCAGGTAAAAAATGCGATTAGTTCCCTTTGTGTACAAAATTATTGATTCATCATACAATTCACTTAAAATTTAGTACATAAATAAACTCATAGCTGCAGATACGATCATGAATAAGCTAAGTTGTCGTATTGATCGACTCCATCACAAGACACACAGATTCTGTCTTGCTCGCAATCCATGGAGTGAAAAAATTTCAAGAAGATTAATCTCTCTAATAACTGCATCCACTGATTCAAAGTCACTACATAGCAAAAAATCAAAACTAAAAAAAATCTGGTAAGAGGTTACAAGTTTGACTAATCCTCTTCTTCGATGACTTTAGTGCCAAGGCCACCAAGTCCTTCAGCAGGGATTTCAGCAACAGTGACAAGGGAGAAGAACTCTTCCTTAGCGTCTTCGTCATCGTTTCTCTTACGAGCAATTCGGACTCTGATCCTCCTAGGTGGACCTCTGATACCTCTGCTCCAAATCTGCTTGTTCAGCTTCACATCCACTCTCACATCCTTTGTCCCCATCGCCTTCTCTGCAAACTTCCTTATCTCCTTTATCGCCTTTGGAGCCTTCTTCTTAAAGGTACTGTTTTACACACAAATTCCAACTTTTTAACATCAAGCTTTCAAAAAGGTCACATTCATAGCTTGAGTGCACAACTCGAATTACAACATTGGCTTAGAGCTTGATAGTGAGATTTCTACTTAATAACACGCAATTTCCAACTGCTAACGAATTTGACGAAACCATCAAACAGCTAAAATTTTGAACTACCTGAAGGGCAAATCGAAGCAAAATTGTGTTTATTTGGGAACTTACCAGCTATGAAGGCGTCTGTGAAGGTTGATGGTGTACTCTCTGGTCACCACCTCCTCTTTCCTTCCCTTCGTCTTCTCCGACATTGTAGCTCCCTGTTTCTCTGTTCATCCAAAATCAAATTGGTTACAATACGATAGATTCTCTATCTGTTCTTTAAGCCGATCAGCTTATTGTTTGCTCAGTGCGTCATTTGATTGCCCAATAAAATGAAGGAATATGAAGAATACTAAGACTGAATAGAGAGAGAGAGAGAGAGGGGGGAGAGAGTACCTTCGTTACTCCAGGAACGCCGAAAGACAGACGGCGGATGCGGAGGAGGAGTGGCTTATATGCGGCGCTTCGTAGGAAGAAGAACTAACCCTAGTCGATTCAATGGGCTTTCTAATTTTCTATGTGTATCTCTTTATGGCCCAATTCAGTCAGAGTTTCTGAGCTCACCTTTTTCATTTACATAAGTAACATTCACGGCTTAACGATTTTTAATTTAGAAAAGTAACATTCACGGCTTAAGCAATGTGGGCGTTTGGTCTAGTGGTATGATTCTCGCTTTGGGTGCGAGAGGTCCCGAGTTCGATTATCGGAACGCCCCATTTTTAATTTTTTGAACGCAACTTTCAGAATTCGAGTTTTGCCAAAATCCCCTAAAGCTAGCTATCACGACCCACTCATTAAACGAGTTGAGTGTTGCTTCGTAACTTTTTAAAATCTACAAATTTGCAGAAATTTCCAAACTTAATAAGAGATCAAGAGAGAACATACAACGAGTTTAGTGTGTTTCTTGGTTTGTTCCTCTTTATTGAATATATTAGTCTCCTCTCATTCACAGAAGATCAAGAACAATGAACAACAACGCTTTGGCAACACATCATAGCTCAATATAATCTCCTGCAAATAGTGATCCCATCGCCAAGCGCAGCTTGCGAGATCTGCACACGCTGATCAGCCGAGAGTTTCTGGTTCAGCTCGAGGGTTGCTTTCTTGCCTTCTTTCCTCCACTCGGGAATGGAAGAGTGCTGTTCAGCAACCAATCCTCCCCAGAGAGTGTTGTCATACACTATAATCCCACCAACCTTGATGAGTCTCATAAGCCTCTCATGGTAGTTCCAATGATTCACCTTGTCTGCATCCACAAATGCAAAATCGAATCCACCTTCGTTCGCTTTCTGCATCAGAAACATCAATACACAAAGACCATCTCAGGATAAATATCGATTGTTTCTACCGCTAAAGTTGATCCTCTTGGTGAAAAAGAAACTAGAAATGATCAAATGTGGTTTCGACGAAGTGGGTAACAATAAAGGTACACACTTTGAGCAATATATAGACGCTGTGAAAGTGGCAAATAAAGAAGTATGAAGCTATACATCGTTTAAAAGCTCGTCAAGGACTGGAAGAGCTTTAGACTCTCTGAAATCGATTTTGTGTTCAACACCAGCTTTCTTTATAACAGGCAATCCTATTTCATACGATTCTCTGTTCACATCAATGGCGATAACCTGCAGATCTCGTGTACTAAATCAGTAGCAGAAACGATACAGAAGCAGAACAATGGAAAAGCTTCAGTCTTTTTCTTGGTCATATGTACACATACCTTGCCATCTTCTGGTAATGCAAGCGCAGTGAGGAGAAGAGAGTATCCAGTGAAAACCCCAACTTCGATCGTCTTCCTTGCATTTACCAGATTCAACAGCATCCCCATCAACTGGCCAGCGTCAGGTGCAGTAGCCATCAAAGCTCGAGGGTGGTTATGAGTAATGTTCCTAAGCTCCTTGAGAGCCTCCGGCTCGCGTGGGTACACACTGGTCTCCAATATATACTGCAACATTTTACAAAGAAAGGGTATCAGAGAAATGGAGAGTCTAAAAGAAGAAATCGGAAATGTGAGAAAACCGTAGAGAAAGTGGAGCACACTTTATAGAGCTCTTCACTCTGCAGCAGTCCCTTGGAAAAATCTGATGCCTTGGCTTCATCCTTCGCCATTGTAATCACAGTCGTCTTCCCCAATCACAGACACTCAAGTAGCTGGCCAAGGAATAGGGCATAAGTTATAATGACCATGACATAAATCAAGACATTATGTAAAGGATAAGGGTTCTTTTGATTTTGGGCTAGTGAAATTTACAATCTTTCTTCTGAAATTGACGATCTTTTTTAGTTTTCAAGGAAAATCTTGTAAAATGAAATAGAGGTACAGCATATGAGTCTGTTCATAATATATAAGTAATATAACATCGGTAAATAGCAAAATTGATCACAGATTATAGCCGGACAATCCTAAACACAGGTTCGATACGAGGTTTTCCTATCAGAAACAGGTTTCTAAAGTCTGAACCCTTAGATCAGCCCAGCCCTTCAAAGTTGGACGTCAACATTCTCTACCGTTGATCAAAGCACACTTAATTTTTTTTTAAAAAAAAAAGCACACTTAGTTACTTCGTAGACTATCAAATGTTATGGTCAAACACTCAGACAGAAAGGGACAACTACAACGACTCACGATCTAAAACTGTTTACGCGATTGACGAAAACTTACTACAGAGAGAATAAGATTTATAATGAAGAACGATCGGGAGAGAGGGAGAGTACTCGAGGGCTGAAAGTCTCAGTTTCCGATCTTCTACTACAATTCTGACTGATGCTTCTACACTGATCAGGTTTGACTTTATGCGAAATTGCGAAAGACAATGACAGAGAAAACGTTTTAAAAAACACCTAACAATTGTCAAAATGGGATTTTCTTCCCTTTTTTATAAAAAAGAAACTACAATGAAAGGCATGCAAAATGGCATTTTTTCACCCTTCTCGGGTAAGGAATGAGACATCTTACCCACCCTTCTCTGGTAAGGAATGAGAACGGTCCAAACCTCATTTGAAATAAATAACGATGGTGATACACCACCAGAAAGATGTTTCAAAGAACTATGCTTTTTTTCAATTTAAAGAAAAAGGTGCCATGCTTGTGAAAATGGGTCATTCACACAATGAACCTAAAAAGGCAAACCAAAACCAAACATGTTGTCGACTGATATTATTAGAGCTAGCATGAGCGATGATGCCTCAGCTTCTCAAAACTGTGTGTATTAATTATCCAGAGACAGAAAAGAAAATAACTTTTTGCTTCTAATGTCAGCCGTGAGATCGATAATAATCCGCCAGTTTATGATATAAAAAGCTTTTCAGAGTTCAATAGTTTAAAGGCATCTTTTCTTGCTTATGGGGTTGCTTTGGTTTCTTCAAGGGTAGTAGCCGGTGAAAGTGAAGCCTCTTCCAACAATCTCACCTGCACAGTACCAAGCAAAGCACTCAAGACCAAAAAGTGCTGCAATTCCAGCATCTTCAACCTTCAAATCAGCCCGATTCTTCCACAAGCCCTTCACGTGATCAACTTCCTTCCAGAACGACTCAGAACGTCCAGGAATGCTGCCAATCCACATAAACAAGTCAGCCACAGGAACAAATAACAAATAAGAAGTACACTTCTTAAATAACATATCTACAAACACTGAAAAATAACAACTAAACCTACACCAAAACCTCTCTATAAGCATTGAAATGTTGGCATCTAGCTCAGATGCAGCAAAGAAGAGACCGTAATTAGGCATGTGGTGAATTCATAGCTCAGAACGATCAAACCTAGAATGTAGAGTTCAAGTATTCTTTCATTACGGAGCGAACCATCCCTAAACCTAATAGATAACGAGCCAAGGCTATCTGCATCATTTAAGATCCCTACCAAACCAACCATGGAATAGAAACAGAAACCAAGCCGCTATTTACACTTTAGACAATAATAACAACAGGCAAAAACAGAGAAGCTTTAATCTTTACTACAAGAAGAAAGCTATCAAACAGCAGTGCTTAGACACAATATTGTAACAAAGTCTACCCTGCAAGAAATCCTGCTACCACGCAATTTCTTATCTAACAAACACATCGTCCAGGATCACATAAGAGAGATAAAGGAAAGATTAAACCAACCTAGCAAGACGAGTGTAAAGAAGCTGCTTAGACAACTCATTGCATTTCTCTACAGTGGCTGGCTCCTGGATATACTGCTTGTTGTTCTCCATCAACTGTTTGTAGTAAGTTGTGCCGTGCTTGGACACAAACTTGGATGCTTCACAGGCCTTGGATTTCAGCTGTAGCAACTTGGATGCCATCTCTCAAACCTCTTTTCTAAGCCACAAGACAAATTGGATTCACAAATTAAAATAGGAGCTAGTGGATGCAGCCACTATGGGACATGATATAGGATCTATCTAAGGGATAACAAGGTACTAAAAGTAAATTCCAATTCCAATATCAAAAGAATTAAGCTTCAAAAATTATAACAGACACGACAAAACAAAAGCATTTGTACGTGACGAATTCAGAAAGATCAAAATAGCTCGACCTAAAATAAATGTCGACCAAAACAAACCCTTATCATCGATCAATTCCAAATATTGAACAATCACATTGTCGCTATTAAGCACACACTCAATCAAAACGCGCATCAAAGTAAGCGACCCGAAACCACAGATCTATCAGTCAAATTCCCAAAAGGGAAAAAGTGGAAAAGAAGAGATGAAACTTCAAAACAAATAGAAAAAAGGTATTGAAGGTCTCAAACCTTGCTGATTTCGCCGGCGGAGGAGATTGAACTGGTGTGTCACCGTTACCGGAGAACGAGAGCGCCTCTAGACTTGGGAGTTTTTGGGGTTTTGTTACCACTTCTTCCTGAGGTTTCTCCGATAATAACAGGATGCAGAAGAAACAAAAAAAAAACAAACAAGGCGGGCCTTATATGGGCCTTCAGTAATGTCTTAATAGCCCAATATAGCAAATAACTTTATTTATTTATTCTATGTGTATATGTTAGAATTTTTTTTTTTGACATACAACTTTTAATGGGACATCATTTTGAGATTACAAGGTGATGAACAAGTTGAAAACGCTTCTAGCGAGCAATTTTTCTTTAAAAAAAATCCCATGTTTTATTAATATCATCTTTATCCACTTCAAAATGAGAGGTAAAAGGTTTGTTATTTTTTTCTTACACCAAATATATATGAAAAAAGCAATGACACTAATATCGGGTTTCAATTGATGTGAGGTCTCAAAACACTTACAATATTCACCATTATTAGCCTACACAATTTGTGACTATTAAGTTTTAATTTATGTGTATTTCAAAAAGTATTTTCTAAATTTGTATCTCTTATCACATAATATTTTATCCGCATTATTTACTAATCCGCAAAAATCCATAATATTTATTGTATCAATATGTATCATTATCTTGATGTAGAAACAATAATGATTTATTTTGATCAACCAAAAGACCAAGAAAACTTCCTCTACTTTCTCTTTTTAAATCGTTAAAAATTTTTTTATCTTTTTAACAAAATAGGACAACTTTTGTCATTCCAATTGCATTCCAAAACTTACCAATCAGACATCATCCGCAATTTCAATAAATTTAAGAAAAACAAAATACTGTGTACAAACTACTGAGCGAGCGAGGAACACATGCAGTGTCCCACCAAATTTTTTTTGAAACAAAAGGATAGAAGAGAATCAAAAACAATGTAGCGTTCTTATTATTGATTATAAAAATAAAAATAAAAGACGTACAAATGCACGGAGATGGTAGAGGGTGTCATTGACACATCAGTCTAATTAACAAACACAAGACCAATTACACAATCTCAAAAAACATTATGAAAAAAAACTTAAAGCGGTTGCTACGTATAATTTTGATAAAACTATATATATAGCTAAACCTTTCTGAAGAAAAAAAAGTGATTTAAGAAGGCCTCCACATTGCAAGTTTGGTTATGCGGCGCAGGGGGCAAGGTTCGTAAGACCATCACCACCAGTTTCCTTGGAAGCTAAGGCTCCAATGATCGGGTTGGGGTTTAACTTTGATTCAGTCTCGACAAAGTTCTTGTAGTCCAAACTCGAATCTTCGTAAATCTCCCACCATTTCTTCACCAACATTTTTACGTCTTCTCGATCCATATGTTCATCAGCTTCATTGTATTTCCAAGGCTTAGAACCCTATAAAATTTATTGAAAGTACAAAAAATTAGTAATAAGAATATATACGACATACTGTATATGGCCACAACAAAAAAAAAAATTTAAAAGAAATAAACAAAATAAAACGTACATTAGCACAGTAATGAACAACGCTGATCTGATCAAGATCAAATCTTTCAGGATGACGCCAAAGCATGGCTATTATGAGATTGGCTTGTAAATGTCTCTAAAGTACACATTAAGAAAATCCTACCAAAAGTAAACAATAATATTAGAATTACAAATTAAAGAAAACTCAAATCATATAATTAAAAAAAAAAAGACCTGCTCGGCGAAACAGGTCGGCGTAGTGACTTGAACAACACGAATGAGATCCTCGTAAGTGGCAAGATTTGGTTCAAAAACCAACATACCAGCGTTGAAATACAACGGTGGAGGAGAACCATGGGTTTCCACTGGCCACGTCACCTTTTCCGGCGACTGTTGACAATAACCGATCTTGTACTGAGGAGTTGTACACCATGATATCTCGCAGAAGCAATCTATGACCGCGTACAGGCTCCGCCCAAGTGGATAGGGCAGAGAGGCGATGGCCCATGGGTCTAATCTCATTTTCAAAATTTTTTTTTATAAAAAAAACTATTTTAAAAAAAAATTAATATAAATTCAGCCCAAAAAATACAATATTTAGTACAATTTAAGGTTTTTACGAAAAAAAATTTATGCAAAGGCCCAAACAGTTTAAGTTTTATATAAATTAGACCTAAATTATTAATTTTTTTGTATATAAATTAATTAAGGGGCCCAAAATTTTTTTTTTGCCCTAGGGGTTAAAAACTGGACCGGGGCTGACCGCGTACAAGTAGCCACAAGGAGCATCGAAAAGATGATCGATGTTACTAAACACTTGTATGTCTCCATCTAGATATATCACCTTCTCATACTCCACGAACTGCGTCCAAATTTGTGAAATGTAATCAGTTGTCAAATCTACATGCATGGGCCGGCTATGACGTATGCGATATATACATTATCTTTAATTATTATATAGTAACTTTCGACATACATAATAGTTCATTTACGTCATCATGTAAGTAAGATTTGTACCTCCCAAATACGAAGCTAAGAGTAGTTGAGAACGAAATAGGCCATGGAATAACCGGCTGGGTTTTCCGGCGGATGAACCGGTTCGATCTCACGGATGATGCATCCTTGAGCCACAAGGATCTGACGATGTTCCTCTGGCACGTCTGGGAGAATCGCCACCACAAGAGGATAAGCCGATTTTACCTTACGAAGTCCTTTGGCTAGACCAACCACACCCATCCAATAGTCTTTATTTCCGGCGAGGAAAGTGACGTAAGCCATTTTCCCACTGTTAGGGCTCACTACCACATCAGCTTCTGGACGGTCATTGTCATTTGGGCCATCTCAAACGATTTGAAAAGATTAGAAGATTTGAAAGATATGAACTTTTTTGAACTTGTTATTTTGAGGTATAAGTGAATGGAAGATAAAAGAAATTATCTCATTATATAAGGGGGCGAGAGAGAAGAGTAATTAAATGAGATGGATAATTAATTATAGAGGATTTCATTGTTTAGAAACGTTCCTTGTTGACAAAGATTTAAATCGGAGAGGATTAAGAAAATTGACTCTAAAATTGTAATATATATGGAAGTGGGATTGATTCTGCCTATATATTTGCGCATTAATTTAGATAAAATCGGTTTACTGAATCTTTGATGTATATAGTATGTTTCCATGTCCATTTTTATTACAAATTTACAATACACCAACTTTTGTTGATTAACGTTTTTGAAGAGGATAAATCGGAGGATTCTGGAGTGATTCGGTTCTTATCTACCAAGGTTTAAATCCGAGTAGATAAAGAAAATTGATACTCAAATTGTAATACATATGGAAACTTAGGAGAAGAACTGTTAATTTATCCCAAAAAATAAATCCATATAGAAATGGGAATAATTCATCATATATACTGATATACATATGGATTAGATCGGTCTATTTAATTTTTATTTTATTTGAACATCACTCTTGAGTTTTTTTTATGAATAGAAACGTGGGCTTCTAAAGTTGGGCTTATGTTGAACTGAAAGCATATTTTCGGCCTATAGAGAGAGGATGATTAAGTCTTTAACACAATCAAGCCAGAGATAAAAACCGAATCAGTCAAGAAAAATGCCAAAACCCCTCAAGAAGTGCTACAAAGTCTTACAAGATCACTTTTCTACATACTGTTTCGAGCTCTTCTTGTACTTAGATTAGCTCGTCTTCAACACATTTGTTTATTCTCGGTGTACTCTCCCCAATCTGTCTTCCTCATGTCCTAAACGATCAGCTTCTGTTTCTCTTTCTTTTTTTTACTTTCACAAGAACCGCATCAACCGCTGAATCGCTTTATTTCGAATTCTTAACTCGCAAAGTCTTTAACCTCGGTTATGTGGAAATGGCCGTTGAGAACATATATGCATCATCAAACGAATTAATGCTCACGTACAATTGCAATTTACAGGTCACAAAAGTTCAGTCGAGTTAGAATTTAACTATTGAGAGAGATTCTTGTCCTACAAAATCTCTCTTTTTAGTGCCAAACAGCTGATAAGATCTTAGATTTTAACAATAAAACAGAAATTCAAGCAAAAAGCAAGCTTTGTTTACCGATCGCAATGGTTCAATCACATTAGATATGATTTTAACTTGACAAAGGTTTAGTCCTCTACAAGGCAGCTCCCTTAGTCAAATATACATTATTAGTCATTGGATCGCATTTTTTGCTTAATGATTAGCTGCGTATCATGTACTTGAACAAACCCCAAAACTATAATCTGACTAGATTGTCATAAAATAATACTCTGGACCACACTGGCATGTGATGTCACATTTTATCATTTATAAAAAACATTTATCATTCTTTCCTCCCATTCAAATCACATAAAGAGGAAAACGCATGCATAATACAGATACCAAAATAGTTTGAATTAACAAATAATACAATACATCTTTATACACTTCAATCACGTACACTTGCAGCTTTATAGTTAGGGTTGTTTGTGATATGACGACACTACTAGTTAATTAGTACAGACTAGTAGACATGTTTCCATTCGGAATTTTTATCTATATATATCATTTGAATTAGATGAAAATTTACCTAATTAAACCTTTACAAATTGCCATAATATAAGGGTTATAATCCAATAAAATCTTTGCTGTTAGAAAAAAATTTGGATGATGTCAACTTATCAAGTATCGAAGTAGCAGTTCAAACAAACAAAAAATGAAAGAAGGGCTGCCAATCTAAATCTGGTAACTAAAACGGATGATACAAACACTTTCAATCAACTTTTAAGTTTGAACGTAACCACATTTGGGTCCATATGTGTATACATAAAAGTACGCGTGTAATGTGTATTCCTTTTTGCATTAAAGATTTATATAGGTTTCGGGTTGTTGTGAACTTGTGATTAAAGATAGATAAGTCCTTGAATACAATTGCGAAGCAGTTCGTAATTATACGACACGAAGACGAGACCAACGTAGCCAAATTAATGACGACGTTGATGATTAGTTCACACGTGGGATTTGGCCAATGATTTTAGGCGCCAGCCTGTAAGCATGATCCGCGTGTGAGGTGGGGACTGATCTGACGGCTAAGATTCTCCCAGCTGTTCAGTTGACCCCCCAAAAAGTATCTTTGAGTTGGAAAATCCTAACGACCGCGATCACACGTGTGTGTGTATGCAAGTTCTTATTCTTTAATCTTTACATTTTGATTTTGAAAAGTAAGATCGGTTTTTTGAAATGTATATAATCATAATACATTTAGTTATATCAAACTTTTTGGTTTTCTAATTCTAGTTAAGAGTCCCTATAAAGAGACCAAACGAGAAATGACCACTTAATTCTTAAAAGAGGTCAGGTGTAAGACTTTCTTGTATTTCTGGTCATCGTCGTGTGTTAGATTAGATTCAGCATTAGTGTATGGAAAACCAGATATCTCATACGTCTATCACTGCACTTGTCAGAAAAGTAAAAAATACACATAATCTTTACGTAGTAAGACTTTAAAGTCACATGAACATAGTTAAAGTCAAAAGTCTTTACGTAGTAAGACTTTAAAAGCGTGTAAACAAGAGGAACCAAAATTCGTTATGCGTTTATCAAACAATTTGAGGACGCCGTCTGCGCCTAGCACGTGGCCTGTTTTGAAATGTTTCATAAAATATCTAAGAATAACCTGATAATTATTCGTACAGTCGGCTAACTAATTGGTCACATATCTATCTAACCAGAAAACCGAGTAATTAATGAGATTAATGACCAATTCACTTTGAATACACATGATCAAGTAGTATAAAATTTTGCAAGAAGGAAAGGTAGTAATGAACCCCGAAAATCCGAATTTAAGAATTGTATTTAATTAAAGACATGCGCATGTATAAAAGTCAAAAGTATTAAAGTAGAAAGACTTGAAACATGCAGATAGAAGAGACGAAGTGTCGAATCGGTGATTAGTTTAAAAAGGATTTTGCATGCAAAGTCCACTAATCATATTTTCTTAATACTTCTTTGACGCTTTCGAACCCCATTCTAATGAACTTAATTAATGGGGTTTCCTTTTGGACGGAGTAGTCAAATCAAATAATTCTCTTAGTTAGCTGTAAGTGGAAGCATTATTTACGTCTATAGTACTATAATATATAGTTTTTTTTTAATATATAAAAGGCATTCGATATATAATATATAGATAGTTCTATAAGTCAAAATATAAACACAATAGTTTGTTAATAGTGCATGAGATAACGAAAGTTTTTTTTTTTTGAGAGATAACGAAAGTTATATATCCATATAGTACAATACAAAAAGCTATATAATACAATATAAGTCAATCGTATAGCTGACAAACATTTCAAAGTCTAATTGTAAATTTATATGTCCCGATTTCGATTTCACTTATGTATATATACAGTACTGTACATATATATATGTATATGTATATATTATGGAATTATTCAGTCCTAATTTCACTCTAGTTTAGTTTGGCGTTACGACGTACATATATACTGTAACTAATTTGATTGTTTTACTTATAGGTGCATGATGTAAAAAATGCTTCGCCGGAACGCAAAAATAAAAGAGAAAAAAATGTCTCTATTTCCGTTGCATGCAACCTGTAGACTATAGCTACCATTCCATATTTCCATGTCTTTAAATGTATATATAGGTATAGAAAAACTCGATCGTTCAAATATAAAATACTTATAACAACAATTTGCATTATTCGTATTACTTTAATAAAGACCATTGTCTTTGCTTTGAATATCTTTGTTTTTATTCATCAAGTTGCATACGACCTCGGCTTCGCCAAGAAAACGAAATAACTTGTAGAGCACTCTAGCTAGGAATGAACTAACTGATTAAAAAAATGTATTAGGAAAAACAATTTACTAGTGGTCCAATTTTTAACTTTAAAATCATTGTATGTAACAAAAAAATGGTCCTTTAACAAGTCACATTACTCAGCTCAGATATGCATTCATATTTCATGCTAATTAATTGATGGCCTATCTGGATTAGTTGAGCGATATAATTTTAATAACATAATTATGCTTTTCGAGCTGAATCAGCTGATGATTTGTTTGTATTTTAGTTTTTCTTTTTAAGGGTGGTCCAGTGATAGATTTGGAGTAGTGATGATTTATTATATGTGGCTTTAGGTCTGAAATTTTTATTTATAAAATTTTCACTACTAATTTTACTGACTAATTTTTGGAGTAGCGTTGTGGAAGTTTTGAAGGTTATTTTGAATTTGGCATGAAAATTTCCCAGTTATAAAAAATAATAAAATAGTCTGTTGTTAGCCTAGCATATATATATGTATACATATCGTTGCATTAAAACTAGTAAATCCTTTCGCAGAAAAAAAAAAAAAAGAGTAATGCATCGTCATATCTACCTCACTTGTTAGCCACATAAAAATTAATTCATTCTCACCGAAACCGTGTCTTCATAGAAATACACATATACAATTAATAAGAAGAAAAAATGGAACACCTTGCTTGTTAGAGTTATACAGTGACCAAGTCAAAAAGACCCGACCACATAAACAACACTAACCTCTTTAGAAATTACATCAACAATGACATAACCTCATTAAAATAATTTAATATAATTTAAACCCATTTGCTGATGACATTAAATATCAACTTCGAATAAATATATAAAGTCAACAAATAGTACATATTAATGGCCTTGAACAAAATATGAAAATTTGTATCTACTGCCTATGATATATATTTGAGGCACATCATTATCTTACCAACATAAACAGAACTGAAACAATCTATTTTTCTTTGACGCAAACAATTTGTTTTTAATCAGCTGGACAAAACATGTTAAAGTTATTTGAGTTGAAAAATAGAGATATTTGTAATATATTATTTGATAAGCGAAGGACTGATTCAATTTTCGTTTATAACAGTAAATATTATAAATCAACCTTAATGAGTACGTGAAATTAACTTGCTTCATCTAAAGCAAGAAAACAAACAATAGTATCTGGAAAAGAGAAATAAATCGAAATCCACTTTCCATCAATGGATTTCAATTAATCATCTTCTCTTTACCAGAAAAATAATTTTCCCTTACCCCATGTATTAACCACCAAAAACAAAAAAAATTCCCGGACTTATAATTTACTTTTTTTGTCAATTCAAAACCTCCTTCGTCCGTCCATGAACTCATGTATTCTCTTTAACGCAATCTCCAAAGTCTTCTCACTCATATTAGCGAAACAAACCCTAAACCATCCAAACTCCGAGCAATGACACGAAGATCCTGGCGAAATATTCAGCTTCAGTTCCTTCAAGATCACATCCCAAAGCTCGAGCTCGCCATCTTTCGTTTTCTTGTCCAGCAAGAAACCTAAATTCATCCAACAGAACAGCCCTGCGTTGCCCTTCAAACACTCTATCCCTGCCTTCTTAAGCCCTTCCACAATTGTCTCGTACCGTCTCCTAAGCCTTTCCCGGTTTATCCTAATGTACTTCTCCGTAAACTCCTTATCCGACAACATAGAAGCCAACATGTGTTGTGTCTGAGACGAGACAAGCGTAAAACTCGACATCCTTCTCGCTGTCCGCACAACATGATCATTGTACGAGTAGATAGTACCTACTCGAAAACCGGGAAGACCAAGATCCTTGGAGAGGCTGTACACGATATGGACACGTTCTCTGACTGTCACATCATCGATGTTCTCTACGATCTCGGCTACGCTGGTGAACTCGGAGCCGTGGAAGACCGAGCCGGAGTAGATCTCGTCTGATACCAAGTGAATGTTCTTGCGTACGCAGAAGTCAAGGAGATCTTCAAGAACCTTCTTTTGGACCGTCGCGCCTAATGGGTTCGATGGGTTGGTTATGAGCACTCCTCGGACTCTAATGTTTGCGTCACGAGCCGTTTGGTATGCTTCCTCGAGTGCCTCTGTGGTTATCTGGAAATGGTTCGAGCTGTCGCAATGGATCGGTACAATTTTCACTCCGGTTCTCCATCTCAAATCTCTATCGAATCTGTAATGAAAAATAAAATAAACGTTTCGGTAAATATAAGATATGCTAGATTATTATTTTCTTGTTAAGTGGTGTTAGTTAGTTGCAGCTATATTTTTTTTCTCCTTTTAATATAAAATCTCTATACGAATGAGCATATATTATAATTTAAATGTGTAAAGTGTGACGTACCCTGGATAATACGGTGTGGGAACGAGAAGGGCGTCGTTGGGATCGGCGAGGATGAAAGTTAAGAGCTCGTTAGCGGCGGTGGCTCCGGCGGTGAGGACGATACGGTCAGGATCGAAACTAGCTAAACCTCCACGAATCTGTTCCATGAAGCTAGCCATGGCTTGTCTGAAAGATTTGAGACCGTGGTAATCTTGGAACAGTGCGTTTTCTCTGAAGCCAGGTGCTCCTTTTGATCCCCACATCGAACCTTCAGGATTCTTCTTCTCTAAGTAACTTTCTAAAAGATCAAATGAGACCTGTAGAAAATATGATCGAGAGAGGGATATTTAATACATTATCGCAATAAATAATTTATAAAATTTGATTATATTAATTAAAAAGGTATAATTACCTGATTCTCGGCGAGACCCATTTGTATGACACCGGAAGGGTTATGTGATTCGTCGTAAGGATTCTCGTCGTAAGCTTTCCAGCCGGCAAAGTAAGGTGAGTCTTCACCATGTGTGTCTGAAACAGCAACTCGAGAAAGCTCGACGACGTTATTGTTGTTGTTGTTTGATTTTCTCTCCATCATCAAAGGAAGACCCATTTCTCTTGCAGCTTCGAACTTGACACGTGAGACGTGACAGCTCTGAAACTCAATCGGAGAGATGGAGAGAGAGCTAGAGAGAGAGGGAGAGAGATAAGTGTGTTGGAGTTAAACATTTGTGTGAATGAGGGACAAGTATATATAGCAGACGTGACAGAGAGGAAAGTCTTTGACGAATTTTTATTTTCCTCCTTTTTCTTTTTAATATAGTTTACTTACAGAGAAGAAGTTTGTGTAAAGAATAAGGAAGATTCGATTGTGGAAAAATACGTTGTCATTGACTTGCAATTGGATGTATAGATAAGAGTTTCGGCTATTTTATTTTGTTTTTATTCTGAAAGTTCTCGGTGGTTCGTCTATTGGAGATGCCATTTCTTAAAACGTTAATTAACAAATTTTAAACGTAATGTTGTTTAGAATTTATTCCGGTAAAATTAGTATAGTTTCCTATAAATGAATGAAGACACTGTTTCTGAATGTGACTACAGTTTTCGGGAACGTTTCAAATTTTTTTTTGATTAGTGCTCTGCACCGATTTACACCAAAAAGGGACCTATTCCATTTAGATATTCAATGTAATTTTAAAATTAATGGGCAACGATAATTTTCTTTCATTTGGAGTAATAAAGAGTCCTTCGCATATACAACAGTGTTACGATATAAGAAAATTATCGTTTGCTACTACCTAACTTTTTCCATATTTGATTTTTTTTTATATATAAAATGCTCGCTAAAAAACGGTATAAGTACTTAAACTTTTTTTTTAGAATAATAAAAAGTTAAAAAATGGAAATACAAATTTACGTAACAAAAACTAGTATATAAACAAAAGGTCATCAGTATTATAATTTTAAATTATAGTTTATCGATAAAACTACATACAGTACGTCTCTTTTACATTATCTGTTTATATATATATATAGAGAGAGAGTATTAGATAGCTGAAATTAGAACCTTATGAAATTTATTGGGGATTAATAATATATTAAACTCCACAAATGAAAGAAATCGGGAAACAACTAAATTAAATGTTCTGATTCGACGTTGTAAGCAAAATCAAAGATCACCTTTTGCCAAAATCGGTTTCGGACAACTGTTAGCTTGTGTCTTCTTCTTCCTCGTCTAATTGTCAATATTTCTTTTTCTTTCTTTTTCAAATTTATTTATTTATTTATTTATTCAAAACTTTAGTTATGAGAAATTGAGATCTATAACCCAAATACGGTTGTTGAAATTCCGATTATACGAGAGGAGTGGGTGGGTGGCTATCCATAAATTTATAAAGTTTTGCTGTTTTGCTAGTTACCATGAGAATAATTCGCCTTTAAATATCACATTACAGTTTTTTATTTACGGCATATAACAATTTTTACAAACTAGCATCACTTTTCCTTTTTTGTCGCCATTAAAGTATTTCTTAATCAGTTAATATAATTATATTTGGATTTAATGCATTTTAAAACCTACCTGAAATCGAACATAATTATTTAAGAACTGGATTGTTGAGCTAACCGGGGAGATCGTAAATTTAAATTAATATTGTTATTTGAAAGTAAATAAAATCGAAGTTAATTTATATTTAAAAATCATTTTATCTTTTTTACTCGTTGTTAAAATTGTTTTTTTTTTATATCCATAAGTATTTTAATGATATTATTTGGTAAGTATTCTTGAATTAGAGTTTTGTCGAGGCGCGAGTAGATGTGCCATAAGACGGAGTCGGTCGGATTAGATATATTGTTGGAGATCATGTAAATTAGTTTTGCTGATCTAAACTAAAACTATCACAATTTATTAGATTCTTATAACCTAAGAAGGAATTTATGTAGTTTTTCAGGTAGCAGGATTAATTTTTTTTTTTGAAAGATGGTAGCAGGATTTATTAAAAATGAATTTGTGTATATTAGTTTTAATTTAATCCTGTGGCACATATATAGTCGGATAAACGTATTTATAACTTAATTTTTCCCAAGTGGTTAAACGTCAAAGTATGCTCCCTAATGGGTGATAATAATAATTCTCACTATTAACGACGGTACGGACGGCTAATCAAAACCTTAAACTTGTTTAACTAGCTTTTAGTCTCGCACTTATGAACCTAACAACACACATGCAAACATTATAATTCTATACATATACACAATTAAAATTTACACATGAAGACAATTATTATTCAAAAAATAATAATTATCATTGATACTAGTCATGTGACTCATGTCTATAAGTTATAAAACTAATTTATGCAATATAACTTTCTACACAATACAAGATTTTATACATTCATGGTTTCTCCATTTTAATAGTTGCCTTTTTGATGTTTCAACGTATTGGCGTGGACCGCGTGGTATATTTTTTCTCAAAATACCATGCTACTATTTTACTTATACAATATATATATATATATATATAGCTTTAGTGATTTTTTTTTTTCAAAAAAAAAAAGGGGAAACGCTAGCAACGGCGTATAATGCTGTATCATATATATGTAAGCGAAAAGATCAGAAGGATATTTAGGAGATCTAAGAGTGGTTAAAAGTCGAACTACGTGACACATATATTGTACATACAATCATAACATAAGATTATGATTCCAAATTTTGAACAATATATGTTCATCAAGAATATAGGTTCTTGGAGGATCTTAGGTGACCCCACATATATCACAATTAAAGAGTTATTAAATTAAAATGTTTTTATTAGGTACTCAACTCTATTGATTTTTTTTTTGTCGAAAATTAATCAAAGATTAAAATTAGCACGAGTTTCTCAAATCCATATAGTTTATAGAGTGATGTCGATTCCACTTTGTGCTGGTTGGTTACAATTTCTAGAGCTGGTTACTAATTAGGAGATATTTTTGGTTTTCCAAACTAAAAGCTAACTCAGTATTTGCTAACTCATTTTGCTTTCCTGATTTTTAATTTTTTTTTCAAGGAACCAATTGTAAATAGGTCAAAATCTTGTAACACCTAGTCTTCATTTTAATGATATTTACATTTTAGCCAAAAATACCCAGTGTTTTCTCAAAACAAGCTAAATACACTAATCAACCCGAAAAATGAAATTACAAATTTTTAAGATTTAATTATAGGGGTTTTCTTTAAATCAGAGTTATGGTTGGGTATATGTGTTACATTATAATCGTTAATAATAGATAAGAGTAAAGGTATGATTTATAATTTGTATGGTTGCTATTTTGCCCGCACACCAAGATTAAGATTTTGTGTAAAGATATTGCTGTTTGTTTGGACTTAGAACAGCTGACTAGAGGGTATTAACCGGCATAACAATGTGATGAATTAAATTAATTTAGGTAGAAGATAACGAAAAGAAAGTAAACTTACAAATGCATTTCTATAGGGGGGGGGGGATATATACCCAGTTATATACACGTGCTCTTACATATGGGTGTATATTTGCATTTACGTAATACTAATAATTTGCGCATGTGATCGAACCCACCAGCGTAAAATTCGGAAATTAAACTATAGACTGAATCTCAATACATGACCAACTCAAAAACAAAAAGGCAATGCTGATAGTCATAAAAAAAGAAGATAATGCTGATTTTATATATGTTCTTATATATAATAAGAACAAAGACGTAAGTAGTCTTATGATATCTGCTCTGTAAAACTTTTTAATCAAAGAAAAGTAAAATGCTTCATGAGAAAAAGAAAAGAAGTCTGGTGGCATCCTTTGTGCCTTTCAGAAAAGGATGCGTTCTAAAGGACTGTTATATTTTGTTAGTTTCCGAAAACACATACATGTTAGATGCAAAAATTTGGGAAATAATGACATATGGTTGATTTCTTCTAGTTTAATGTCATAGATTCGCTTCAAATCATGCTGGATTATGTCTTCCACAAAAGTGACAAACCAATGGATTGTTTACATATCGTGTGTAATTTATAGGAACCTAGAATCAAATTTAGTCTCCAATTAATTGATCGATTCCCATAAGTGCCTAATAAATTGTAATCAATTACTAATTCTAACACGAAATCTTCGAGCTGAAGTTCATGATATCTTACGGACCAATCATTGAAGTATATGTACTAATTTAAATACTAATTAATAACTCGATTAATATATTATAAATCAAAAATAAACAATGATGCAAGTTGTAATAGAACGTGAAAGAGAAATGGAGTTTGGCGACTGTTTGTGCGGCTAATATGGAGAGCATCTTCATGTAAATATACGAGACATGCATCAAACGATATTGCGATCTATAATCTTTGGTATTAATGATGTCATCTGCTTATATAGTTTTGACCTTATTCTGTTAGTGTAAACTTTTTCTCGTTAATATGTGGATGTCATTGAAACGTTACATTTGTAAAGTTTTTATTTGGTCAACTATTCAAATATAAAAATATACCCAAACTCAACATTTCATAGTAGTCTTAGCGATTGAATAATCTTCCTATAAGCCTGAGCCCTAACTAAAGTCCTTTCCACCGCAATGTAAATCATAATTGACCATTAATCAGAATCAACTATTAATTTTAGTAAACCGAAAATGTTAGAAAAAATAGACTAATTTGTCTATTTCAATTAAAGATGGATTATTTTGTAGACATAATTGTTCCTGGTTTTCCTAAACCCGTAAATTCACGCTTGGCTAGCTGAGGTTCAGAGCCGATCCTGCCATTTTTAATGTTTTAGTTTTTTTTGCACATTTTAGTTATCACAAAATATGAGGTATATTAAATTAATAAATCGGATATGAATTAAATATGAGCTTTCAATTAAGTATACCAATAAATCGGATATGAGTTAAATATGAACTTTCCTTTAAGTTTACCATTAAGTGAAGTGTATTGATTGTTGCTGCTTCATATATTTAATTATAAGAAATTAATCTATTAAGTTTAATTAAGTTTGGCACAATTTACTTGTAAACACTTACACTGCGAGTATACAATAAATATGAATTGATTTCACATTGTTTACATTAGTTCAAGTATATTATTTATAATATAATTACCCTAAATCAAAATTAAAAACGTATATGTATCTCATTGTCTATACTAATCAATCTAAAAAATCATAACATAGAAAAGAGGATATGTTGAATAATTTGTGTTCAACTAGGTTTTTTTTAGTGGTTGTCCATTGCTCGTTCAATCAAATGCATTCATGAATCATAACCAGTAGAATGAAATAAAAAGAGTAGAAGACAAAACCATGAGATAATTGTAACAACTAGCAACTAATTGAATGTTAAAAAAAAAAAAAAAACTAGCAACTAAATTGAATCGGATGATGATATCCTAATACCTAATGATTTGCTGTCAGCAAGTATTATTTAATAAACGATATAGTGAAAGTCGTATCTTCCGTAGAATCATGTGACCAATTAGAAGAGGCCACGAGAATATATGTTTCATTCTTCTTGTCACTTGTCAGATATGGATTAACTCAACATCTTGAGTTGGTAAGTCGTATCCAATTTTCCCTTATATCTTTATCAATAATACGACTCCTTTTGTCCTTTTTTTTAATAGTTAGAGTCACTAGTACCGAGCTCTCTTTCTTTTTTAACAATTAAAACGCACTATTTAAAATGCTTACAATAGTAAATAATACGATCTACACTCTAATTTGGTTTTACGTTAATCATATTAGAACATGTACTTTTTTGATAAAGGAAAAAGTACATGTCTTTTAAGGTTTCGACACTTTGGTTACCAATGAGTACGAGTATCTATTTATTTTTAAAATAAAATGTTAAATTATTAAAAGGTACTTTTTGGATAGTAAAGTTTTTTTTTTTTAATCATTTTCCCTTTTAAATATAAAACAATCAAAAAAAAATATTTGCAAATTTCTCAACTCCTTCTCTCAGTGTGCTGAATCTGTTCCTTATGGTGCGATCGATCGACTTAATTAAAACATCGCTTGGATTTGGATCATCGTTATGTCTTTTGCTGTTTCTCTCGCCAACGTACCAGTATTTATGTTCTTTATCTATATATATATATATATATGAACTTATATACACGAAAAAATAATTTGTCGATTTTTTCATATTCCAATTTTTGTTCTTTTTTTTTCTTTTAATTTATAGTTGTGTAAAATGGATGATAAACAGCTATAATATGTAACGGAATAACACAAAGTAAGTATTTGATTTCAATTATATCTGTACATATATACTCAAATTCAATCGACCAAATAATAGAATCCTTATAACACCATAAGAACCCAAAAAAAATCATCAGAAATTGACTAGTATTTTTTGTTTTTTTTTTCATATTTGCTATTATTCATGCATTTAAAAGTCATGTCCTTTCCCTTGGAAAGAAATTTATTGATTACATTTGTTTGTTTTTTTGTTAAATGAATTTCTATTTTTTTAAAAAAAATTAGTGTGGAGTCCCAATACACAAGGAAGTTTCAATTGAGTGATCACGTCATAAGAAAAACATTAAAAGTAAACGAGGAACCAAGTATAAATCAATACTCAAAGCTAAAAAAAAGATACATATTAAGCTAGTTAGTGTATTACATTTTCGCATTTCAAAAGTGCTGATTTGTGAAATTAATGAGACAAATACATTAGTATAATTTTAAAAATGCGTTATGACATGGAAGTATATTCCAAATGTGTTCGTACGAACACGTTGTCGTACTGTGCAACACAAGTTCTCTACTGCCAGTGTTACGTTATCTTTTCAAGTATTAATTTTGTTTTCTTCTTAGATTTTTTTTTTTATTATAAGAAAAAAACTAAAAACATAAGCTCTGAAAATAATTATACAACTTGAGGTATATCTAATCATGAAACTTTTTTTTTGTTGTTGTATTCATTCTGACCATGAGTTTAAAATTTTTAAAACAAAAACCATGCCGTTCTTCCATTAATTGATAACTTAACAAATGGGAAATTAATAATAATATCTCTATACTGATTATATTAAAAAAAAAGTTCTTACGTTTGAAGATAAATGTAATTATAGAATAATTTAGGTTAGTAGCGAAAAGTATCTTTGGCTACCGATGACTTCGATAAATCTAAAACAGAATTTCCAAAAGAAATAGAAGAATTGTGGAACAAAAATATAGAAGAGGAATTTCACAGGAGTTTGTAAGAAAATTCATTAGACTCTTCACAAGAAACAGAACATATATAAATTTCTTACTAATTTTTACAGTATTTCACAGGAGATAATAGGAAAATATGACTTTTCTAATTTTCTATGCTATATGGTAATATCAGGAACTAAAATTAAATAACCCATGACTCCATGAGTATTTAATCATATTAGATATTATATTATTTTAAATGCATGTGAAGCCAAAACTTACCTTTTCGTTGAAAATTTAGGCACATTATTGTACCGACATAATATATTATTGCTTTTATTTTCTAAGTATGAACAATTAAGGACAAATTCAATAACCTCTTTCAATAAATACATTTAGATGAATTAAATGTTTTTATCCGGCCAACGTTATGCGAATACACGGTCATCACGCTATAAGGATAACGTCCACTTCATGATTATATGATCCAAACACATGCTTTGTACAATATTTTTGGTAGCCGAATATTAGTCACCCAATTATAAACTAGTTTTGAGATACACAGTTGTATATTGGCTAAAAAGGCACTTAGAGGTAAGTCTTCCACTTTACAAAAATCAAATAAAACTAGATTGCAACTAAATTTGAATGATTCATATTACACTGGAAAGTCTATATGACTTTTATCGTCATTTTGATGATCCAAATTTAGAGATATAAATTTCTTTAATTAGATGCTACTTTGGTTTCCAACATAAAATTTCATGATTTAAACTTGCATTATCAGTCCAAAGATTGGAGCAATCGACGAGAATTATTTCACTCATACAGTCTCGGAACTTGTGAAAGAATGGATTTGTACATATGGGGACGTCATGAATTTTTCAACAGACATGGGTGTATATATATAATACTTGTCAGTTGAGAGATTAGTTGTAAGTATGATCAATATGATCAAGAACACAAAATTGCCTCGAGAATTAAAAACACAGATGGAGTATGTCAAGTTGTAAATTTGTAATAATATCTTATAAATTTATTATGATCTTCAATCATTATTGAATAATGCATGAATGGGTCTCAATTTATATATATATATAACTAGCTTTACTTCTGCGCCTATATAATATGAATTATCAACCAACATAGCTAATAGTTCCACTTGGACACTGATTCTCATGCCCAAAATATAAATATAATACAAAAGAAAACAATAAACACTTACATAAACAAATGTTAAAAGGGAAAATACGACAGTCTGTCCGCGTCATAAATGTAAAATGTAAAATCTACTCATTTGAATTACCAGTTTTCATTTTAGCGGTTATTTATGATATGATGCTTAACAAAATGAAAACACTAACCAACAGAGCATCGTAGTAATATATATAGATAGTAAAATTATTAGCTTAATGTTTTACTCAGATAAGCATAAAAAATTTTAAAAATTTTAATCTACGTATATACATGGTTTTACCGATTCATCTTCAGTGTGAGTTCCAGTTTATTGTATTAACGGATCGAAGTTCGTGAAGAACACCTACATTAACATTCCAGCCAATTGTGTCTTGTTTCTTTCAACCGAGTAACTCCAATTACCCAATTAGGTTCAAATGAACATATGTATAACACACGCAGATAAAGCATGTGATAGATTAAAATTGTTGCTGCCCGTGCAACTTACTTTTTAATGTTCAAGTTGCTTTACAGATCTATTGACAGATAACTTCAGATATCGAGTTAGACAAATACTCATACTACTCCCTATGATGCTTTAATAAATATGTGTGTTTGGAGCATTCCCTTACACACAAGGGTGCAGACTTGCAGGTTATGGTTCTTAACTTTCTTCATATGTACTGAAGACTCGGAAACATAAACTATAAATAAAAACATTTAAAAAAAAACATAACCGTTATAAAAATTGGGCTGGTTTAACAGGTTAGAAAAGGCTGATCTGGGGTTCAAGACTGCGTACGTTCAGGGGTCTCGCTCTTAGTCAAATATACAGCACAGTTTCGATAGGTCATCAAAGAGGTGCAAGAAGCATAAATCCAAAACTTCTTGAACATATTTTAGTATTGTGTATGCTTTTCTCTTTGATAAAAGAATACATTCTATTTGTATGAACTGACCGCGGATCATGAACATTAATATGACTTTTATAACTTTGATGATCAATTCGCTAACTATGTTTGAAATTTATTGATTTCATGGACAGAATAAACCTAGAAAGACGTTGGTCTCGTTTTGACACCATTTCTTGCATCAATTCCACTTACCAAAATGGCATTTATAACTAATAAGCGAAGTCCAAATTGTCTGTTTCTAATTGGGCTGACAATACGGGCCTAGTCTCTTGTTTCTAAACGTCTTATTCACTCGACTATTAAATTAGTACTTAATTGTAAATTATACAGTATTATTATACTAGAAGATGTTTACCGTTCTAAACATGAGAATAGTATACAGAGCAAAAGCAAAAGGAGGCTCTTCCCAAAATTATTGAGAGCCATATTGAACAAATTAAAAAGGCAGACTCTTCCCAAAATGGCAAAATTTAGTGACCTTTCAAATTACAGGAAAACAGGCAATACTGTTTTTCCTATAAAAAAGAATATTGACGTCAACATACCTTTTTCTCTTTGTCAACGACATCAAACATATTGACGTGAAAAACTGAAAATTCGACTCTTCGAGACATTTTATTGAACAATAAAAAGGAAAAAAAAAACAAAAAACTTAGCGAAAGTAGAAACGAATATTAAAACCATACTTAATAATTTCCACCAATTGTCGGAGAATAAGATCTGCTTAACTTGCAGAAGAAGGTGAGAATCATAAAGAACAGTTCTTTTTTGTTTTGTTTTCTCAACTCTCTTTCTTCTTCTTCTTCTTCCTTCGACTTTAACTGGGGAAGAAGAAGTAGAAGATCCATTTAACCGTATCTATCTTTTCTCTCTCCACCGCGTTTCGATGGCGGGAGGCGAAGAGAAGAACGGGATTATTGATTCAATGCCCTTGTTCGCTAAGGAGCTTATTGCCGGCGGAGTCACCGGCGGCATAGCTAAGACCGCCGTAGCTCCACTCGAGCGGATTAAGATTCTATTCCAGGTACGAATGATTCTGGGTTTGTTGATTGTATCAAAACTTCTAGTATTGATTCGTCCCCTGACTCAATTAGGCTTATCTGAGTCAAGAAGTCGGATGGAATCATCAATCTCTCGCTTAGCCATGGTTTCTTTAATTTGAAAACCGAGAACTTTTAGTGTTGTATTGTATTCACAATCGGAATCTGTTTATAGAGATAGAAAGGCACGTGAAATTCTTGGTACACAGTCTCTGACTCTCTGGATTATAGAAGCTAATCATAGAATTTATCTTTTCTCAGACTAGAAGGGACGAGTTTAAACGCATAGGGCTCATAGGATCCATCAACAAGATTGGCAAAACTGAAGGTTTGATGGGTTTCTACCGGTACGTTGTCTCGAGTTTCAAAAGCTTTTGGGGCTTATTATACATTCATAAGATTCTTAAACCTTGTTTTCGACAGTGGGAATGGTGCAAGTGTTGCCCGGATAGTTCCCTATGCAGCTCTTCATTACATGGCTTATGAGGAATACCGGAGATGGATCATCTTTGGTTTCCCAGACACTACTCGAGGCCCATTGCTTGATCTTGTAGCTGGATCTTTTGCTGGCGGTACTGCAGTTCTCTTCACTTATCCTCTTGACCTGGTCCGGACAAAACTGGCTTATCAGGTAATCCGGCTTTAGATGTTGTGTCTTGATTGTCTCATCTTGAGTTAAAACGTAAGTAAGGCTCATAGAGAATTCAGCAGTGCAGGTTGTTGGTTCAACAAAATCTCAAGCAAAATCTATTATTCACCTGGAACAAATTGTGTACAGAGGAATTACCGATTGTTTCTCGAGGACATACAGAGAATCTGGATTCCGAGGCCTATATCGTGGTGTAGGTACATACTAACTATGTCTTTGGTGTTTACGAGATCTTCTCTTTTCTCTAAGACGCAAAAAGATTTGATCTTTCTTTTGGTTTCGTGTTATCAGCTCCTTCTATGTATGGAATCTTCCCTTACGCTGGATTAAAGTTCTACTTCTACGAGGAGATGAAACGCCATGTCCCTGCGGAACATAAGAAAGACATTTCCCTGAAACTTGTTTGTGGATCAGTCGCTGGATTGCTTGGTCAGACCTTAACGTACCCTCTTGATGTTGTCAGGAGACAAATGCAGGTGCGATTTGGTTCTGCTTCTATCGAATACATCTTGAAACCTTCATAAAATGATCTTGAGTAGTATTATAATCGAAACTCCCTGCAGGTTGAGAGACTATATGCTGCCGTTAAAGAAGAAACAAGAAGAAGAGGAACAATGCAAACGCTTTTCAAGATTGCTAGAGAAGAAGGTTGGAAGCAACTCTTCTCGGGGCTTAGCATCAATTACCTTAAGGTCTGAGAGTAGTTTCATCGATCTGTCTTTGTTTTCGGACAATGGACGGCTAACTCACAAACTATTTATCTTTTGGGTTTCTCTAGGTTGTACCATCCGTGGCAATCGGATTCACAGTATATGATGTTATGAAGCTGCACTTAAGAGTCCCATCGCGAGAGGAAACAGAGGCAGAAGATTTGACGACACGGAAAAGGAATGCTTTGAGCTAATTCTAAGGTCATCCCATGATCTGATTCTTTGTGGTGTATAAAGCCACAGAACATGATTTGAGAGTGTACATTGCATTTTTTCGTAGAGGAAATTGAAACTAACTTCCTCCAAATAAACAGTGTTAGAATCCCAATCGAAAACAATAGGACTTATATGTAAATGTCAAATTGCTTGTAGTTTTTTGTTCATTCAGGAATTTGGTTAGCACCATCCCGTGGTTATTTCTTTTCGAAACCACGAGAGACTCGATGTAATATGTAACATTCCGATATGAAGGATATCATTGAGTGTTTGGTTGCAGTAGATTCTACGTATTGGCCGAAAGGAACAAAGTATATAACAGAGACATTGATGAAGAACAATGAAGCCGGTTCCATTTAACTTGTACCTACTTAGTTATGTAACTCATACAACCTAAGCTATTTATAGTTAGAAAATATGATACGGTAAGACAACAGATTTTACTAATTCTAGTCTGGCTCGGTACATAACATTTCTGTTAGGTACTAACATTACTCTTATGCTTTCTTATTCAAGATGCGACTCTCATTCCCTTGTGTTCCTCACATCTCTTCCGTCCTTTAACTGGAGATTTCTCGCATACCAATCCATTGTACAGCTTAACGCCACAAATTACTTGACTTACGGTTGCTGACTGCACAGTTTCGGATGATCTTCTGTCCAAAGTTTTATCTTTGTGCTGCCAACATCTTCTGCTTCCCATAGGAGCACTTCTTATACAAGGCAAACCACTCTTTGTTGTAGCTTCACAGATAAGACTTGGACCACCCGAATCCTTTTTGTTCATGCCTGTACACGTCTCGGGTTTGGATTTTTCCTCCTTGAGAGCTATATCGCGTTCGGTTGGATTCAGCAGAAAGAAGAAGGCATTGACTCTCATTCCCTTGTGATCCTCACATCGTTTTCTCCTTGCAACAGGTTGGTTTCTGCAACGTACCATGTCAGGTAAAATCACTCCACATATATTCTCAGTTTCTTCACATTCTCTTTCAGGAGAAACTTCACAAGGTATTTTTTTCCCCGGGAGAACACATGAAATTCTCTGCCCTCTATGCACTGTGCATCTCTTTCTTCCTTGCATTGGAGATGTTGTGCAGGTAGTACCATCTTCTAGTAAGACTCCACAAATAGAAGCAGAATCAGAATCATCAACAATGTCATCATGTCTGTCTGAAACCGGTTGAGGTCTGGACCGACTGAGTCTAACTATTGGTGCAAGAAAATCACTCTTCTCCCCAGCTGCATCAGAGCTGATCGCTCTCTCTTCTGCAAGATCATCTTTCTTATCTTTGGTTCTGTTGCCAATTATCTTCTGAGTAACAGGAAGAATCGTTTGAGGTAAACCCGGTTTTCTCTGGTTCACAATCTCGTTGTTGCCGAGTTTCTGGAGCAAGTCATGACGAGCAATACCATAAGACCGGAGCCGAGATCTAATGCTTTCGTTTTGACCAAGAGAAGCTACAAAAACGTCATCTACGTCAACTTTTAGGCTCTGATCATGATTGGTGACAGCCACACCGAGACCTGGGAAGGATCCTTGGACTCTGTATCTACCTAACAAATCTTTTCCCTTTCTGAATTCTTCCTTATCGTTGGCTCCTATCAGAATCTGTGTCCAGTATAAATTTGACATTAAAAAAAAATTGTGTGTTTCCAGTTTAATTACTTGAGAGAAAGAGCTTAGCTTGGTGATAACTGATACATATGAGACTAAAGCCACATAGTTAGCTAATATCCAACTAAAAATACAAGTTGCAATGTGATGAAGGAGACAGAATGTGACCTTTGGAGCTAAATCCCGAGAAATGGAGGTGTAATCCGGTAAAGTCCTCCGTATTTCTGGAGCATCTGAAATGGGCTTACGCAGAAGCATGGATCGGGTAAAACCCTGGAACAAAACCCAGAAACACAAATGAAAAATGGGATCTTTAAATGGTTAGGCCGTTAAAAATGGGATCTTTAAATCGGATTCCATGAATTTTCAGGAGAAATGAATCAAACTCAACCGAAATTCTGGTGAAGTCCAGAAATGAAAGATCCATAAACTCCGAAGCAGTGAGTTTCCTAAAACCCGAGAGAGAGAGAGAACAAAAGAGAGGAAGTACCTGCCACTTGGAGAAGACGGCGTCGGGTTTAGTTCGACTGTAATCGTCCCTGTTGAACATGGTGAACACGACGGCGAAAAAACGCCGTCTCCGAGATTCAGTCTCTCTTACCTCCTTTCTGATCAGACTCGATGGTTTTTCCGTTAACTGATCGGAAAGTGATGGAGAATTTGCAGAAAATTAGTTTTTTTTTTTTGTTTTCTTTTTCAAATTTGAATTCGTCACTCGCCGCCACTGGTGAAAGAATAGTTGAAGATAGTTGAATCTACAACAGTAATTGATTGCAATCCTTTTTTTCGAAGATAATAACAAGAATTATTATAGAAAATCAAAATTAATTGAAATTATAGAAATAATAATGAGTTAATATTTTTTGGGTGATGTTGCTTATCAGTTAATTATAAAAGACGTATGATTTCTTTTTGTAACATGTATATATATATATATCTTATATTAAAAATAAGATATCCCTCTATTTCTTATTGATAAACTTTCTAGGTTTTTTTTTGTTTCTTAATGATAGAGTTTTTATAAGTTTTCAATGCATTTTTTACTAATTAATTATACCAATTTTAAAATTTGTTGAAAATAATTAAATTTCTTGAATCATGATTCGTTTAGACTCATGGGAAATTGTTTATCAATTAGAGATTTTAAATGGTCTAATATTTGTCACTTAACTATGATTAGTTGCTAATGCATTGGAAAGAGCAACATTGTTGGAGTAGAGGATTTCGAAAAGTTGTGTTTGAAGGGGATAACAAAATGGATTTCGAAAAGTTGTGTTTGAAGGGGATAACAAAATGGTAATGGAACTAATAGAAGGCAAGATGCATAACTTAAAGGTTTAAACTGGATTCTCGAAGCTAGACATTGGTAAAGAAGATTCGAGGAAGTAAAATTTACATGGTTGAAAAGGTGCCACAACATACCAGCGGACATTCTTGCAAAACATCAACTTCCTCAAAATACAGTTTTTTTCTTTTCAATATTATGTTCTAAAATGTTATTTATATGTCTTTGCATAAGGACTATGTATCGCTCACTCAAATTTAATAAATTAGACGTCACAAATAAAAAACTACGTCCGAAACACAGAATATTTTATCGTTTCTATGTTATTGGTTTATATGGACATTTAATTTATCCAATAAAATTTTATTCCCGTTGTATAAGCATATGATTTATATTATTATTTAGTGTAAGTATATATCTTTCTTAACAAGAGTACTAAACATATATATTTTTAAAACGTATGTTCAATCAATTATCATAAAATCAAAACTAATTAGAAAATTTACACTAATTAATTCATGCTTTAATACCCCTGGACCTCGAGAAAGATACCCATTCTAAGTTTTTAACCAGAGTAGTGCTTAGATAAATAGTGGTCAAAGGCGATTGACAATGAAATAGTTTTTTAATCTTGAATGTTAGTGTTCTCAATCTATTCTAGTGATGAAAATTTGTTGGATTATACAAATTTTGCATCATATTAAAAAACCTATCAATAAAAAAAATGTTCCAAATAGATCAAATATATAAATGTCTACAACAATGGATATCAAGAAACAAAAATGTGTTTTTAAAAATTAATATTTTTATTTAAAATAAATAAAAAAATACAAACAAAAACTTAGTTTTAAAACCTAATATGTTTTAGTTTCTTATGTTGTTTGGTGGCACCTATAATTTTAAACATAATTTTATAATATTTGTGGTTGTAATTTAGAACACAATTTTAATAGAAATGATTAAAAATGAAACAAAATCAAGCAAAAGACAAAAAATACAAATATCAAAATTTAATGAATTTCGTGAATGTTAAAAAATAAAAACTATAACAAAAATAAGTTTCTTAAATAAACTCAAGAAACTGTTTATCTTAATCTTATAATGTTTTATTTTGTTTTCTTTACTATTTTTTCAATTATCTCCGGGGAGATTTTCTTTATTCTTATTTTCGACGCTAACCAATAATATTGATCATATTAAAAATAAATTAAAAAACTAAAAAAAATTATGTATGTGTAAATCTTGCAAAAAAAGTTTCCTAAGTTTTTCTCAAAAAATTGAGACCCTAGGTTTATGTTTCTTATATTATAACGTTGAGCAGGACTCTGTTTCTAACCAACCCAAAAAAAAAAAAACTAGAGAAAACTAGGGTTTCTTTCGAGTCTTATCTTATAACGACAATGCACCCAAAGTAAGTTTCTTTCCGATAATTCTACTTGCGTTCTAGGTTTCCTTAGCCTCCAAACACCGACCAAATACTTCAGATAATATATCTTCGACTTTGGAGTTTGGATCGTCCTAATTGATGTTTTCATAGCAGAATTGTTGGTGGAACCTTCAAGAAGAAACGAAGCGTTAACATGACAACAGATAAGATTAGTGAATTGCCTGATGCTTTGCTGCTTCATATATTGTCCTTAATTCCGACAATAGATGTCGTAGGGACATGTGTTTTATCGAAACGGTGGAGATCTCTTTGGAAATATGTGCCTAGACTTGACTATGATTACCGGAATGATAGAAGACTGTCGCACCAATTTGTTCACAGGTTCTTGATATTACATAAGTCGCAGCAATTTGTTCACGGGCTTCTAGAGAGTATGCGACTTATAGTTGCGTCGGATTGTGAGGCTTTCGATATCGAAATTTGGATCGGGTATGGGGTTGAACATGGTTTGCGTGAGCTAGAACTCGATTATTTCTCGGAGAAAGAAAATATCCGATTGCCTAGTAACATCTACGCTTGTAAAACACTCGAGGTCTTGAAACTTAAGAACTGTGTTCGCGTAGATGTTCCTGATTCACAAGTTTGTTTCAAGTCCCTTAAGATCCTAAACCTTCAACTTGTGTACTTCAAGGACGATGATTCAGTTCGTAAGCTTTTCTCAAGTTGTCCTAAACTTGAAGAATTGGTTGTTAAACGATATATGGACGATGTCATAAACTTCACTATTGAAGTACCATCTCTAAAGAGCTTATCAATACATGATTGTAGCGATGGAGATGGTCGAAGAGGGTATGTGATAAATACTCCTTTGAACCACTTGTCCATTAAAGGACTCAAAGATTTTGAGTTTTCACTTGAGAATATGCCGGAGCTAAGAGAGGCAAAGATTATTGATATTTTTGATATAAATACTCATAAGCTTCTCCTACCTCTCGCCTCATCAGTCAAGCGTCTCTCCTTGTCTCTATCGCCTTTAGAGGTAAACATGTACCTTTTTGATTTCACATCCTTTCAGTTCTTTTGTAATCCAACTCTTTCACTTTTGAAAACCAAGACGAATTAAAATTGATCTCTAATTTTGGAGTTAGACTTTTTATTTTTATTTTGTGGACATTATACGGTTGAACATATTTTTTCGTTTGCTTGCACCGCAGACTAGGTACGCTGATAGTATTGTCTTTCATCAGCTTGTATATTTGGAGCTAAGTACTAGTAAAACCGAGTGGTGCAATCTACTAGTGATTTTGCTATCTAATTCTCCTAATTTAAAAGTTCTCAAGCTCATGAGAGATGTAAGAAACTCCTTCAACTTTCCTTACTTCTCTAGGTTAACTTTTTCACTTTGATGAGTCTAAAACATTGTGTTTTTAATCGGTTTTGGTCACAGGAGTCAGGGAAAGATAATAAGGAGCGCGTGCCTAACCCACAATTTTGTAGACCGATTAAAGTTCCTCCTTGTTTGTTATTGTACCTACAAAGATTCGAGTGGGAAAGATACAATGGAATACGTGAAGAAGAGAGACAAGTTGCGAAGTACATACTAAGAAATGCGAAACATTTGAAGGAAGCAAATTTCTCGACGAAAAACTCTAATTCGAATGAGAAATTTGAGATGTTAAAGGAGTTAGTTCGTAAGCCTAAGGCTTCACCTTCGTGTCATTTTTTATTTGAGTGAAAAAAACAAAAGTTGTTTTAGATGAGATGCAACTGATGCGCAATTTCGTCCAAGTATAATAAGCTTTTGAATACTTTTTTTTTAACGCTAGTTTAGACTATTGAGATTTACATTGGTTTTCTGGTAAAACTGGATTTGTAAGATGAAGACGTGAACATGTTAACGATTCTTGTTAATCAAAGAACAGAAAAACTAGTGTATACTACTAGGGCATCCTCATATATTCCACAATTCTGTTGGCAATTAAACTCATATTCTATATGTCTTTTCCAAATCTTACAAGTCGAAGCTATATGGTTGATTTGAGGAATAAAGTATGGTCTAGGGCTTCTAGGCTTCTTGAGGAATGAAATATTGTCTAATAGCTTCAGAGAATTGTTGTGGTGTTCAAATTGGGGAATTGTGAATGAAACTTTGTAATCATCCGTGAACCATTCCGTATGATAGAGCCATCAATAAAATGGCAGCCTCCTTCTCATCTTGAGGGAAAACTTGCTGATAAGCTGAGCTTTTGCTTAAGATTATGGCTAGATCATCAAAATCAAACTTGTTTGAAGAAGAACACGTCGAAGAAGAAAACGACATATTCTCGGATCTGCCTTGAGTCTCCAAGTCCCCGGCTGTTGTGGCCTTTATCACCGGTACCGCCTCAGATGTGATCATCCTCTTACAATTCTTTACCTTTGGAGCCAAAGGAGAAACGAGATTATAAACTTCACTTGATCTCTTGTTCTTGTTTTGCATCTTCTTCTTCATGAGCAGTGGTGACACGTCAAAGGTTCCCGTTGCGGCTGCAGCAGCCCGCCTCGCCTTCCTTTGCCTTATCCCACACGCGTTACATAGAGACTGTAATAACAAATGGAAAATGATAGCTAGTGAATTTTCTTGTAAGATTGATTTTTAGGAGAACTTATTTAGGAAATTTTCTGAACAAGAATGATTAAGAATATATAGTACCTAAAATTGATTTTTACCAATTAGTTTTTTGTTAGCGATTATGTAGATTTGTGTTTCTTGCGCTGTTAATTAGTCCTAGAAATCGAGAGCTTCTAATGATGATATACAATATGAAATTAATCTTTAGGAATGTGTTGAAATAATATATGTGTGGTTTATTACCTTGGGACCTCTCGGCCCACTTCTCCAAAGAGGAGTCTTGGTCGTGTTACAATCGGAGCAAATCCTAACCACGCAACTGCTGCTTCCGTTATAACCATTCTCCTTGACAATACTATTGTACTGATTTTTCAATGTTTTCTTGAGATGATCATGATGAGCTTCTTCGAGATTTCTTTGGCTCATGGATTGGTCCTGATTAACGTGTTGTTTGTCGTTGTAGGTGGTGGTGAGAATCGTCTTCTTCTTCATCAATCTCACCTTCGAAGAAACCCACTTGAGCGAATTAGTTTCTGTCTCGTCTTTTGTCGGACATCGAGGAAGATCAGTTTGGTCTTGAAAATTATCTCTCTTCCTTATCGTCAATTTTAATCGTGACTCCTGCTTTGGCACCATTTGATCGCTTGATGATGATCCATCATTAGATACAAACTTCTTGGTCTGAAATTATTTAATTTGAATACTATAAATTTTAGCAGGATATTCAAAGACTATTGTATATATGAGATTTACTTTAAAAAAAGTTATACCTCGAGGGATTGAGAGAGTTGGGGATCAAGAAAACGTTGGAAAGTGATGTTGTTGTACCCAACATATACTTGATCTTGGTGAGAGTTGATCAAGAAAGGGAGGTAGGAATGAGATGGTGAAGTCAAAGAAGATGACGAAGAGGAGATATTAAAAGGAGCTTGATGTTGTTGTTGTTGATGATGATGATTATGATGAATAGAGGATCCAAGAGGAGTGAAAAAAGGTTGGTGGTTTTGATCTTCATTGAGATCTATAGTGTAATGAAAATTCGAACCCATGATCGATAGAGATGATCAGTGAAACACAAAAGATAAGGAAGAGGAGAGATTGGGAGAGATCAGGGACAGTCAGAGAAGGATCCAAGCTATACTGTGTTTGACCCTTTTTAAAGGCAAGAGACCACGAGCCAAAAACAAATTAATTAGAGAATATATGCATCAACTTACACTAGTAGAATATAGAAGAATTCAGAAGATATGGATAAACATTTATTTATAAATAATTTGTGGTTTGATTTAAGATCAAATTAATTTAGTACATGCATAAAAAGGAAATAAATTATCTAACAAAGAAAAAACAAAATCAGAACATTCCTATCATTTTCACCAGTGTTGGCTAACATTTTTGAAACTCAATAACATGAAAAGAACAAATTGATGATTCTATATTGAAAAGAATTAGCTTTTCTTCGTCAGAACAAAAAAAATAGTTGGCAACAATATTACATAAAACATACAAAGTAAACTGAATTACACTCCTACATTAGAAAGAAGTTACTGTGCAATATAATATAGACATATATCGAATGTAGCATGTTGATATTTTGCCCTCAGTAGATAAACGATTGAGCTACCATCACTGGTTGAGTTTGATTAATTCGAACTAATCCAAATGGTTTGAGATATTAGTTATCACAAACCAAAAACAATAAATCAAAGGGTACACGTGAGTCTAGGATAGCCATCCGAATACAAAAGACATGAGACCATATGTATAGGAATGGTAGTACTGGACGACCCCATGCACAAGTAATCCTACAAAAGAGAGAAAAGCAACCCTAATTCAGAATATGTCATGTCTCATGATAATGATCAAGTTATGCGTCGAATGGTAAAGAAAGAAAACATCCCCACCTTAAGTATTTGCCAAACTCCTTCAATTCCCCCCGATCAAATTTACAGGTCAGTCAGGACCCCCACACATATTTTTTTCTAATATAAAAATTAATTTTATTTCATCATTTATATACTTTCATTTTCATAAGTCTAGCAATTAACTACATGTGTTATGAAGTTTTATAATTACTAATCTGACTATGAAAATTTATTTTATGCTGCATGCAGATGAAACTGATTATCATTTAGGGTTCACCGTAATATATATGTATGTTATACTATATCCAAATCTCATAATCGAAAACTGCATAATGAGCTTTAAGATTCTTGTAAAATTCGTTGAGGATGAGGATTACGGAGATTTGAACCAAAGGAGAATAACGTCTAAATATTGAAAGTTTGATAGATGATCTTGATATATACTTTTATTTAATATTTATTGTTCTAAAATGTGAAATATGATCATTTCAAATATTAGTAGGGACAAAGATCTAAACATCAAAACCGGATCACAAACAAACAAAAGAAAATATAAAAGCGACGACCTTTCACCTTTCAAAGTTCCCTAGCTACAACTTGCTTTAGGCACATATATCCAATTGCAGCAGCTATTACGTAGCCACATCACATGCATGTCCATTTTAAAATTTTTTAAAAGAAAAACTTTTGAGTTTTACCGAAAAATCGGCCAAAACCTATCTCAACTTCACCAAATGGTGCGAAAACATACTTGAGAAATTAGAGTGCCCGAATACCTGAACTCATTAAAACCGGCCTTTTCATACCTGCATTAATAAAGTTTTGGCAAATCCATACATTAACTAGTTTTCCGTTAGTCAACTGTCTTATTCCGTTAACGGAAAAAAATCCCGTCGCAACGTCACCAGAACGGAAAACGACATCGTTTTACTTTTTTTTTTGTTCGTCTTTTTTTTTTTGTTCATCCTTATCAAAACGACGTCGTTTTGATTAATTTTTTTCTGTTCGTCATGATCAAAACGACGTCGTTTTGGTAATTGTGAACAAAAAAAAAATTTTGTACATTAACCGATGTAAAAAATTTAGTAAAAAATTTAGTAAATTCAGTAATAAATTTAGTAAAAAATAACAGAATTTTTTAAAAAAATTTACTAAAAAATTAAGTAAAAACTTTTACTAAAAAAAGACACCAATACCATTAACAACAAGATAACAGAAACATTGTTTTAAACATCCAGGGTTAATGTTATTTTTTACTAAATTTTTTAGGATAATACATCCATTGGTTAATGTTATTTTTTACTAATTTTTTTACTAATTCTGTTATTTTTTACTGTTATTTTGTATTTTGTTATTTTTTACTTAATTTTTTACTAATTTTTTTTAAAAAATTCTGTTATTTTTTACTAAATTTATTACTGAATTTACTAAATTTTTTACTAAATTTTTTACATCGGTTAATGTACAAATTTTTTTTTTTGTTCGTCATACTCAAAACGACGTTGTTTTGAGTATTTTTTTTTTGTTCACAGTTACCAAAACGACGTCGTTTTGATCATGACGAATAAAAAAAAATTTAATTAAGGACGAACAAAAAAAAATAATCAAAACGACGTCGTTTTGATTTTGACGAACAAAAAAAAAGTAAAACAATGTCGTTTTCCGTTTCGATGACGTTGCGACGGGATTTTTTCCGTTAACGGAATAAGACCGTTGACTAACAGGAAACTAGTCAATGTATGAATTTGCCAAAACTTTATTAGTGCAGGTATGAAAATGCCGGTTTTAATGAGTTCAGGTATGTATTCGGACACTCAAATTTCTCAGGTATGTTTTCGCACCATTTGGTGAAGTTGAGGTAGGTTTTGGCCGATTTTCCGAGTTTTACCTTTGGGTAACTAGATGGTAAAAATAAACATTAAAAAGGGAAAATTGCTCTTTCTTTTAACTGACTTTGTTGCTTTTATCAGTCGTGTATAGTACTTTTCAGGGTTCAAATGTGGTTAAAAACTCTTCATACCAACTCTGGCCGGTCCTTTTTTTTAGGTTGAGTAATTATTATGCAATTGTACTTTTTTCCAAATAAATTGCAAATAGGCTGTGAATGGTGATGTGCATGCAATTTCCCATCGTACATCAAAATGCCTTTATCATTATTAGTATACATTAACTCTATTTTATTATTCACTGTTTAGAACATCATGAATTTCTTAAACAATATATAATTCTCTTTTGGATGATGTCTCATTTGGACAACGGTCAAGGACAAGTGTCAACCCTTCATTTTCGCGCGGTCAAAATGCCATCTTTTTATAAATGTATTTCTGGTTCTAACTACTAAACTTAGTTAAAATATAGTGGTTTTTCTACTGTTACTCTTTTTTTTTCTACTGTTACTCTTACGTAGTATTGAAAAGAAAATAAATATTAATTACAGATGTGTCACGGTGACACGGTGAGAGCTAGTAATTTTACTATAAAAGACAAAAAAACCGTTTCTTTGAAATAGTTGTAACTCTATATATAAACTTTCAACCATTCAATATATAGTTCATAATTCCATATCAAAATTCTGTTGTGACAACTGACAACCCAAGGGATCATGCGAATTACTTTAGTTACCTTTCCTTTCAATCTTTCATAATCGAAAAAAAAGTAGCTAGTTTATTGTGGGATTAAAGATATATATGTCCGTTCTTGGACCAATTAAAAGATGATTAACGTATGTATCCAATCCTATCAGGAAAAAAACCTTGATTTTCTAGTTGAACTCATTGCAACACAGCTAAGGGCGATAGTGAAACTTACATAACGACTAGAATCGGAATCACAATAAATGAAGTGAGAATCAGATAGATATGGATTTCCGAAAAAAAACCTAAATAATTAGCTAATTAATTTAACTCTCAGTCTAGTTGCACCCATTGAAACACAGCTAAGCACAATAGGGAAACTTACATAAAGACTAAGATCTGAATCACAATAAATAAAGTAAGAATCAGATAGATATGGATTTAGGAAAAAAACAGAAGTGGCATGAGATAAATAAACGATAGAGAGATGGGATACGTATGCCGCATAGGGATCACAAAATTCCCCAAAATTCATCAAGTGACATTTTGACAGTAACAAGACACATATTTAGACATACATATGACACATTATGTATATGTATTATGTATATATGTGAATGTCAGTACAATTGGTTTGTGTCCAACATTTTGGTGCTTTTCATGACTTGTCTCCTTTTTTTGGTTTCTTCTATATTAAAGATTTCCCAGAAGGGACCATTACCTCTCTGATCTTCACCACCGTATCATCTGTCTTGTGACATTTCTCTTTCTCTTCGATATTATCATCTAATCTTGACCTCATTATCACATAGTTTTTCATTTATTAAATAATATTTTCTAATATTTTCTTACCTATACAGACTAATTATAGACCTAAAACAAATGTAATTATATATGCGGTGTTCGAATATATACGTCAAAGGATCTGAGTTCGGATTCTGTGTGGGACTTCGTCTTTTGACGCAAGAGTATACGGTAACAGAGACTATAATTTTCAATAGATACCCAAATGTAGTTATCGTATATTAAATAGAGAGCTAATTTGAACCAAAATAATATAATGTTTATATTAGATTTTCGTCTTAATATAAAAATTTTGTATGCTTTATTCAAGATTAACCAATAACATTACTAATTTTGGTCAAGATTTTTATGTGATACTGGATCCTGAGACTCTTAAGTGAATATGCCATATTTTGTACCAAAATTAAGAAAATAGACCATATTTTTGAAAATCAATAAAATTAGTCTAAAACTAAATCTTAAACCCAAAAATTAAAGCCTAAATTTTTTAAAAAATAAACTTAAACCCTAGAAGCTAAATCCAAATCCAAAACTATACGACCCAAAAAAATAAATTCTAAACCCTAAATGGTCTTAATGGCTAAACCCAAAAAATGGCGCATTCTTCTTTACTTTAGAAGAAGCAAACTAGTTTTTTAGTTTCAACATTTTTAGCCACTGTCCATTAATAATAAAGTTTTAATTCGAATTATAATCGCACAAAGCCGAATTTCAAATTAACTTCTCCAATTTTGTATGTCAGCGTACAATGCGGATCAAACATCTAATTGTCAAACACATGTGAACGTTTATATCCACAAAGCCTAATTAATAAGATCTATAGATATATTTTGTTCTTCTACAACATTGCATTAGAATCCACCACTTGTAAAAAATGTCAGATAGCAATGTTACTACTTACAGGGGGGAATTTGAACTGGAAATATCTTTGAAAGAATTAGGATATTTCTACGTGGTTGAAACAAATTGCTACTGGACATGGATACACGGGCTTATTAATTAATAGCAAAGAGTTGATACTAACGGGCCTGAGAAGAACAGTGGGCCTATCTGGACTTCAAATTTGGAACGAAAAAGTACAATTTCCGTATAAAAAATGAAGTGATGTTAAAAAAAATGGAATAAATTTTTATCCTTAAAAATTACTTTTACCGTGTAAAAAAACAAAGTTTAAGAGATCATCTAACCAAGTTGAATTTACAAAAAAATAGATGTATATCGGGGAACCCAAATTAAACAATTTGAATGCTCAAATGTGGGCCAGATCATCTCACTACAAAAAAAGTATGGTCTTTCCGGTCCCGTGGTTGGTTTATATGACTCAACTTCCCCTTTAATCTAGTTTTTGAATAACACATGTATAAGTTTGTATAAACAAAGAGTAACGGTATATATCTCTGTCACAATGATTATAGTTGGTGAATGGTGAATGTTGGGGGGGGGGGGGTTTGGATAGGGTGTTGTTGTTAGTAAGGATTTGGTTAATTAGAGCCACGTGGCAGTCTGTGGATGGTTTAGTCGGGCGTGGAAGGTAAAGCTTTGTAGTCAGCGAAGTTAAGTCATGAGATGCGGCAACTTGACTTTCTCAACGAACCACAATTGTCAACTAAACCTCATTGCATAACTTCAATTATTGCATATAATTAATGGAGTATACAATATCGGAATACCAAAAGCCACCTTTTTAAAAAAAAATTGTAGCTAACCTCACATTATGGTTCGGGTAGGCTTTCCCTAGACTACTGATTTACTATTTGTTACACTTAGACGAAGTTCATGCTATACATAATTTATCTATGCTAGGTTCTTACTTCTAATTAATCTGTTAATCGGCTATAATTGACTATAGATAACAATGTTATACAAGCTAATTAACGCAACGCTCCACATAAGATCAAATGGGAAAGATTTAAATGGAAAAGGTTTAAAATAGATCAATGGATAATATTAAAGTTAAATTTTAAAACTGAGAAAATAGATCGTAAAGAAATGGAAACATTGTAAACTACTCAACTGGTAACTGACAAGCTACTATGGGTTCATTCAACTAACTTCAACTTCAAAGTCACCCGCCCAAAGCAAGAAGATTTGGGTCCCGACTACTTTCCATTATTTTTCATTTATTAAAAGTCAAAAATGTACTTGCTCTGTTTCATAATATTTGATTTTCAAATTTTTTTCTTCTTTCACAATATTTGATTTTCTATGTGTAATTAATGCTTGTATATTCTTTGATTTCATTCTCTATTGGTAGAAAAGAAAAAGTAATACTAATAAAAATAATAAATCAATTGTAAAAATAAACTATTTAAATAAATAAAACAGCAAATAATTGAGCATTAATTGCTTCTTAATCTATGTGCAATATTCAGAAAATCAACTATTATCAAAACACAGTGGAGATTTTTATTTCATTTGAATGTAACAAATAAATGTGAAATTTCAAGTCAAATAATAAAATCAAAGACAAATTTTAAAATGGAGATCTCATTTCATTTAAATGTAACAAATAAAATGTGAAATTAATATTGTAGTGTTAAATTCTATTGAATTGCATCTAACTTTATACAACCCCCTAATAAAATAAGATGGCATGTATGTCAACCTTAATATATAAATAGCTCTAAGAACCTCATTAGTTCCGAATCCACGACTACCCCAATAACCAAATTTCCGGTGGAATCTTCTTTACAAGTTTCTCAAAACAAAAAACATCCAAAGGTTTGATTTTGCAAAGGGAAGACATGGGGTTGAACTTTAGGGATAAAGCTTGGATTTTTCTGGGGATTCTTTGTTGTTCATCTTTGATTTGTTCAGTAAAAGCAATGGTCAGTTATGATCATAAAGCTGTGATAATCAATGGTCAGAGAAGGATCCTTGTATCTGGCTCCATTCACTACCCAAGAAGCACACCTGAGGTATTCTTCGAAACTTTTAGTTAGATAGAAATATACAATCATTTATCAATACATACATGTATGCTTAGGCAGATTCTGAATATTATTTTTCTTCTCTTCTTTTCTCTGTTTTATTTTCTGTGTTCTGATAAAATCTTTGTTCCCAAAGTGTTTCTGCACATTTTTTTTTTTGTTTCTGAGTTTTGCTTATAGTTTACACTATTTCATTACAAAATTGTTTTCCTTTTGTATAAGAAAATAAATAGATAAAAATCTTGTGAATGCTCTGTCCTACGTAGATGTGGCCTGATCTTATACAGAAGGCCAAAGAAGGAGGCTTGGATGTAATACAAACTTATGTTTTCTGGAATGGGCATGAACCTTCTCCTGGACAAGTAAATTTACAAAATTAAACACAAATTTTTTGATTTAACTCATAAACCAAAATTATTACCCTGACTGATGCTTTCTCATTTTTGTTTTGGTTTTAGTATTATTTTGAGGACAGATATGATCTGGTTAAGTTCATCAAGCTGGTACAACAAGCCGGTCTCTACGTTCATCTCAGAATTGGTCCTTACGTTTGCGCTGAATGGAATTTTGGGTAAAATTATGTTTAATATAAAATAAAATTTGTAAAATTGTTTCTTTTTTTCAATTTAACTGATCTAAAGATGTTTCATGGATTCCAGAGGGTTTCCTATTTGGCTCAAATATGTTCCCGGTATGGCTTTTAGGACCGACAATGAACCTTTCAAGGTCTAAAACTCTCGAAAGAAAAGCTCTCATTTTCCTCTTATAAATGTTAGAAAATTATCCATTTTTGGGCGTATTTTATTAACCAAAAAACATTGTTGTGATAATGAAAAGGCTGCAATGCAAACATTCACTGAGAAGATTGTGGGAATGATGAAAGAAGAAAAATTGTTTGAGACTCAAGGAGGACCTATCATTCTGTCACAGGTTTGTGTGTTTTCTTATAGTTACTTAACCAAAAATGATTCGTTAATGTCAAAATTGAGCTGTATGAAAAAAATGGGGCACAGATAGAGAATGAGTATGGACCAGTAGAGTGGACGATAGGAGCACCAGGGAAGGCATACACAAAATGGGCAGCTCAAATGGCAGAAGGACTCTCCACAGGTGTCCCATGGATAATGTGCAAGCAAGATGATGCTCCTACCTCTATTGTATGTTCTTCTTCTTTTTCTCACATTAATTATAACATATTTGCTTTTTTTAGTTTTCCCTGGTTATATATTCTTTAAGCAAAAGAAGACATATGTTTATTATTTGTTTCGTTTTTGTGTATTCTATGTTATTGTATTCTCTTAAAGCTTTTCTATTAATAGTATATATATACCTAATTATTATTCTATTGTTTTTAGCAAAAGAAAGAGTTTGTATAACATTTTTGTTTGTCTATTATATATACTTTGTGAAAAGAATAAGTTTTGTTTTCATACTTTTTCTTCCATATCTTTTAAAAATATTTTTTTGTATTGTTTTATTTTTTCTCTTAATAATACATATACCTAATAATTAATATTATACTTGTTTTCTTTTAAGAAAAAAGAAGAAGTTTAATTATTTATATTTTTGAATTATAGAATCTCTTTGTGTTTGTGTTATATAGCTTCAATCACCTTTCCTTATTTATTTTCTTGAAGGTTGATATTTGTTATTCTTAATTTTGACATCTCATGGTAGGTTACTAACTATACTCTCTGTCCTCTTTTTGATGTACCATTCTCTTCATTCTTCTGTTTTTGGTTAGATATTGTCGTTTATATCAGGTTATGTGACGTGGTAAATAACGTTTTCAGTCATATGATTTCCTTTCTCTCATATTTTTTTTTCGTTTAAACTACATGAGTTTTATTTTTTGCTATGAATTAAAACTACATGATTTAAACTACATGATTCATGCCTTTTCCACAATTTATCATCCTTTTAATTAAAATTATTGGAATGGTAATAAAAACTATTGTCAAAATATATTCACCACTAATTCGTTTTTTAAACAAACTTGTACAATAGATAAACACATGCAATGGGTTTTATTGTGAGAATTTCAAACCAAACTCGGACAATAAGCCGAAGATGTGGACAGAGAACTGGACTGGTTGGTAAGTCACACAACACGACTGTCCTCACAAAACAAAAAAATATTAATAACTCAATTTTATAAATATCTAAACCGAAAATCAATTTTTATACCTTTTTAAAATTAAAAATATACAACTGTAAGTGAATGTGCAAATAATAAACCAGGTTCACCGAGTTTGGAGGTGCGGTACCATACAGACCAGCCGAAGACATTGCCTTCTCTGTGGCTCGCTTCATACATAACGGTGGCTCCTTCATCAATTACTATATGGTAACTTCATATTTCTCTATTGTTGAAATAAGAAACAATAAATTTGATTATTAGAAACATAATGAGAGTGAGCAAATGTTGTTAAACAGTACCATGGAGGAACAAACTTCGACAGAACAGCAGGTGAATTCATTGCTACTAGCTATGACTACGACGCTCCGCTTGATGAATACGGTAATTTTAACTCCTATCACCTGAAAATCATAACGATATTGAACATATTCTAACGGGTTTTGGGTTTTGTGTTCAAAAGGGTTACCGAGAGAACCAAAGTATAGTCACTTGAAGAGATTGCATAAGGTCATCAAGCTCTGTGAGCCAGCATTGGTCTCTGCTGATGCTACAGTCACATCGCTCGGCGATAATCAAGAAGTAATGGATCCAATGCAACACAAAGCAATATACATGAGAAGAGAAGAAAAAGCTTCAAAGATTACTTATTTACCTTTTTGTTGGCTTGTTCTGTTTTTTTTTCAGGCTCATGTGTTCAAGTCCAAGTCATCTTGCGCTGCTTTTCTCTCAAACTACAACGCTAGTTCTACTGCAAGAGTCTTGTTTGGCGGCTCAACATATGATCTGCCTCCATGGTCTATCAGTATTCTACCTAACTGCAAAACCGAGTACTACAACACCGCAAAGGTAAATCAACGTTAAAGCTTTATCGAACACGTTACCTTGTTGTTCTGCAAGCTTAGGAGTGGTGGTATCACTGAGATTGACCTATGTGTTACTACAAGGTACAGGTCAATGCACCAAGCATACACATGAAGATGGTTCCCACAAACACACAATTCTCTTGGGGATCATACAACGAAGAGATTCCTTCTCCAAATGACAATGGTACGTTTGCCCAAGATGGGCTTGCGGAACAGATTAGCATCACCAGAGACAAGACGGACTATTTCTGGTATCTGACAGAGTGAGTAATACTTGAAAACTCTTTAACTTGCTGAAATCTCACTATCTATCATACAGACTCTACGGGAGAGAACTCACGGTTTGGTTCTGTTTGTGGATATAATCAGCATTACGATCGGTACTGATGAGAAGTTCTTGAAGACTGGTGAAGACCCTCTTCTTACTGTTGGGTCAGCTGGGCATGCTCTTCATGTATTCGTTAATGGTCAGCTTGCAGGTAAAACTAAGATAGGCCAATTACTCATCCTCATGGTACCTTGTCTTTGTCTTCTGTTAAAAAACCTTTCTTTGTTTCAGGAACTGCTTACGGATCGCTGGAGAAGCCAAAGCTAACATTTAGTCAGAAGATCAAGTTACATGCAGGAGTCAACAAACTTGCTCTGTTGAGTATTGCAGCAGGTCTCCCGGTTAGTTCTCTTGATGAATCATCTAGTTCCTCTCTGCGCTTTTTACCCATGAGAACGATTACATCCTGAGCTTTGTGGTCTCTTATTGCTTACAGAACGTTGGTGTGCATTACGAGACATGGAATACTGGGGTTCTTGGCCCTATCACACTGAATGGAGTTAACTCCGGAACATGGGACATGTCTAAATGGAAATGGTCCTACAAGGTCGTCCTGAAATTCAAGAGCAAATAACTTGACTTTGTTGTTACTGCATCTTTCCAACCATCTAACAATGAACCAAACATTTTTTTTTTTTTTAAATCAGATTGGTACAAAGGGTGAGGCTTTAAGCCTTCATACCGTAACGGGGAGTTCCTCTGTGGAATGGAAAGAAGGATCATTGGTGGCAAAGAAGCAACCCTTGACCTGGTACAAGGTACGAGAAACAGAAGGATCATGCCTACCAACAAACAAAGTTAGATCAATATATAATGAAAACTGAAAGACATTCTTACAATCTCTTTTTGCAGTCTACTTTTGACACACCAGCAGGCAATGAACCATTGGCTTTGGACATGAACACAATGGGAAAAGGCCAAGTCTGGATAAATGGCCAGAACATCGGACGCCACTGGCCTGCATATACAGCTCGTGGGAAATGCGACCGCTGCAGCTATGCTGGAACTTACAGCGAGAAGAAATGCTTGAGTAACTGTGGAGAAGCTTCTCAAAGATGGTGAGTGAGGAAAACTACCTAATCTTCTTCTTCTTCTTCTTAAGGCCAAATCTGATTCAAAGGGTTGATTTTTTTTCTTCTTGGTTTCAGGTACCATGTGCCTCGTTCGTGGGTGAAGCCGTCAGCGAACCTTATAGTTGTACTTGAGGAGTGGGGAGGTGACCCCAATGGGATCTCTCTTGTAAAAAGAACAGCCAAAAAAACAGCTCTTGACTCCATTTTTGCAGGATAAAAGCTGTAATTTTTGTGTGACCCTCCTCTGCAAAACAAAGGCAGAGTTGTAATACAGATTGTATGTACATATTTGGATATTATACTGGCTCATATGGATGAAAATTTCATCCTTTTCCTGCCTAATTATAGACAACTATATAAAAGAATATCTAATCTGCTTAGAGAATTTCCAATTTTCATTTTCTTCTCTATCTTCACCGAGCTCACTCTTGTTTATGCTCAAGAAGATAAGATCAAACCCGCCGGTTTGATTGAATTCAATCAATTTTGGAGAATACTGAGGTAGAATCGAGCTCCCGAAACTGTAAATTACAATTGATTGATGATGATCTTAAGACGCAACAAAAATTTTCACAACAAGAAAAAATACACAGAATTAGTACTGACGGATCTGAGTTACCGTGAAGCAGATAGGAAAGATCGTTGGTACCAAAAGCTTAAATACAGAATTATAGCCGATGTCCAGAGTCAGAGAACGTTTAAGCTCCGAGATGGCTAGTCCCATAAACGAAGAAGAAGACTCTTCTTGACTATCGAAATCGATTTCATTTAGGAGTGTTGTTGGGCCTCCAATAACAAAGCCCATGTAAAGGGAAACCTAACATTTGAGGGGAGACTTGGGACTTACGACATCTTCGATCGTTTATGATTAACATCTCTCTAATGAGTAATGATAATTATTCTTGGTCACTTTCATATCTCTCTTCATTTCAAACTTATTTAGCTACTTTAAGACTCAAACGATTTATGCATGCAGCATGGTATTGTCTAATCGTTCGACCACCCGAACAAGTACTTATGCCTCAAGTTGCTTGTATGTGTGGTTTGCCACTCGCTTGCTTTAATCCCAATCTTGATTTTCTGGAAAGATGAGAAATTTGAAGATCATATCTTCCACTTGCTGCATCGTTGCGTAGAAAGACAAAGAAACAGTCTTTCCTTTTCTTTTCTTTTCTTTGTAACACATGAGTTTTCTGTTTCTTATCCTTTTTTTTTTCATCACCTTTTTTTGCCTGTCTTTCCCTCTTTTTGTGTCTTTTTTTCTTTCTTCCTTCCTTATTTTTCCCCGACTCTTTATATATATTGAAACAATGGAAAGACGATGATTCTTAAAAATTTTAATTGAAGATATATATCAGTCACTTAAACATAGCTTCTAACTCCTAGTATCGAGACATACTTTTACGGATATTTCTAAATTTGTATAAGAAAAGATGTAACATATGTTGTAGAACTAACAATATGGACTAAAACGTTGGTATCGACGAACATGGCAGATCTATCAGTATAATTTATTAGCATGCGATGTAGATAAACTGTAATTATTATTTATCATTTCGTCACTATAGTTGTTTTAATTTTCAAAAGCAAGTATAAAAGGTGTAATTTTTTAAAGAAAAAGTTTCAGCAAAGAAAAGAACGTACATTATGAAAAAGGGAAAAATGTAAAGGATGATGGTAAAGGTAAGCATTTTTTTTTAAATGTGTTGGAAAAAGAAAGAAACAAATTAGGATAAAAATAAGAAACATATAAGATTGTCAAAAGGAAATGTGAGCTTGAGTAAACGAAAGATTCTGAGCAATGCGAACGTAAAATGATCGTTTGTCTATTGTGTAACAAGTTTAGACAATTTTGTTTTTTCACCTAACTCTTACGTGACATATGGATTTTTTCTATAACATACGATTTTCTTAGGTGATGGACCAGTTCATTAAATAGAAATTAGTGTTTGAGATACGTTTTAATATATAACTAGATTTTAATCCCGTGCGTTCGTACGGAAATTTTTTCATTTTTTATTTCTAATATAATTTTTTAATAAAATTTATTTTTGTTATTTTTTTAATTCAAGAATTTTGTTATCATGTTTTAACTTTGAATAGTATATATATATATATATATTAGTAGAATAAGAATAAGAGTTAATTAAGTATATATTGATTTATAATGTTAATTATCAACTTTATTATTATGTAAATTTAGATTTACACATAAATAGACTATACATCTATGAATTAACTAACCCGTCTATTTAGTTATCTCAAATCATTTTTTAATATCTTATATGTTTTCATAAACTAATCCGTATTAAATTGCTATTATAAATGTATAACTTTAACATGCTCTATCATATTATTGTAAAATATAAATATTTATTAATATTAAATATTTGATGCTTTAGACGGATTGATTATGATAAATAATACAATAATATATTTGTTTACTATTTGTGCTATTATAAAAATATTATTTAAATTCAAAATTTTAAATTAAATCTAATTTGTATTTAAAGAATTCTAAAATAATTAAAATTATTATCTAATTTTTGTAATAAAATTAATTAATAATTTTTTTGAATTTGAAATCAAATTGAATCTAAATTTTCGTAATTAAATTTAATTAATAAAAAATTTGAATAATTTAAAATTTAAATTAAATATAACCTATATTTAAGAAAATCTAATAATATCTAAATTAGTAACCAATTTTTGAAATTAATTATAATATAAAATAAAAGGTTATAAATAAAATTTAGATGCGTTTGGAAACATGTATTAAAAGTACTTCTGTTTTAATAGAATAGATTTATAATGCATCACATGATAAAGCGGACGGTCACATATTTTACTCTACAAATTTGCATTTTCTGAAACAGAAAAAATATATGATAGATTACAGTAAAACTGCCATAATTTGATAATCTGCGTACTCCAGTCTGTTATAAAGATGGCAACAGACATTGTACAAAGTTTTGTTGTTGTTTGTGATGGGAATGCGACCAATTGTACTATAGTAGAGACGAAATATTAATTGAAAGGAGAATATTTGTATCACAGAATCCATGTGTGGCTCATGTGAACGCATTATTTATTTTTGTCAAACTAGATTTCGCTCATTGTAGTCCAAGGTGGTACCACTAATTAAAAAACATAAGTATGTTCTCAACTTTTTAGTTTTTACTAGGACATCTACTGCAAATCCCCCAGAGAAAAAATAAAAGCGAATCTAGCTATTTAATATAGTTATTATAAAATATATCAAACTGAATATAATATTAATAGCTACGACTATTGAGTATTGACAAACAACAAAGTATTTGTTTTGTTTATCTGTTATGTCATCGTAAAGAAGTTACAAATAATGGTCAATTGTTCATAACAAATATATTTAACTATTTAAAATGGATGCCAAATTGTCTATAACAGATGGATCTAAGTCTAACTAGAATAAATTGCAAATAATGACAAATGGATGATCTTTTCTCTACACTGAAACAAAACAAAACTGCAATATGAGATTTAACTGATATTAAGTCAGGACTTCAAAAGTCTTGAATTCAATTGCATTGTGAAGTTACGCAAAGTTTCAAGATTTGCAACAACAACAACAAAAATCTGTTAAATATCTGACTTTCTTAAAATAGAATAACCAAGATAAAAAAGACAAATTAAATTAAACCATGTCAAAAAATGACCCATACCCAAAAAGTCAAAGAAAAATGGGGAAAAAAAAATCTTACGCAGAGCTCATTAATGTAATGATTAAACCCCCAAAAAATCTAATATAAATATTATCCATTTTGTTCATTCTTCACTCTGCGACACACAACAATGGAGCTCGTCACAAACTTGGCCAGCTGGTTTACGCCGACGACTCTCTTCCTCCTCCTCAATCTCACCATCGGCACCCTCTTCTTCACCAACCGGTTCGGTTCCGGTTCCAAGAAATACCACCCGCATCAAGATGGTTTCGGGTCGGGTCATACCCATGCTCCGGCGCCGTTAGCCAGAGCTCCCTCCCTCATAGACAGAGTCCGTTCCATCAACTTCAATCTCTACAATTCTCCCACCCCAGAATCCGAGATCCACTTCTCCGGGTCGGATTCTAACCCGAATCCGCCTCCTTCTCTCCTTGAACGGGTAAAATCCATCAACATGCCCTACTTCAAGTTCCCACAACACAATTCCGAGGAAGATTACGCTGCTTACGCGCTCATGACCCGACCCGATGAGACGAACCGGGTCGACAAAATCTCGGAAGATGACGTGCCGACCCAACCTAGATTCGGAGCTCCGTCTCTCTTGCAGCGGGTAAAATCCATCAAGCTCCCTTCTTTGTATAGATCCGAGCCAGATCTGAATTCCGAGCAAACTCCGGCGAGGACGAAGTCGGAGTCGAGTAAGCCGGCGATGAAGAACAAGAAGAAGAAGGCGGCGAAGAAGAAGTTGACGAAATCGGCTAGCGAGAGATCCGGGATGGGATACAACGGCAAGGAGGAGGAGACGGTGGAGGCCGTGGAAAAGAGACGGCCGGAGACGACGAGGGTTGAGAGAACGACGTCGATCGGCGAAGGAGAAGAAGGCGTCGACGATAAAGCCTCCGATTTCATCAACAAGTTTAAGCAGCAGCTTAAGCTACAGAGGCTAGATTCGTTTCTACGGTACAGGGACATGCTCAAGAACGAGTGAGTTGAAATTACGCTTTTGCCCTTTGTCGGAATCTGAGTTTTCCCGGCTTTTCCAGTCGGGGGCTTTGTGGTTAAAAAAAGGGAAATACGTCTTAATCTGAAGGGCTTTTAGGTCATTTCCTTACGTATCTTATTTGTCTGTGGATTTGGTGATGACTGATGATGACAGACTTGTTGAGTCGTGGGCGTAATTTTCTGGATCTGGATGCCTTGTGAGTCCTAGTGTCCTACTACTGCACTTTTCACTTTCTACTTTTTACTTTTTACTTTTTTCTTCTCCACAGTATAAAGGAGTTTATGGTATCGAAATTTATTAAATATACACATAAAATGAGTAGAATTTTAAAACTTACAAAGATATTATAGACAAAGAGTAAAAAAAAAAGTAACTTGAGAAGTATAAATTTGGGGAAACAAATGAAGTATAAGCAAAAAACAAAATTAGTTGCATTATAAAATTGTTAGATACAGTAATAAGACAAAAAGAAAACATTAAAAAAAGAAAGGTGGGAATTGGAATCTAATGAACCGAACCGACTCCGGTTTACTGGGACACGAGCAAATTTTTTCTAATAGGATAAGAATTAATGGATTACTAATTTACTACAACTATAAACGGAGGAGATACATGTAACAGTGTGCATGGGGCAATACCGTATACGCTTCAAGGTAGATCCGCCCCTGTTCATCGTCATGGATATCTAACGTAATCAAAATGTTTTATAACATCCTAATTTTATTTATTAAAAACAATTTTTGTTACTGTCAAATGGATTTATAGCTCTATATGTTACTCTATATCTAATTATCATCTGCGTTGGTTGCTTCGTAATTTTCTAAATTAGGGTGCGTAGTTGTTGTCAGATTTACTATTTATTGAACCACTAATGACAACGATGGGGTCACTCTTTGACAACATGCTTGTATCAACAAAACATTTATGAAGCCATGATTAATCATCCGACAAAATATCTAGTGACTGGATAATTACAACGGAACACGTTGATCAATTCGTCTGTTATATAGTGACAAAAGAAAAACAGATAAGTCTTCAGTTATATCATGAAGTTTGTAAAAAGCAAGAAACTGATTATAGGGACATTTGAGATATGACTAAAGAGATGATCACGGGTCAAGGTCGAAGATATTTTTCGTAGAGATATTTTACAAGCGTATGGGCAAACATAAAAATATCTCAAATGAGAAAAGGTATGATGTGATTATAATTTCTTACGAGGCAATGATTCCAGTTGACATGCCTCTTTAATTATCCCATTCTCGTTTCCCAAATGATGATGTGCATCTAATCTACATACTCAAATGTCTAGTTTATAATGGTGTGTATTTTGTTTTTTCTTGGTGAATAGTGCATTTTGTTATAAGAATATGAACGCATTTTATTCAGATCATTTTTTTTAATATGTAGCTAGGCGCTAGCACCTAGTCCAATTTTTTTTGGGGGGGCAAAATTCAGTTCTCTTTTACCGAAATGATTAAAGACTTTTTTTTGGGACAGACTATGAATTTTTTTATGGACTATCTTCTTATACGAAATAAAAATGAGACCAGAATTTAAAATTATTTATCCTAAAGACCTGAACATGTTAAATTTGTATTGTACATTTGTACGTAAATTAGTGTGTCATTCATTCAGCGAATCAGAGTACAGAGATAAACTAATCATAGCTTTTCACGAGAATACTATCCCATTCCCATTCACGATATTTGTATGTACGTGAATTTAAAATAGACCGGGAAATTCGGTTTACAGTTTGGTTTCAGTTTAGTTTTTTTATTCTTTGGTTCTACTGGTTTCATGGAAACATAATCCATATATATAAAACGATGCATTAACCATTTATGATTCGTTTTGCGTGATATATTCAAGTTTGATTTGGTTAAATTTTCCGTTTGGATTCAGTTCATGATCAGTTGAATAATAACTTCAAAATAGATTAGGAAATAAGTGGATACCCCCACACATCACCGTGTCTCTAAGAGACTGGTCACGTTGGACAATGATAGAACACACGAGCCAAGAGTAGGCAGAAACAAATGGGGACCCACGAACATAGGACAACTGATCTGTTGTTACAAAGTCGTGTCAAATTTAAACACTTACGATAGTGAAAGGTAGTGAAGTCACAATAAAGATAGCAATTTTGATTCGTGACAAAGACATTATGAAATTTGACACGTTAGGTGTATTTTGTTAAAATGATATACCACATTGTTCTCCTGGACTTAATATAAAGGGTTCTTCCATATAAATTGCTTAAATTTCATATATCAGCGAAAACATTAATATATAATCTATACATATCTATATCACTGGTTAAAAATTACAACATCTATTTGAAATACATCTGCAGCTAGTATACACAGGATGCAAAGTGAAGGTCAAAACTTACGAAGGCAGCTAGTATACACAGGATGTATAGTTTGAATATACAACTTAACTTACCCGAAGAGTCTCACAGGGGACCATAAGGGTGGGCAAAAATCTCGTCGACGCATAAGAGACATCATTTTAGTTTCCGCAAGGTCTTTTCTCGAAATCCCGTTTGTCTACCACCCTTAGGCGCCGATGAGAGAGTTTACCATTAGACCTCATTGATCTCGAAGTGGGAGACTTTACACATTCCTCCTTGTCCTCACTAAAGGTCTTCATCAGAGTCTCTTGTAGTTCCATGTACCTTTGCTTCTTCTGTAGCCGTTTCTCAGGAGTGTCTTCTTCTACGCAAGCCAGATGATTCAAGTCCTCCGTGTCCATAAAGTGATCTAGCGAACACCGTGGGAAGTAGCGTTTCCCAAGTGAAACTGATGACAACAAATTAGGACCAAAAAAAAAAAAAAACATCACTTATCTTTTCTTCTTTTTCCGTAAGAAACAAGTAAGAAACAATCCATACCTGTTTTCATAAGCGCTCTTAGTCTACACAAATGCTCCTCTCGGATTACAAAAGGTGCCATGTTTAGGTCCAGCGATGTCCTCTTTGCACAAGTGAGATGATCAGGCTCGAGGCTAGAAGCTGTAAACTCGCGAGTTTCCTCCAGTTTGACGATATCCATTATCACTTGTGCTTCCGCTGGAAATAGAATTCGAGCTAGTGCAACTAAAACAAGTAGATACAGAGTATAGTTATCTCATAAATTAGATCACACAACGGAACTCAATATAAAGAAAGAAAACAAACCTCTGTTTTCAAGATAGAGCAACCTCATCCTCAGTTCATCAGGAGTCACTGGAAGAGAAGGTGAATCTTCTCTAGGAAACCGACCTAGCTTGCTCGCATGCTCTAGCACCTCTATGCATAAACCACCTTTCATAGAGACTTTCCCTTGCTCCGTACTAGTATTATAATCAGCTGCTTTAGTGAGTCGTTTCGCAATCACCAAAGCGGTTCTACCATCAAACGTTGTTTCCGATGCATTTGCACCTTTCGTCAACAGATACACAATAAGCTTTGGCTCGTTACGCAACGCAGCGACGTGAAGCGCCGTGTATCCCCTCGGGTTTCTAACGTTGACATCCGCGAGCTCAAGATCTATGAGGTCAAACCCGGTCTTGACATCGCAGTGCGCGACAGCGAAATGAAGAGCGTACGCTTCGTCTAGATTGGTGTGTCCTTCTTTCAAAAGCATCTTGACAAGCTCAACGTCGTCTGAGTCAAGTGCCTTGTATATATTCGTGACGTGTTTGTCTAGCTTCCGTGGCTCTAGACCGAGCTCTTTGCGTATGGTTACGATTTGTTTGACAATGTGTTGGGGCAAAGACTTGTCAAGAGTAACGATTTCTACATCAGTCTTGGCGAGAATCTCTACGCATGTGTCGAAAAGCTTCTTGTATGTTTTACCACAGATATTAGCAAGCTTGAATATCACCAAGAGGTCTTCTATGAGAATTTTGTCTACAATATCAAGGAATTGCCTCTGAAAATGCAAACAGAGTTTAAACTCAAAAGATGAAAATTGCTCTGTTTTTGATCTTATGACTATGTGTATTAGTTTTTTTACCTCATAGAGAGTAACTAATTCGGGAATCTGGAAAACGAAAGCCAAGTAGAGAAGCTCCACCATGAAATCCACCGCCGGCCGGCAAGCCACGTGGCGACAGTCCTCGTCGACGCAATCGGAAGCTCCCTTCGGCGACGGCCTTACTCTGCCGCTGTAGACGTAAGCAAAAACAGTCACCACCGAGTCGAAACCGACTTCGTAGTCCCTCGCGATCTCCTTAAGCTCGAGCTTCACGGCGGTGGATTTTCTGTCCTTCGCGGCGGCGGCTAACGCGGTCTTGAAAACCGGGATCCTCGCCGAGAGAACGCAGCGGTGGAAGGATATCTCCTTGCCGTCGGCGAGAACTAGCTTGGCGTCGCTGTAGAAAGTTTCCGGCGAATCGAAGACGGATTCGAGGCAGTTGGAGAGCAGTTGCAGCGGTTTAACCTCCGTTGCTGTGTGAAAATCCGCCGCCGTGTAATCGAAAGATGACTCGGCGAAGAAGCTATTGGCGGTTGTTGTGTTGCTGATTACTGACGAGCCGGAGAATCTAGCGGTGGAGGCCATCGACCGTATGATGAGTTCACAAATTCGAGATCAGCTTGAGGAAACAAACATAGCAGTAAAACTTGAATAAAGTAGTGACCAAATCACTCATATTATTAAACAATACAGAACGGTCTCTTTGGAGCATCTGGTAAATTTCCTGGAAGACAATAAAAGTTATAAAATAAGAAATACTTTGAATGAAGCGGGTTTTTGGTTCCTGATCGTGGGTCCCCTTTTGTATGTCTCCACAGACCCAACAGTGCAGTGTGTTTTTAAATTAAGAAGAACCAAAAAAACGGATCACATTGGTTTTGTACTGACGTTCCGTTTTTGGAAAAAAGAGGTTTTTTTTATGTCAATGGAGAAATTAAGTGAGTTGATTTTTTTGACAGATTTAGACTTTGACTGAATGGTCAACGTGGAAGGAAAACCAAAAGGATGATGTAAATGGTAAACAAAAGAAGGTATCAATTGTTGACAATACATAACAATAATGGTTTTCTTTGACCAAAAAAAAGAGAGCTTTCTAATCCTCCCAAAATTTATTTTCTCGCATGCCTTTTTGTTCGGTGATTATTGTTGCTTGCATTCGGGTGGCCTCTCGCCTTGTTGACCGTCACCAACAATCTGAGATCTCCCTCCCTTCTGCAGTACAAGTGAACCAAAAAGGAAGATGATGATTATCACATTTACACAATTCTAAGACACTGATACATACTACATGAATTAAATGAGTAAAGTGATTCGTGAGAATGAATCTACGTATGATCTAGTAAGCCCATCTCTGATTCAGCAGCTTGTATAGCCTCTATGCATCATCATTTTACGTACCATACCATTCTCTCAATCTTATGCCGTAACAATTTAGTCACAGCAACCTGTATGATCAGTGGGTCCGTAGAGCATGTATATCCTAATTTATTTTAGGGTCTTATGACCACGCTCAACCTAAGACTTCTGATGTTTCTTGATAGTACATGACTCTCTGGGATTGCTATAATGTCTTACTATTCCGCAGGAATTTTGGGGTTAACACTCGGATAAATTTGAACAAGTGACAAATGATGGTTACATACCTTGTGTCCAGTTGATGGCTGCATAAACAATTAAACGTATTTTAAAAGGATTAGTAAGCACTGCAGGGCAGTAACAATTGAAAAAAGCATACAAGGAGCACTTCATACCTTCTTTTTGGTCTTGCTCTCTTCTTCATCTTCATCATCCTCCTCGTCATCCTCGTCATCTTCCTCATCCTCATCTTCGTCCTCCTCAATATCATCTTCCTCATCATCATCTATTTCAAACTCCTCTCCTTCCATAGCCTCACCAGTAAACCATGAGACAGCACGAGGGATAATCTTGTCCCGGATAGTAGATCTGCAGGAAGCAAGAAGGATACCACTAGTTAGCAACTCATACGCAGATCAATGGTTCCATAACCCAACAGAACAAGTATTTTCAGGAAAAGACGCACCCAATGTCATAGTCTTGTTCCATCAGATTTTGAAGTTCCTCAGCCTGCATAAAAGAATGGGAGACATCACTAAATACGCTACCTAAATGATGACAAGCTTTTACAACAGTTGATATCATACTCTGTCCTCGTCGATATCTTCATCTTCATCCGGGACTTCTGGAGGACTAAAGAAGTTGAAGAAGCTTTCACAATCTTCCGTTTTGGTGATCGGTTTGGCGTTCTTTGAATCCTTCTTAGGCTTCTTCTTAAGAATCTTCTGAGTTAGACATTTTCCAGGATACCAATCAATTTCTGTCCTGAAGTAAGGCAAATAATATAAGTGAAGACGTTATTCTACAGCTTAATGCAATCAGCTACGCACAGACTAGACATAAAGTATACAACATTTGTAGGAGAGCATAAGCGGTTACCCCATAGCCTTCTCAAGCAGTGGCTCATCTTCATCAATCATATGATAAGACTTTGTCAAGACAGTGTTTTTAAAATAGGGATTCGAGTCAAAGAAAAACTCAAGTTTGAATCCTTTTGGTTCTTCAATCTTGCACCACTTGATATCCTTAAGATATTTGAGAGCCTCTTCATCACGCTCTGTGACCTGACATGAAGAACATTAAGCTATGGTCATTTTCCATGTTTATGACTGGAGTGCGTCTAAAATGAATACCAAAACTGCATATAGGATACCTCCTCGGAAAGAACATCATTATTTTTCAAAGCCGTCAGCCAGAAACTTGGAACTCCTTTCTCTTCTGAGAGGCAACACATTAAAACATGTTTACTTCTTTTTATCTTTTTAAAATGTTTAGTAAAGATAACAAAAAAAGAAGAAGAAGAAGACATTGTGTTCCTGAAGTTACCTTCTGCAGTTTTTTCCTCTCCTTGGTCCATCTTTGTATCCTCTGGAGTAAGTTCGACTTCAGTAGTTCCATTCACAATCTCATAACGCTGTGCAGTATAAGATGCCAAGTAGAATTCATGAGAAATTTTGAGATATACATATATATAACTACCACTGCTGCAGATAAGTAGACATTAGCAAAAAGAGTATACACAGATTTCAATCGATTTTCATTGCTTTGATTAAATGATTTTGATAACAGATGAACTAACCAAATCTCACAGCAAAATCTGACTTTCTCACTAACAATTACCTTGGTATACAAAGGCTGATACAACTTTTGATACTTGGCTTCAAGAACAGCTCTCTCCTCACGGAATTTAGCCTCTAGTTCATCGTGTTGGCCCTGAGTGGAAAGAAATCACTGGTAATCAAAAGGCAACATCTTACTTTGAAACTTGACACTCTAATATGGAAGGAGATTACACTCACACACAGACAAAAAAAGGGATGCACAAACCCAATATCAAATTACAAGGTACCAGACACACTCAATTGAATACTACAAGTCCAGAAAATATAAGGAAATCTCCCTAACCTGTATATCTCTCAAGGCATCGACACGCCTTCTCACGTTAGGAGTCAGATTCTCGAGCACATCAGAGCGCTGTCCAGCCAGATTCTGCAGCTTGTCCTGTAGAAGTAACATATATAACAACTGAAAAATAATCTCCAAGGAAACCATAAACTATAATTCTGCTAAAACAAACAAGGAATGGCATTTAAAATCCTAAAACACCAAACCAAGGCACGCGTTACAGTATCTAATCAACAAGACACAGACGCTAATAGAAACGCCGAGAAAAGTAACTCAAAATCCTCCATATCCTTCAATAGCAATGCTAACGGAACGTTTTTTCAGAAGAAAACAGCTCACCTTAAGAGCGTTCACAAGCCCAGTTCGATCCTCATCCTTAAGAGCTGGAAAAAAAAAAAAAAACGAGAGAGCAATGGTCATCAACCACGAAGAAATTAGGGTTTAAGAAGCACTCGCTTAAGAAGCGCAGAAAGAGAGACAGAGTAATCGGAGGGGAAACTTACCAGCAGTAAGATCGGCGAGGCTGAAGTTGTCCTTGTCGTTGCTCATTTTTCTGAGGATTTTGGAGAAGAAAGGTTTGAAAGTGAGATAGGAAAGAGATTTGTACAGTAGCAGAAGCAGAAGAGAGGAGGGTTTGTTTTGGGAGGCGATTATAAATAGAAAACGTGGCTTCCCTTAAATCCTCTCCCTCCCTCTCACAGCAAAATTTATAAACCTAGCAATTAACTGCCATTTAAATTTCCTAAGGTTATAAATAAGATTATTCTCTCTTTTTTCTTTCAAGTTCTGAAACTTTGAGTTATCTATGTTACTAAAATAGTATAGACTTGTGTGTTCCATGTCATTTTTTAATGTGTTAATTTATTTCAATGTCAGCCAAAAATTTCAATGGCTATGCAAAATTGATTACTTTTTTACCAAAAAAAATACTCTAACAAGAACTTTAGTTATCATCACATAGTTAAAAACAAGATGTTGTGAAATCTATTATCTAGTTTAATTTTTTTTCAATATTTTAAGAAATTAAAATAAACAAGTAAGCAAAAGATGAATTTGTTTCGGAGACGTTTATCCAATAAGTTTCATTATGGGAATATTCCATAGTAGTGGCCAAAGGGCCAATAACCAACCGGCCAAGATGTTGATTTTCTTGGCTTGCTGTCTCAAAAAGGAACGAGAAACAAAGGTTGCGGAATAAATCACTCACTCTTGTCCTCGTTCCTCTGCTTCTTTAGATTGGTAAACAAAATCTTTCATAATCCTTAAACAGAAAACCGAAAACTTACTACCGCTTAGCAAATTATCAACTGCTTGCTAATGCAACAGAGGCTTTGACATTTCCCAACCAAAAAGTGTATTTCAAGAGAGACGAAATGGTTAGGTAAGCAGCTCCATTGATAGATCAAAGAAATTGCTCAGAAATAAAGAAGCGGTTCCGGGAGAAACTATTGAACCTTCTTGAGATACTGGATGGTTGCATCATTAGAGGATAATGCCAAAAGAAGCACTTGACTTGATCCTGCACCAAATTCTGGATAAAAGCCTAGCAGTGCTGCTGAACTTCAAGGAGATCAAAAAGAAGATATCTGAAACTCTTATTAGTACCAGTCTCTGAAAAAACAGAGACATCATGGGCTTGTGTGCTTCAACCCATTACTAGCTGATGTAGCCCCCTGTCCTAAGAACTTTAGACTCGGGTTTCTGTGTTCATTTCTTGATCTCCCTGCACCAACAAGCGTTGCAAAGGGAATACCCAGTAGATGAACCATTTGTCATTTTTTCGCACTTTGATTCTTGGCAACTCTGTAAAACCGTCATGGTTTATTATTCATGTACACACATATATACATATATATCACAGTTCAGAAAATCGCTGATTCAAAAAGTTCCAGCATTTCGTTGAAACACACCTGCAGCTGGAATACACATGATGCAAAGTGAAGAACAAAACTATATAGAGCCAACGATAGACAGAGACAATAAGAAGCATGAAAATTGAAATATATATGGTACAACAAATATTTACCCCAACAATAGTTTCACCGACGCCGGTGTGAGAGTTTACCATTAGACCCCTTTGTAGCAGTTGATTTCGATGTGGAAGAAGACGAAGCTGAGGGAGACGACTTTCCCAATTCCTCCTTGTCCTTACTAAAGGCGTTTTGCAGATTCTTCTGTATTTCCATGTACCTTTGCCTCTTTTGCAGTCGTTGCTCAGGAGTGTCTTCCTCTATGCAAGCCAATATACTCAAGTCCTCAGAGTCCATAATCTCATCGAGCTCTGCCGAACAGCGTGGGAAGAAGCGTTTCCCGAATTCCACTGATGATACAAAATTTTAAGGAAACAAGCTCAGGCAGGGTTCATTTCAGTTATATATTACAAGTGACATATCCATGTTTAAAGATCATTTAGTTTTCTCCTTTGTTGATAACAAGTAGATGAAACGGGTGAGAAATAATACCGGTTTTAGAAAGCGCTCTTAGTCTACTCCGATGCGTTTCTAGGATTTCGAAAGGTGCCATGTATTGGTCTGGTGATGCCCTCTTTCCACCAATGAGACAGTCATCGAGGCTAGTCACTACAAACTCGCATGTTCCATTCATTTGGGCGATGTCCATTGCAACTTGTGCTTCCATTGGAAAGAGACATCGAGCCATTTGAACTAAATAGCAGATAGGAAGTATAGTTATCATTAGTTCACTCGATCTCCTAACAGAGCACACATAATCTTATTCATATAAGCGCTGAAGAACCTAATCTTACGTTTTGACCTTAATGTAAGAAATCAAGGAATAAAAGTTAATAGATACCTCTGTTTTCAAGATCAATCAACCGTATCTTCAACACATCAGCAGCCTCTGCAAGAGAGGGAGAAACGTCTGCAGGAAATGGATCTCGTTTGTCTGGTTGCTCTAGTATCTCTACGCATAGTCGGCCTTTGGAGGAAGGCTTGCCTTGCTCCGGAATATAATTATACTCAGCCGCCTTAGTGACTTGTTTTGCGATCAAGAGAGCGGTTCTACCGTCAAAAGATATTTCTGATGCATTTGCCCCTTTTGTCAATAGCAATGCTATCAGGTTTGGCTCCTTGCGCATTGCAGCAACGTGAAGCACCGTGTATCCCCTCGCATTTCTATGGTTGACATCCGCAAGCTCCAGTTTCAGGAGATCCGTCGCGGTTTTCACATCGCAATACGCAACAGCAAAATGAAGAGCGTACGCGTCGTCTAGATTCGTGTGGCCTTCGTTCAAAAGCATAACGACAAGCGCAACATCATCTGACTCGAGTGCCTTGTGTATATTCGAGACATGTTTCTCTGGTTCAGGTGCCTCAAAACCAAGCTCTTTACGGATGTCAACTATTTGCTTGACAATGTGCTGCGGCAATGACTTCTTAAGACTAACTATATCTACATTAGACTTGACAATGATCTCTCTACATTTTTCCAATAGCTTCATGCATGTTTTACCACAAATGTTAGCTAGCTTGAGTATGAACAAAGTGTCCTCTACGATAACTTTGTCTACAACATCCAGTAAATGCCTCTGCAATGCAAATAGAGCCGAGTTAGAAACCACTGCGATAGCAATTTTAGCAGATCGTGTTTTACCTGATAGAGCGTAATCAGTTCCGGAATCTCGAAGACGAAAGCCAAATATAGAACCTCCACCATGAAATCCACCGCCGGCCGGCAGGCCACGTGGCAGCAATTATCGTCTGCGCATTCAGAAACTCCCTTCGGCGGCGGCCTCACTCTGCCGCAATATACGTACGCCAAAACAGCCACCACGGAATCGAATCCGACGTCGTAATCCGTCGCGATTTTCTTCAGCTCGAGCTTCGCGACTGTGGATTTTTGCTCCTTCTCGGCGGCTGCTAACGCGCTCTTGAAGAAGGGGCTTCTCGCGGAGAGAACGCATCGATGGAAAGATACCTCCCGACCATCGGCGAGAACCAGATAGGCGTCGCTGTAGAACGCTTCCGGCGAGTCAAACACGGACTCGAAGCTGTTGGAGAGCAATCGATACGCAGATACCTCCGGTCCGGCGAGAACTTCCGACGGATAAACAATAGATGACTCGGTCTTTTCCGTAGGTGCTGGTGTGGCGAAGAAGCTAGTGCTGCTTGTGTTGCTGATTTCATATGAATCGGAGAATCCCGCAATGTTATCCATCAACCGCCCGATGAATTCAGAAATTCGAGATCACAAGCAGAGAGATGGTGAAACTTCTCCAATCAACGAATAAACCTTATCAATCGAACCGCTTAAGATCGCAGAGAGAGGTTCGGGAGAGAAGATAAACCATTGACGAGCACACTAAGCTAGCGAGTGCCAAGTCAATGAGAGATATAGAGAGTGGTGGTGAGAGATGAAGGAGGCATCGACGGTCGGTAAATTTCCTGAAATGGCGAAAATGTAAAGGGAGAATTTTGGTACATTTGGAGAGCCAAATTTGCTTAACCGATTAAGAACCGAAGGTACAGTATGTCCAGCTTTCAAAACCAAACCGAACGGAACCGGAATATATGCAGAGGTGAAAATGAATTAAAAAACAAATTTACCTTACCCGCAAGAAAAGAGGCAACTTTCAGAAAAAAACATCCTCATCGTTTTCTGTCCATCAAAGCTCTTTTTTATCTTCGTTTTCAATTCTTGAGAGAGGAGAGAGAGGAGCATCCCAGAAAACGACATTCCGTTTAAATGGATTCTTTTCTCCAGATCGAGATGAGGAGGATGAAGATAATCATGGGGTTTTGATTTCTCAGGCCTAGTCGGCGAAAAAAAATCCGCGGAAATCTCCATTTTTCATTCCGTAATCTCATTGTTCGTGATCTCTGGGTTGTTCTGTTCTTTTCTGCGGAACTTCTGGATTGCTGGTGCGGCTGATTCCGGTTGGAACGGTTGTTTCGGGTTCCTCCTCTCCCATTTGAATCTGCGTTTGGGTTGAGATTTGTAATTAGGGTTTCGTTGCTATTGATGGAATCACGCGTGGGAAATAAGTTTCGGCTTGGCCGGAAGATCGGTAGCGGTTCGTTTGGGGAGATCTATCTCGGTTCGTCACTCTCTCCGTTTTCTTTTTTTCTGTATTCTCGAAATCGCCGTCTGAGTTTTGACATGTGTGCATTGTTGTTAACCTTGTGATTTTCAGGTACTAACATTCAAACGAATGAAGAAGTGGCGATCAAGCTTGTGAGTATTGTTGCTTGAGTTTGATCAATGTTGAAAGTAATTTGGCATTGTAAAAAATCTGGAGTTTTAGGGATTAGTAGCAACATTGTCACCACATGTTTTAGTTTGATCATGTTCAGTATGTTGAAATTTGAGATTGAATCTCCATGTTTTTGTTTTCCCAGGAAAATGTGAAGACAAAACATCCACAGCTGCTCTATGAATCGAAGTTATATAGGATTCTACAAGGAGGAAGTAATGATCCATATCTTCTGAAATATCTGTTCCCGATAATGAGCTCTTGATTCTTTGTTTTCCATTTCTGTTTCTTATGACCTCTGTTTTTGCCTTTGAATTTGCTAGCTGGTGTTCCAAATGTCAAATGGTTCGGTGTTGAAGGGGACTACAATGTTTTGGTGATGGATTTGCTAGGACCGAGTCTTGAAGATCTGTTCAATTTCTGTAGCAGGAAACTTTCCTTAAAGTCGGTCCTCATGCTTGCAGATCAAATGGTAAACCCCTTTGTCTTCATGTGATGCTTTTCTTTCATTTTGTTTGTCTATATTTTGCCGTTTTAGTAAAAAATATATTTGATTTTCTGTTTAAGATAAACCGTGTTGAGTTCTTCCATTCAAAATCCTTCCTTCACCGAGATCTAAAGCCAGACAATTTCCTGATGGGCCTTGGAAGGCGAGCCAACCAGGTTTATCATCTTTTGTCCGAACAATCTATACTTTCGCTCTTATTTTACTTTTGAAGAAACCATTAGATTGACTAAGTTTATTTCTTCCCTAAGGTATACATTATCGACTTTGGTCTTGCTAAAAAGTACAGGGATAGTACAACACATCAGCACATTCCCTACAGGTGAGGCAATATCATTATATCAGTTCTTGAATGTTCTTACTTCAAGCATGATGTGTCGTTATGTGATGACTGAATACACTTGTGATTCCCATTCGCAGAGAAAATAAGAACCTGACAGGAACTGCACGATATGCTAGTATGAACACCCACTTGGGAATTGGTAAGCTCAACAAGACCTGTTTCACGTTTATGTGTTCCAGTGTCTCTCCTTATATGTTTAAGTATCAAAATTTGACACACTCTGCTGTTATTTGTTTTCTGCTATTGTGAACCTCAAGAACAAAGCCGAAGGGATGATCTCGAGTCTCTTGGTTACATCCTTATGTATTTCCTCAAAGGAAGGTGAGTTTATGCTACATGCCTCACATCACTTCGTTTCTTGTAATGTTTCATTGTGATGACATGTGGAATATCTTGGTCTCAGTCTTCCCTGGCAAGGACTGAAAGCTGGAACCAAAAAACAAAAGTATGAGAGAATTAGCGAAAAGAAAGTTTCTACATCCATTGAGGTACATAAGTCCATTTCACAAGTATGCTGCTTTCTGACTCCGATTTATGTCCCCCTATCTGATTTTATATGATCGCCTTGTAGGCCTTATGCCGTGGTTACCCATCCGAATTTGCATCTTATTTCCACTACTGTCGGTCGCTTCGTTTTGATGATAAACCAGATTACGCTTATCTCAAAAGGATATTTCGAGATCTCTTTATCCGTGAAGGTTTTGAAAAAATTTCTTCTCTCTGAACGAGCTAGTCCACAAAGATCATTTTCTAAAAGGATTTCATTACTCTGTTGCAGGGTTTCAATTTGATTACGTGTTTGACTGGACTATCTTGAAGTATCAACAATCAAAACTAACTGCTCCCCCATCTCGTTCCCTTGTAAGTATGATTTGAGTTCTCGGTTAATCTCTCTCTTCTTGCTGGAAATAATCTGATCGAGTCTCTTTCTGCTGCAGAATCCTGCGGTTGGAACTAGCGCAGCGTTGCCTCCGGGCATTTCCAACATCGATAGATACACTGGTAGATTTCCCTGATGAGTAATTATTTCTCTAAAAATATAATTCTCATTCCTATGCACAAAACTTGGCATTGACATTGTTTGTTGTTCCTTTGTTGCACCAAAGGCGAGGAAGAAGGGAGACCGGTTGGTTTCTCACATACAGAATCATCTCGACGGAGAGTTTCAGGCGCTCTTGACAACTCCGGGAATCTTTCGAACCAACAGACATCCTCAATTACTAGAGACTCCATGGTATGAATATGAATTCCTCTACTCTTGTTCTCTCCCAATCAAACCTTTTGCAGGTTTAGAATTAGATACAAGTTACGTATTCAATACTATTTTTTTTGGGTGTAGCAGATCCCGAGCTCTTCATTGTTTGCACAATCAGCAGGATCATCGAGGAGAGTAACGGCAGTGAGTAGCAGCCGAGACAATTACGTTGGCGGCGAGGAGTTGCAGAGAAGCCGTACAGGTGATGTTAGCCGCGGAGGCATGATCCCAAGGAACTCTCCGGTGGAGGCGGCGAAGAGGTCTTCTTCCTCCACAAGAAGACAATACGAATCAGCCATTAAAGGCATCGATACTCTTCAAGTCTCCGACGACAAAACTCATCACCACCACTAATACAATAATTGTGTACTTGCCCGTATTGGTCAACGACCTCACAAGTTTCTTGTATGTTTTTTTGTCTTCTAAAAAGAAGTTAACAACACTACCAAAATTTAAGTACAGTTGAGTTGAGTTGACTTGATTGTCTCTTAACTAACGATGTCGTATCATTAGTGAAAGTAATAGTAAATATCCGGAATTCTGGGGCGCAATTCAATAACTACAAATAAAAAGGATGCACAAATTTAATAAATTTTAAAGTCAAAGCAGAACTCTTCGACTCTTCCATTTGGTTCGACCATTTTCCCTCGATGAGCTCACTCGCTGGAGCCCTAATCTGAGAATTGTTCCAGAGATCTGATAACTGTTTGCGAGGATATTCGGTGAGTTTTAGGCTTCCGTCGTCATCTTCATCTTTTCGTTTTATATTTATTTGGTGTCATCACTCATGAGATCTGGTTGATCACAGTCAGTTCCTGAATTCTCTTTCACTGTATTTCATCTGCACAAAACGATTAACAGCTAAAATGCGTAAACATATGATTGGGTCTAGCTTACTATGCAATGATGATTTTTTTGGAACATTTTTCTTGTAATCATGGTTTCATTGGAGTTTGTTATTAATTACTGTAATGGTAGGAATGGGCGACGACAACCCACCTCCTGGCAAAGAAAAAGCAGAACAAAATGTTGAAGTAAACACATTAGTTGGGGACGATGCTGCAATGGAATCTATAGCTCGAAGATTCCAGGACTCTATCTCAGTGGAAAAACCACACAAGTTCTGGGAAACTCAACCTGTTGGGCAGTTCAAAGACATCGGGGACACGAGTCTACCTGAAGGCCCAATCGAGGCTGCAACACCGTTGTCTGAGGTCAAGCAGGAGCCTTACAACCTTCCTGCTGCTTACGAATGGACCACATGTGACATGAAGTCTGATTACGTATGCTCAGAAGTTTACAACCTTCTAAGGAACAACTATGTCGAGGATGATGAGAACATGTTCAGGTTCAATTATTCAAAGGAGTTTCTTACTTGGGCTCTGCGTCCACCTGGCTACTACCCTAGCTGGCATATAGGAGTTCGTGCCAAGACTTCGAAGAAGCTTGTTGCTTTCATCAGCGGCGTGCCGGCTAGAATCAGGGTGCGTGACGATGTTGTGAAAATGGCTGAGATCAATTTCTTATGCGTTCACAAGAAGCTCAGGTCTAAGAGGCTTGCACCTGTCATGATCAAGGAGGTTACGAGGAGGGTTCACTTGGAGAATATTTGGCAAGCGGCCTATACTGCAGGTGTTGTGCTTCCGACACCAGTTGCGACCTGCCAATATTGGCACAGGACCTTGAACCCGAAGAAGCTCATTGATGTCGGATTTTCAAGGCTTGGTGCAAGAATGACAATGAGCAGAACCATTAAACTCTACAAGTTACAAGATGCACCAGTTACTCCTGGATTCAGGAAAATGGAACCGTGTGATGTCCCTGCTGTAACACGGTTGCTCAGGAGTTATCTTAGTCAGTTTCTCGTTGCGACAGACTTTGATGAGAATGACGTTGAGCACTGGCTTCTCCCAAGGGAAGATGTTGTGGACAGTTATCTTGTAGAAAGCCCGGAGACCCATGATGTTACTGACTTCTGCAGCTTCTACACTCTTCCTTCAACAATCCTCGGCAACCCCAATTATACAACACTGAAAGCTGCTTATTCATACTACAATGTGGCCACCAAGACTACTTTTCTCCAGCTGATGAATGATGCTCTAATAGTCGCCAAACAAAAGGGTTTTGATGTGTTCAACGCATTGGATGTCATGCACAATGAGAGTTTCCTAAAAGAGTTGAAGTTTGGTCCAGGAGATGGGCAGCTCCACTATTATCTCTACAATTATCGTTTAAGAAGCGCCTTAAAGCCATCAGAACTTGGGCTGGTGCTCTTATGAGCTCATGTATCATCTTCATAGTCAATTGGAATCAGCAAGCTGGAGTTTCGGGTTTTTTTTTTCATATTTGTTCTCAAAACTTGTTTGCCTATTTTCTTTCGTATGAACCTCTTCTCCAACCTCCCTTGGGATACTGATGTGAATTTAATTTATTGTCAATGGGAATTTGACGTTTCTGCAATTTTGATCGATACAGTTGTCACGGTTTTTAGTTATGCTTATGCCGTTTCATCTATTCCCATTTTTTATGGCTTTGTTTAATTGTTCTTGCATTCTCCATGACCTCTTTTTTAACTATATTCTGCACTTCACAATGTTGCTGTGCTCATAATCTGTTAAGAATCGGCATCTGTGGCTGCTCTGTTTTGTTCACTTCGGGTTATAAAGTGACATGTTACAGGCAGCAATGAAACGGCCATGCAGCTAACATATTGGTAAAGTCTACTCAAAACTCTTCATATTTCTCTAGCAACATTGTTAACATTCATTGGTTTTCATGTACATAATTGACAGATGTTGATTTGTACAGAGTGATCCTAACTCTCATATCAATTTGGAACAAAGTGCGGTAAGCAACAAAGCACTTTGTTTGGCTGATTCTTTTCCAATGCATCCCACCATTTCTCATCACAGTAAACTGTTGGCAAGTTCGTCAGGACCCTTTCCTGAAATGGGAGTTTCTTCACTTTGGGACAGTTAGTGATAACTAAAGTTTCTAGTTTTTGGAAAGAGAATCGAGATGGAAGGATGCTGCTTAGTTCTGGTAAGTCCCTGATTGACAAAGTCTTCAGGCTTGGGAACAATGCTGTATCTTCAACGGATGGGCTCTCCCGTTCACTAATCAGTTCCTCTAGCTCTCTGCAGTCGAACAGGTCAATCACCTCTAGCTTTGGGAGTTGCGGAACCCATGAGACGTTCTTCAGCTTGTGGCAGTGTGAAATGTTAATGCAACGGATATTCCGCAGACATTCTTGGCTTACAGAATTTCCCCACACTCTGCTTAATTTATGGAGGCTGTGTAATGTCAAAACCTCTAGACTTGGAAGCCAGTCATTTTCAACTTCTGTTGGTGGGATCAGGTACTCCAAGTCATGGCAGCTTTTGATGCTGAGTCTTCTCAGGCTCCTACCATGGTTACTGAGTGATGGGAGATCGAAATAGAGAAGACCATTGCACTCTTCTACGTGCAGATTCTGTATACGTTTGTGTAAGGCGCCAAACTCGTAGAGAGTTTTTAGTGTCTCCAGTGAGAGAATAGTGATGCCGAGTGTGGTGAGGTTTTCCAAGTGTTCCAAGTCGCCAAACCCGAGTTCTTCTATTTCATCTTCTCTAAAGCTCTGCAGTTCCCAACCAGCGTAACTGTAGTACAGGTTCAGAACCTCGAGTTTGCTCAGCCAACATATGGCATCTCGCGGGATCGTCTGGAGAAACTGAGTTCTTTGCAGGTCCAGATGCTTCAGCTTTCTAAGATTCCCAAGCTCTTGGGGCAATACACTTATCTTTGTTCCTGACATAGCTAGATGATACAACTCTACCAAATACTTAATAGACAATGGAATCTCAGTGATACTTATGAAGGACAAGTCAAGAACCCTTAGAAAAGGCATATGCGTGAAAAACCCTGTTGGAATCTTCTTCAAAGAGCCGTTCTGTTGGAGCATCAATGTTTTCAGATTCAGACATACCGGTTTTTCAGGCAAGGTCTGGATTCTGTTATCTAGCAATGAAATCACCAACGCTTGTCGCCAGTTTTCTGCTTTAGGTGCTTCAGTAAGTCCCATGTTAGGCTCTACTAGGATCAGCTCCTTATAAGTCCCCTGTTCAGAAGCCATCCATAGTGCAAAGCTTCTTACCACATTATGCATCTTCACCTGTGTTTTCTCATCTCCTGATTCCAACAAACACGCCGCTTTCAGATCTCCAATCAGAAAATATCCCTTGTATATAGTGTTGACGCCATGGGAGCTGGTGAGAAACCCTTCTCCGACCCAGTACTCAACAAGCTGTTCAATCTCAATAGAATGTTCTTCCGGGAACAAAGCGCAGTACAAGAAACAAGTTCGAAGCAGATCACTCTCGAGATTGTCATAGCTGAATTTCAAAAGTGCAAACACATAGTCCATACCCTTCATCTCTGCTGGAAACCTGTTCAGAACTTCACTCGCGTGAATCCACTCTTCTTCTGTCTCTCTATGAGCCATGGCCCCTCCTAATGTGATCAACGCCAGAGGCAATCCACCGCATTTACTCACAATAACCTCAGCGAGCCGGCGAATCGAAGGTGACTCCAAGAGATCGTTTCTTCCAACTTTATCACAGAAGAGCTCCCACGCGTATTGCTTCTCAAGAAACTCCACTCTCAACTTGAACTCCGCACCCATGTTGCTGCATAACGCCATGGATCGTGTCGTGAACATAACCTTGCATTTGTTTTCCCTGTCAGGTCGAGGAACTCCAGCTTTCTCCAAGTCTATCTCTTCCCAGACATCATCAAGCAGCAACAAGAACCGTTTCTGTTTCAAAGCTCTGTATATCTTCAAAGCTCTATGTTCCCCTGTCTCCTTCTCGTCCCAAGATAAACCCAAACTCGCTCCAACAGCTTGCTGAATTGTACACTCGCCGAATTCTCTGGACATTGTAACCCATATAAGTACATCATAGTGATGACCTTTTGTGATCAGCTCGTTATTAATGCTCTGCATCAGCGTCGTCTTCCCAACCCCACCAGGTCCATAAACCCCAATGATTCCTCTTTCTTCTTCTTCTTCACTTAGAAACTTCCAAACCTTTTCAATCATTGCAGTAATCCCAACCACAGACTTGATCGGTATCTCTCTACTAGTCACCTGAATCGACCCGCCATATGTTTTTATATCTTTAGACCGTTCTCTCAGCTCAGTGATGTTCTTCAATGTCGTCAAGACTTTCTTGCTCAGTTTGTGGTCGGCACAACCGAAGCAACCGAGGCATCTCCTCCGAATTCTTGTCCTCTGTTGGCGATGCATAAACCTTGCTATAATCGATTCTGCTTTAACCTCGGCTGCTTTCACCGCACTGAGCCACTCTCTGGCATGGTTTGTGCTTCTTCGTCCCTCTAGTTCGTGTTGCTGGATCCGTAGATTCAGGTCGTCACGTATGGCTTTCAGTTCACCGGTGGCTGTTTCGAGATCACTGATGGCTTGCTTAAGATCAGTCTTGTGTCCTCGTCTCCCTGCCATATTCATAGATTCACACAACACCTGAGCTAAGCCCACGAGTAGAGATGAGATGAAATCCATCTTGACGGTTTCTCGCTCTTTCTTTACTTGTCTGAGCAAACTAACTATTAGTTAATTATTCGCTTCCCATGGTCGATCTGATCATAGAGATAAGGTGAAAGTTGACTCATAAAGTCAAGTCAATGATAATAGGCATTTTGTGACTTGGTCCAAGAAACGAGTATATTTGGAAAAGGAAAACTAAGATATAGAGTAAATTAATACTACTAGTACTAACAATATTTCGAACCTTTATTCATGCTTCTTGTTAATGTTCCACTCGCCGAGTTAAGACCCACAATAACAAACCGGCCCATTAAGAGTCTTTCGATTCCAATATGTGTAAGACATTGAAATTTTGAATCGCCTTCTATACAGTGTCTCCTGCATTGTCAAATCAAGACCTCCATTGCTGACTTGCTAAAAAAGTCCTCATGTTAAGATTAGACTTTCTAGGAAATCGAATTGAGAAGACATATCAAGAGATGATGAGTTTTAATATATGAAATAAGATATAACCTGACCCTATACTATCCCTTTAAGCTCTCGAAATTTCTAAATGGTGATCGATTGCATGCTGATGCAGGAATGGCTAAAGTAGCATTGTTACATACTGATTCTTAGTTAGTACATTGATCATTATACGTAATTATTCTTATAGGAAACATATCATAATTGATATGAATTGATGATGCTCATAGACACACTACTCAGGATGTGGTCCATTTACTTTACGATGGTGTCATAAGTTTGTGGGATCATAAATAAATAAAAAACGCTTAAGAGTTGAAAATAAAAGTAAGTTTTCTCTTTTGTTAATGGAAACAGCATATCAAAAGACTCGAATAGCCTGTTTCACCGAAAATGGGAGGCATATATGATGTGAATGGATGTAATGATATACTACTTTGTCCCATATTTAATTAAAAACATATCTGTATATATAAAATTAACTAATGGTATATAGGACCGTTCTTTTTATTTAGTTCGGTTTTGATTACGAGTTGAACAACCCTACTACCTCCATTAACCGCTTTGCCCGCAAGGTAAGATAAAAGATTAACATAAATAAGTAAACATAAATAGAAATATCCACTATCCATGTTTTCTTGGCCATCTTCTCATTTTCTCTACTATTGATTTAAAAAGTTTTTTTCTATCTTTTTATTATATTTAGATGATTGGTTCATTGAACTTGAGGTGTCTTGGGTATTTTGTCTGATGCCCATCATCCAAAAGGACCAAAACCAAATTTCAAATTTCCATTTACAAAAGCAAATCAGTACACCATTGTCCAGTGAATACAGCACAAGTGGCACAAAACATATGGAACATGATAAATATTTTTGTTTATGAAGTTCTGTTGACAACCAAATATAAATTATTAATTGAGATATTTTAGGAGGGAGAAAAATAAAAAAAAGAGAGTTTAAAGACAAGATATTTACGGAAATTAAAGAGGCTGTCTTTGTCAGTGCAATGAACCTCTTTTTCTCTCATCTCTCCCGCCATCCTCAACTAACACATCTCCGACCGTACACGTCACCCTCTCTCGTTCACCAAAATCGGACTTTTTCCTCGTCAACGTGTCGCTCATCCATCGGTTTTCCGGTAACGTGGGACCCATTATTATTCACATTTACTTTCTTTTACTATATTTTTTTTGGACGGATTCTCTTTCGTTCGTTGCTCAATTATGTCCATGAGTCTATCCATAAAATGCAATCGGAATCATGTTTTATTTTATATCGCGACAACGATGAAATACAAGTTATCCGTATATACTATATGTTTCCTACTAGTATTAGTTTTGTTTTCTGGTCAATACAAAGACTTATAATGGTCGAAATTAATGGACTTCTTTTTCTCTGTAAGACAAAATGATTTCACGTACATTTTAACGTGTTTTTAACTTTTTATAATTCCACGACCGATCTCTTTTCTTAATTTGTTTAAGAAAATACAAAGACCAATTTCTTTCAGCTGTGCATAACCATTTTATGGTTATATGGATCTCTTTTTAAGAATCAGGATTCAAAATTCTAGTTTATTTTATTATAATTTGATAATTGATATATACATGAATAAATGAAGCGAATCTAAGTATGTTCTTCCGCTAACAGAACTAACAATGCTTTTAGTTTTAAGTTTGACCAAAAATGGTTTTCAAGATTTATAATACTCCCTCCGTTTCACAAAGAGTGTCATTCTGACATTTTTCACATAAATTAAGAAATAAGATAAAAGGTCTTTTCTACCCTTATTAATTTGCAGAAAATGATTCTTTGAATTATATTTATAATTAATTTTCTGAATTTATTGAGGTTAAAAATAGTATTTTATGTTAAAAATTACATTAAAATTCTAAAACGACATTCTTTTTGAAACAAAAAAAAAGTGTCAGAAATTTATTAGACGAATAATGAAACGATTCCCCTTAAAATTATCATTATTTAGATATTTAACCGGTAGTTTTCCATTTTTCCAGAATATCAAAACATCCAATTCTTTTCTTATCTTGTTTATATGGATAAAAATATTGTTCTTATACTGAAAATGACAGAAGTTTTAATTATTACTTTTAATATCTAAATGATATATGATGTTTGGTTTTTTTGGTCCAATGGTTAGAAGTTACGAATAAAGTTTCTATATTTCGGATTAAAACTGTGTTTACGACAAATAATTACTTATATTGTAAGCTACAAGACTTAAATCCGAATATGACACGTTATTAGTGAACGTCATCTGATAAAAATATATAAAATTCATTAAACCGATGACCTAACTAAAGTTAAAAGCTAAACATATTTCGTTTGACAAAAAGAAAGAATTAGGATATTTGGTTTCAGAAAAGTGATTCAACATTTGTATAATGTTAACAGTGGCCAATAAAGACAAGCAATAAAAAAAAAATACTACAAAATTTTGTTGCATACAAAAATTGGAAGCAAGTGTCTTTTTATGATTTTTTTAAATTTTCAAGAACGAAACATCTCCCCTTATTACAAAGAAAACAAACTAACTTTTTATTGTAATAAATAAAGATAAATATTTCTAGTATTTAAGCGATTGCTGCCTTTGCAAACCCATTTCCTCTTTTGTTCTTTCTTTCTCGTTATATCTGTGAAGAAGCCACAAGAAGTTCTTTAGAAGAAGAAAGGAGAGTCTTCTTTCAACTTTTAGGTAGTTGAATCCAGAAATGGTTTTAGTTAGAAATTAATTGAAGAGAGATATTACAGAATCTTTAAGGGGTCGTAACGAATTACCCACAATCCAGGAAACCCTGAATTGAAATTCAATTCATTAATTTCTTTTCTTTTGCTCTGTGGTGATTCTCCCGGGAAAAATTTGGGTATCTCTATCTGATTCTTGCGGTAGCCAAGGTTCCTTTTTTTGGGGGCAGTCATGGGTTTCTTGTCTGCATCGCTTCTAATAAAGTAGTTCTCTTAAATTTCTGTAGAAATCTGTCGAATTTTCATTTTTCTTCCATTAGAGCTCGTTTTATAGATCAACCATCTTTACAACAAAAAAAAAGCTCAAAGCTTTGCAAATTTCCGAGAAGTCAAGAGTTGAGATTCCATCAATGGAGGAAATATCTCCGGCGGTTGCTATACCTTTCATGCCTTTCCCCGAAACCCAGATGGAGTTCGCAGGGATCATGTTGGGTAAAGGTTATTGCAACGGCCAATACTCAACCCAAGATTCCGAGAACGGCGATTCAAGGGTTTCGTTACCGGAGACTTCGTGCTCTGTTTCTGGGTCTCATGGAGCTGAATCTAGGAAAGTTTTGTCCTCTCGGATCAATTCCCCTAACTTCAACATGAAGAAGAAATCATCGTCGTCATCGTCAGATATAGTCGCTGATATCGCCGCCGGAGGGGAGATCAACGGATCAGATGAGAGATCGACGGTTCAGAGCGAGAAGAAGATGATCAGCAGAACAGAGAGCAGGAGTCTGTTCGAATTCAAGAGTGTGCCTTTATACGGAGTGACTTCGATCTGTGGAAGAAGACCGGAGATGGAAGATGCTGTCTCCACGATACCTAGATTCCTTCAATCTCCGACTAATTCTCTGTTAGATGGTCGTTTCAATCCCCAAACAACCGCTCATTTCTTCGGTGTCTACGACGGCCATGGCGGTTCTCAGGTAAATTCAATCGACTTCCTCTGTTAAAATCCCGATTCGATCTCACACGTTGCTGCAAAAAACTGGGTTTTTGATTGATTGGGTCTTTTGGGTTTTGTAGGTAGCGAACTATTGCAGAGAGAGGATGCATCTGGCTTTAGCGGAGGAGATAGCCAAGGAGAAACCAATGCTCTGCGACGGAGACACGTGGCAGGAGAAGTGGAAGAGGGCTTTGTTCAACTCGTTCCTCCGAGTTGACTCGGAGCTCGAGTCAGTCGCACCCGAAACGGTTGGGTCAACTTCGGTGGTCGCCGTCGTCTTCTCGACTCATATCTTCGTCGCTAACTGTGGCGACTCCAGAGCCGTTCTTTGCCGCGGCAAAACCGCGCTTCCTTTATCCACTGACCACAAAGTAAGCTTTTTTCCCGGCAAAAACAGCTTGGGTCTATAGTTTGTGATAGCTTCTTGATCCCCAATTCTGTGTTCAAGATTTTGAATTTAGAGTTTCTTGTATATCCATTTCTGATGTATGTTTCTGCTATGTGTGTAGCCGGACAGAGAAGATGAAGCGGCGAGGATTGAGGCAGCCGGAGGAAAAGTGATCCAGTGGAACGGAGCTCGTGTTTTCGGTGTTCTCGCCATGTCAAGATCCATTGGTAAGCTTTGTTAGAGATTCATTGGTTCTTGAAATTAAAAACCTTTTTCTTACAAAACACATACATTACGACAGGCGATAGATACTTGAAACCGTCGATCATTCCCGATCCGGAAGTGACGGCTGTGAGGAGAGTCAAAGAAGATGACTGTCTGATACTGGCCAGTGACGGAGTTTGGGATGTAATGACGGATGAGGAAGCGTGTGAGATGGCGCGGAAGCGGATTCTGTTGTGGCACAAGAAGAACGCGGTGGCTGGAGAGGCGTCGTTGCTCACCGATGAACGGAGAAAAGAAGGGAAAGATCCGGCAGCGATGTCTGCGGCTGAGTACTTGTCGAAGCTGGCGTTGCAGAGAGGAAGCAAAGACAACATAAGTGTGGTGGTGGTTGATTTGAAGCCTCAGAGGAAATTCAAGAGCAAACCCTTGAGCTGAGGCAGAGGATCCCTTTTTCTTTATTATTTTAAAATTATTATGGGGTCTCTCAAGAAGTTAATTTGTGCTTATTTTTTTTAACTAACTTGCTACATGAGATAATGTAGCGTAAAGTGTTAAGCTCTTTGTCTTAACTCTTTAACAATATAAAAGCCCCTTGTATTTTTCCTCCCGGGCTTATTGTAATATGGGTTACAATATACATTTGTTTTTTGTCAACTTTACAATATACATACATTAAGATCTCTTGTTATTGATAAACTGTTTTAGTTTAGATATGTAGTGATATGAAACAATTATTATTTAGCTGAGTTGAATTAAGTATATCAATTAGCACTGCAGAGAGAACAAAATATAGATATAGTGATGTGAAAGTACACAGGAAAATAAGATTTTGTGGAATTGTCTCTCATAAGTCTTAACATCTCGTTAATTCGGCTTTCGTAACATCTTTTCTATTGGATATAATAAGATATGATGGTAGAAGGATTGTTCAAACTCGGTTCTAGCTATTAGCAAGAGGGGGAGTCAAAGATCCTGCGTCGGTGAAGTAAGAAGAGAGACTCGCATCCAAATCTTCAAACATGTTCACGAACTTGTGTTCCTAATCACCAGGAATAGCAACAAACAAACAAACAAACAAAAAGGTCGTTAAAAAGTGGTACGAGACAACACAAGAAGAAAAGACACAAAGAGTCTTGTATGATTACGCACCAAAAGCTCCTGTGCTGATTTTCTGTCTTTTGGATCTTTCTGTACACTACACAAGTAAAACATCAGTTAATAACATGAAAGCGTTTCCAAAATCTGTTTTTAAGTATTCTCACCATTGAGAAATGAAGGAGCAAAACTCTGGAGAAAACAGGTGGGAAGGTGCACAAGGAGGTGGGTTTTCGACAATGGTGTTCACTATCTCATACACGCTACTCCATCCCTTCATGTCTTCTGGAGGATTATAAGGGAATTTACCCGTTGCACATTCGAGCAAAACTAGTCCCAAGCTCCAAATATCGCTCTTGTTACTATACATACTTCCGCTGATTCTCTCTGGCTGCAAAATATGATAAATAATACTGGTCATTCATATAAACCCTTTATAACTTTCAAAACTGAGTTAATGCAGGTGAATGGAGGAGACTCACAGACATATAGTGGTATGTACCCACAAAGGAATTAGCAAGACTGGTCGTGCTAGACAAGATCTTGCTGACACCAAAGTCTGTGATTTTCACTTGACCTCTATGATTGATTAGCAAGTTCGAAGGCTTTAAGTCCCGATGAATGATTCGCCTCTCATGGTGAAGATAGCACAAACCTCGAAGCACCTACGCTTAGTCGAAGAAAGAGCTTAAGTCATATGTTCTCTAAGAGAAGATAAGTAGAAACCGGTAAAGAGTAGATGTTTTAAAGATTTTTGCGTAGAGTACTCGCTTGCAGATGGCAGAGAGCATGTTTTCAGGAACTTTCTCGACTTTCTTTAACAAGTCCGCAAGGGATCCACCGTCCATGAACTCCAAGATGATTGAAACAAGACCGTTATGGTAAAAAGACTGATAACATGAGACGAGATATGGACATTGCGATGACAAGTTTATTCTCAGTTCCTGAGAAATCGCTCGACATGTTGATTCTTCTGTGTTCAATTGAATGACCTGAAAATAAAACAATGCATCTTTCTTTATTTCAGCTAAAAGAAGAAAACACTCGAGAAAGAAGCAACATACATTACATAAGAGTTAAAAAAGAACACAAAAGAGAATCACGACCTTAAGAGCGAAAAACTGTTGAGTCAGTTTGTGTTTCACCAACTGAACATTACCACCGTTTCCTTTGCCAATGACTTTGATCACTTCCAGATCTGCCAAACTCAATTGGTTGTCCAATGGCACAATAGGAGGTGGCTGCAAAAACCAAAAACATCCAATTTACTCATAGAAAATAAATAAGTAAGAGAAGAGAGTGAGATCTCAATTTCAAGAAGCATGAATTCAAAAAAAACAAACTTACAGCTCCAGGTTCGGACTGAGACACGGTCTGGATTCCATCGCTGTTCACTCGAAGGTCTCCATCCGTGAACGTTCCGCTCTCTGTTCTATCCATTTTTTTTTTTCAATGTTAGAAGACTCACTGACACAAATCTATTGGTTACAATGACCATAGTGACATAATCCAATCCAATGATTTAGACAAGAAAACATTGTAGAATCACTTGTGGTATGAAAACGAATCCTAAAAATTGAGAACAGTGAACTCTGATTCCTCAAATCCTAAATTGGAAGGGCATGATCTGAAGAATAAACAAAGTAATTCACCAGAAGCATTTGCAGGTAATGCCATAAAATTGACATGTACGAAGAATCCAAAGATAGAGAGAAAGAGAGTTACAGAAATTTGGAGATGGATTCCTCAGGAGGAGGGAGACAGATGGGATTAAAGCTCAAGCTGCCTCTTTTCATGTCTGATTGGAGATCAAATCTACCAAACACAGTAACAGATAAGCACACAACAAAACAGGTCATAGATCAGAAGGATCGAGATTAGAGGAATGACGAACACTCGACGTCGTGTAGCTCATGACTATGAAGAAGAAGACGAAGACGAAAAATGGTCGTTGACTTCCCCTTGACTCATATTTCCTTTGAATTTTCTTCCTTTTTTTTATTTTTTTATTTTTTTGTTTGGTCATCAGATTTTTTTCTTGCCAAAATCATTACATTTTAACCTCCCACTTCTCAATATTCCCATTAACACTAAGAGGAGGTTAATGATGATTATTATTTTATCACATATTAGTCTTATGATTAATTTTCTTCGACGACCGGTCTTCTGATTGTGAAATCCTTTTTTATTTGCATTATTTAACAGCTTGTTGATTTTAATTATTAGTGCTAAAAATAAACAAGCTACTATCTATTTAGATTGTAATTATTAGCAATTTTGAAATAGTCTAATTATCTTTTGGAGACAGATTCAACTAATTTAAATGGGACTATCCGGTCCTGCAGTTAAAAAAGGACTATCCGATTCCAATATGAGATCATGATGGAGAATTCAACAACATGATATAACGTGTAAAAGAAATATTGAATTAATGAAAACACCGTCGTAAAAAAAACATTTGGAAAATAAAAGTTTCTTTTGGTGAAAGGTAAATGAAGTAATGAACTTCCAAAAGTAATTGATTTAAACAAGAGAAGCTATAATTGGAAAATAATCACGACTGCAAAATACGAGTGATAAATACATAAACCAACAACTAAACCAGAATGGTAATTGCTTATGAAACTCTTAAAATAATTTAGCAAAATAGAAAAGAGACAATTTGCTTTAGGCAAACGAAAAGGACTCTCCCTGAGACAGACTTGAGACTTTAATTTTTCTTCTTCCGCTCTCTCCGCATCGTTTAACGCTTACGAAGTTGAAGTTGAAGCAGTAGAAGACGACGACGACGACGACGACTTGCTCCTTTTAGATTCCTTGATTTGAGATTCATCTCCCTCTTCTATTGCAATCAATCTATCCTCGAATTTCTGCTCGAGAAATTATCTGGTGAGCTATCTCCGTCGTTTTCCCTTTTACTTCACCTTGGATCGTTCAACTGATGGATTTCAAGTGCTATTTCGTAGATTTCTAGTTTTAAACTCTTTTCAATTTGAGAGAAATCATCTGATCCGGACTCTGGCTTTTCCATGCTTCTATTTCGTTGATTTCAATTTTCTCGTGGGTTTGGTCTCTGCTAGTGTTTCGCTCGAAGCTTCTGTGTTTTGTAGCCTTTGTTCGATTGGATTCACCACTCATGGTTTCTTTCTGAAATTTACACTGTTTTTGTGGTTTTGCTGCAGGCAAATTTGAAGATCTTGTGCGTCACAAAACTCATAAACGCTCCGATTAGTAAAAAACGCATGGCGGAAAGTAATCATCTTCTTTCCTCTATGTCTTGTGATCAAATTAGTCATCTTACGTTATGCACTTTGGTAGTTCCTGTTAGCAGAACAGAGGATCACCGAATTATCAGCCAAATCTAGGAACAAAGTAGTTTACTAGCTGTGAGTGATTGCTCACGAACAGTCTAAGATCATGAAATTCTGATTTCTACATTCAAAATATGATTTTTCGAACACTAGACATGGTTTTGAGAAGTGCCCCTTCTCATCTCCAAGTGATTTCCAAGAAGAATCTAACAATATAGTTTTATGAGTTTTCCACCTCTTTGGTTTACTCTATCTATTGAATTTTTCTATTTCCAGGTGTTAAGGAGCGTGGAGATGGAAGTGCCGAATTGGTAAAATCCATGGATGATAAGCATCCCAGTCTCATGAGACCAGCTGCTAGATATTACTCTGCAATTAAAGGTAACTCTTTTAAGATGTAACCTTTAAGTCTGTTCATTTGTGGAACTCATGCACTGACACTGGCTCTGTATGATAGATGCTATGGTTTTTGGGAAAGGAAGATATACGCTTGTTAAAGACGTGGATGATGTGGAAAATGGAGCGTATGACAAACCTCTTCCATGCTTTGGTTGCGGAATCGGATGGTTCTCGTGAGTAGAAATTTTTGTTTTTCGTGGAGTTAAGTCCCACTTTAGCTTCGCTGTATCCAATAATGATGTACATGCTATCTCTCCTTCTACAGCTTTCTCCTTGGTTTTATGTTCCCTTTCTTGTGGTACTATGCGACATTTCTCTATTTCGGAAACTACTACCGCAAGGATCCTAGAGAAAGAGCCGGCCTTGCTGCTTCCGCAATCACTGTAACGACCATATCTCTCTTTCTCTTCACTTGTGTATAAGCTTTCCTGTATGTATGAGCTTCAGGTAGGTGAAATGATGTTGAAATCTGGTGATGTTGCAGGCGATGGGATTCTCGCTCTTGCTACTGGTGATTATAGTTTTCAGGTGGTTTTAATGGGTTCTCACGTATACACCATATATACATGTATAATCATGAACCTGTTCTTGTCAAAGGATTAAGGAAGAGGGACTTAGATATTTGACTGTACATTCAATATAAACCCGAAATACAGATACTATCTAAAGCTCTGTATCATATATACTTCTCACAATCGTACAAAGTAACAGAAAATAAAAAGAATTGAATAAATTGTCGTTTCTTTATTGAGCATCTGATATGAATGTTTATTTATTTATTTTTATTTTTTTGGTCTTGCCCTGGTAAGTGGTAAGTGTTAACTTTGGTAGAGCACAAAAGAAACTCGAATACATTTAATAAGGAGTATTAAACACATTTTAGCGCAATTTTTATTTATTTATTTATTTAAAAAGCATGAATAAATCTGATTAGAACAAAACATGTGAAGGGTTCGCGTCACGACTGTTGTTAACTTATTCCTGATTGGCCCAAAGCGTAAAGAGCTTCGTTTATATTACGGAAAGTGTACGGTCGTAGTCGCTCGAAGAAGAGACAAAAAAAGATGAACAAAAAATTTGGAGGGAAGATGCCGACGGGAACTCCGTCTCTAGCGTTATCCACCGTCGTCGTGGTAGCCTCTCTGCTCGCCGGAGCCTCCGTCGTCCACAATTTATACAAGCCAGATCTCGTAAGTTTTCTTCTTTTAAAACGCATCTAAAGTGTTCGATGAAATGTCTAGCTAAACCAAAATTTGTTTCTTTTATAACTTCTCAGCAATATGATTATAAATCCGTGGAGAGATGATCTGATATCCATTTCTCTTTCTTTTTTTAACCTTCGTATGCAGACATTACCTCAGATCGAAAGTGATGAAACAGACAAGAAGGATTAATCTGGAAACAAAGATTAAACATTTTTTTCTTTTCTGTTTTGTTGTCTTTTCTGTTTAATGAAACTTCTTGTTTGTGATTCCTCAAACTCCTCCAGGCTCCAGGGTTTGGTTTATGTCCTAAAACGAATAAACGTATGCGTTATGTATGGATAAGTCCTCTCACTGTCAGTACTTTTGTGATCTATCCAAGTATGTGATTGCATATTTGCAATTTACATGGCTAATTGGCTATTCCCCAACACTGTCTAGCTATTACAGATTTATACACTATATAGATTGATCTTAATTAGACCTAGATAGAGAAAGGATTATACTAATTAGGTACTGTGAATACTGAATAGTACAACTGATACTTTCAAAATACGATCTTACATTACATATGTACATGAACCAAACTGTAAGTCTATGCAATAATTTACAAATGGGTTCAACAAAAATTGAATTCAATCACAAAAGTCTATATGATACAGAGAAAAGAACGCTATGTGCGGGAAAAAAGAAAAAAAAAAAACATACAGTACAAGGGAATAACGCTGCATGCAAAAAAAAAAAAAAAATGTGAATGACGATAAACAAAAAAAACAGAAGTAACCTAACTAATACTACCTTGGAGGAGAGAAATACGCGGAGAATGGAGACAAGAGGCGTCGCGGGTTGAAGAGAGACACGTGTCGAGGGGAGGCGATTCCGTCGATCTGGCGGTAATCGGAGACGTTGATGAAGCCTTCCCTCTCGTCTCCACGGCGGTTACCGCCGGGACTCCTCGCCGGAGATGAGCTCAGGCCGTTAAAGGTCTTGTATTTGACGATCTTACCAATGCCCCACAACTTTTTCTTCATCGGAGTCTTCTTATAAGACTCTGTCATCTTCTCGCTCATGTACCGCTTCACTGCTTCCAAACCCTGTTCCACCTGTTGTAAGAGATCATCAAAACATAAACTACTACAGAACAAATTCTTATTAAAAAAAAAAAATTATAAGAGAAGGTTTTTTTTATTGATCTATTCACGTCTCTCAAATTTCTTGTATAGTTGTATATATCATGTTTATAAAAGGATGGTCTTAGCATTAACATATACAAAACTGAACAGATATTTTCAAATAAATATCATACTTGCGTTGCTTAGTTAACACACTATCGATCATAATGCTTGCGAAACAAGTTATGATCCGTATTGTATTATTTTCTGTTGAATGTAATTTATTTACTAAACAAGAATTTTAAATAGGTTATGTTACGAGACTATGACATGCATGTAGCGTATAGTGGTTTGTATAATAGTAAATAAGATTAATAATCAAATTGTACATACCACTTCAAAAGGAGGGGAGACGAGGGGATTGCCCTCGACGGAGAGCTTCTGAATCCGGCGGAGACAGCCGATGGAGTCCGGTAAAACGGTAATTCCGTTATAACTAACGTCAAGCTCCACGAGAGATATCAATAACCCAATGGAGTAAGGCAAAACCGTCAAGTGCTGGAAGTTCTGGCTAACGTTAAGGACCTGAAGGTTCACGAGGTTCTCTAGATCATCCGGGAGAGACCCAATGCGGTTAAGCCGCGCGTCGAGCACACGTAGCGACGTCATGTGGCCAAGGGAGTGTGGTAACAAGACAAGCTTGTTCGAGTTGACTGAGAGCTTTGTCAGATTCGTTAGCTCGAACCCTAACGTGTCTGGAAGCCTCGTCAGCTCGTTGAAGTTGGCGTTTAGCTCTTCCAATGATCTGCGCGTTTTGTTTTGCGTTTAGCGTTTTTCGTACATGTATATATAATTAAGAGAATTATTGGATGCGAGGAAAGGAACTTACTTGCAATCTTCGATAGTTTTGGGGAGAAATTGGATATAATTTCCGGAGACATTAAGAATCTTAAGCTTGGAAAGACATCCAATGGAGTTGGGAAGAGATTTGAGCTGATTTGAGTGCAAATCCAATGCCCACAAGTTTAACATTCTTGCTACTAGAGATTCTGGAATTTGCTGCATTATAAACTAAATAAATGAGTGATACAGTTTGAAGTGGTCCAAAGAAAAAGTTTTAAGTAATTGCCATGTACATAAAATAAGGTTAGGATATAATGATGAAGCACTAATCCGAACGCTACATATATTGTCGGATAAATTATGTTTTTGACAGCTATTGTCGGATAAATTATGTATAGAGTAGATGTACTTGTACATGAAGTACAATTTTTATCTTATATTTATGTATAATTTTTTTTTTCATTTTCAGATGGACATTCAGTACATAACATAGTAGTAATATTTTTTTGGCATTTGGGACATTCAGACTCCCTGCTTCCATGTAGTGACGACCAACATTTCTTATATACCTAAAGAGGAAAAAATAATTTGGTATAATTTAAATCTAAATTAAATGTATCAAGACCATATTTATTGATAACGGGTATTTCTCTACACATGCAATCATGCTAGTGGAAGAAGACAGATTCAATATAGCAGAGTCAACGAGAGGGGTAAATGTTAAGATCAGGCTGATCTGCTCATATTTATGAATAGTTAATGTAGCAGTTATGTAACGAAAAAAGGTAACACTTTCAAACAAAAAAAAACGGACACTTGTGGCTCAATTGCTAACGCACCCAGACGTCTAGTAAATAAGAACGAATATGCTTTCTAAGGTTCGCGTTTACCAAAAGAGAAAGGGTTCAGATAAATGTTTGTAATTCATATTTACACACACCTATATTATATATGCAAGTAGGGATGATTTTAAATTTCTGCAAAATTTTGTTTTTATGTCCAACTTCTGGTAAGGTTTGTTTAATCCGTATACCGTTTGTCTTGTTATACATAATAGAAAAATTAATATTTTATCTTTCCTCAAACAAAAACAAAACAGGAAGTGACAAAAACCACAAATTAAGGAATACAGCGAATCATGCATATGCAAGAGGGCTTCATTTTCTCTACGATCTTTATAATTTCTTTACTTATTAGTTAGAAACACTCGAATCTCTACCAAAAACATAAAATAAAATAATAAAAATTAGGTTTTAATGTTTTGATTCTTTTGATCTTTTGAATAGTTTTATAGTGACAAAATGCCTATTTTGGTAAGAAAAAATAACTCATTTTCACGATATTTTAGTAAAAAATGTGTAATTATGGTTGATAAAATTCAGAAGTGATCCAACTTATATAAGTATGAACCTGAATATTGTTGTTGGAGAGATCAAGTTTCGAGATTGAAGCTAAGTTGATAGAAGAGGCTGAGAGAGAAGCCAAGGACATGCCGCTCAGATCGAGAGTCTTGATGATATTCCGGCGGCAATCTCCTTCTCCAGCCGCCACCGTCGCACCGCCATCAATGGCGGCCGGCACACTTCTCCTCGTCGTTTTCTTCCGTGGAGTATTGATTGGTCCCATCTTATTGAAATTCTTCATCATCGCGGTTGTTGTCATTGTCATCTGATTCATCTGCTCGTAACCCATCATATCTTCCTATGTGTATGTGCATATATATATACACACAAAGTATAAGCCACGAAGCTAGAAAGCTAAGAGGAAAGAGAAGAGAGAGGTTATGAAATATGAAGATGTGTTGTAAGTTAGTTGAAAATGAATCGTACTTATTTATAGTAAAGATATTGTAGAGAGAGAGTTGAAGATTGAAATGGAGGATATGTACGGATGATAAGAGAGGGCGTTGAAAAGTTGAAATTCTCTCCCTCTGGATTTTTGTTTATGTTTTTGATGTTGTAGTATATCACACTATCTTTTTACCTTGGCTCTATATATTTTGATATCTAATTTAATACTTTTTCTCCCTATTGAAAACAAGAAACAAGGATGTTTCATATAATATGATGTTTATTTTAATCTTATATGCTTATATTCACGAATTTTTGTTATTAATATAATTATTACATGAAAATCGCAATGATTTTTTTTTTTGTTAAAGAATCGCAATGATATTTCGGAATAACTGGCATTTAAAGAGATTTTCCAAATTGATAACTATTTTCGTTGATGATCAGCCTATAAGAAAAAGTATATATGACAACCCACCTATGAATTTAGGTACTGATATCTTTCAAAAAAAAAAAAAAAAAAAATATATATATATATAGGTACTGGTATAATTCATGTACGAGTCGACACAAAACGTAAAGTTAAAGGATATGTTAGGACGATTTTTGTTAGAGATTTGTCATCTATTTTTACGACATTATAATACGTATTGTTCTGAGATTTTTCAATATATTAAACTACTAAGACCAAGTCCAACGCAAGGATGGAAGGGGTTTATAGCAAGGGTTCAAAACAATATTTGGGCTTATTTTAATCAGTTGAGCCCATTTTTTGCTTGAACCGATCTTAATATTAGAGTTTGCAGAACCTGTTATTGATGGGGTTCAAGAGTGACGTGGCGCTGGCTAATTGGTTTGAACAATTTTTTTTTTGGGAAAACCTTTTGGGGTCTTTGTTTGGTCGAGACAAATCGACACTTCTTCGAAAAACTCTATTTCTCTTCCTCTCTTCCGCAAAACTTCGCCAAGTGATTTCGCCGACGTTTTTTAACCAAATCGGAGAGTTCTGCTTCGAAATCGGAGAGGATTCAGGTGTTTAAAGTCTCTTGAAACGCCAACGATTTGTTTAAGGTATGTATTCGAGTCGAATAGAACTTGATTTGGAGAAATTAGGGTTTTCGCAAATTGGGGATAAATTTCAGTTCCACTAAAATCGGTCTTCCGAGATCGTTTAGGGTAATTAGAACCTGCAAACCTGTATTTTTGATTTGATATGTTAAACGATTTCATGGTTAAGATGTGAAGCAATTTCAAAAAATCATCTAACATCTGGGTTGTCGGATTTATGGATTTAGCGAATGGTTTTGGTTTGATTAGTGGATTTAGCAAGCTGTATCATCTGTTAAATGATGATTTGAACATGGATTTGGGATTTACCGAGTGATTTCATGTGTTAACCGATGCTCATTTGATTTAGCTTGTAGTCATTGATTTCTTTGACATTAGGTTGGCTTATGTAACAAGAACATGCTTTATCTGTTATGTAACAAGAACATGCTTTCCTTAGAGAATATATAAGCTAGTATTTACAGCCATTTCCTTTGTCTTTAAGTAGGTTTTTTCTAAACCCAGCTACTCTCTAAGTTTTAGTTAACTCTGTTGTATTAAAAAGTCTTGTAAGCTATGCTATGTAGTCTCGAAGAACTGTTGTTTAACTTTTGGTAATGAGGCAATGTTATGGTTAGTATTGGTTCCATATTGTTATTGGTTTCGTGTTGCATCTGCGGTTTGGTTCTTGGGCATCTGTTTCTAGTTTCATTTCCCTTTTGCAGATTAGATTGACTGTACTTGTATTAATGCTATTCATTTTTTTAATTGCTTTGAGGTGAATTGGAGTAAATTGTGGCGTAATGAAAGTAACTACCAGAAGTTGGTTCACGTCTGCTTCGTATTTAAGGTTAGTCTTCAATCTGTAGTTATGTGTATGACTTGTTAATAAGTTTTAAGGGTTAAGGTCTTGTCATTACCATAAATGTTTGTTTGGTGAGTAGTTAAGTGTCTGTTATTATTGCCGTGACAGTTTGCTGGTTAGAGTAGGTTAGCGAGTTAATGGTAGTTAAAGTTAATAAGATTTCCCTCTATAAAAAACACAAAACAAACCAAAACACACAACAGAAAACAAAACTTGAATAAACCTAACTTAAAAAGTTCTTCCAAGTTCTTCCTTCTAAACCCTTCTTTGTTAACGTTTTTAAGTTCTTCTTTCTAAACTTCTTCCTTGAATACCCTTTTCTCTTTTTAATCCTTTACACAAAGATGGATTCCACAAACCCTGCCTTGACTGGTTTTGTTAACCTACTAACCAGTCAACAAGAAAACCAATACACTTTCCCAACAACCATCGAGCTTGGATCAGCCGAACCTAGGTTTAGCCAGTTTACACTTGAAGAACAAAATCAATGTGGGAAATGAAGAGACTGGACTTAGACCTGAAAGACAAAATTTCGAAGAGGAGATTGCTTGACAGACTTCTCGTAAAAACTGAACCACTGACTGACAAAGAATTGGCTTTGAAAGACATACTCATTAGCGAGATGTTGTAGAACTTTGTCTGTTTTACTTGTTTTCAATATGTGTACTTGTTTTTGTTTGTCTTTGTGCTATGTTGCTGAATTAGGTGTTCATGTACTTCGTATTTGTTCTTGTTCTATGCCATAATGAATTTTTTGTTTGAGTGTGTACTTTGTTGTATTAGATTTAATTTGTGTTTGTTGTACTTGTTGTTATTCAATGGCTTTGTACTTTGCAGATATTTATGGAGAGTCATCGAATACAAAGCTTCTTTTGTTTGTGGAGTAGAAACTCCAGCTTTTGGTGTTTTGCAGAGGCATCGCTCACGGGTGTTTTGCAGTGGAGAGGCATCGCTCACGGGTGTTAAACTTGTGGAGTAGAAGCTCCAGCTTTTGGTGTTTTGCAGAGTCGTGGAATCTATACAAAGCTTCTTTTGTTTTCATTTGTCACGGGCTTTTCTATCTTTTGTAACTTGTATTTTTTGTAACTTGTCATTTCTGTAACGTGTAGTTTCTAATCCACACAATATCAGGGATTGTAAGCCACAAAAAGTTCACCACTTCTCTTATTTATACGATCATTGGTGCTCTTCAAACACACACTCTCTTCTTCTTGTTTCTTATCTTCCACCCAAATTTTCAACTTTTATTCAGACGCAAACTATCTTCTTCTTGTTTCTTATCTAAACCCAAACTTGTTTCTTATCTAAACCCAAATTTTCAAGTTTTATTCAAACACAATACACTATGGCATCTTCATCAAATGATCCATTCGACACTAATCTTGACCAACGTTTTGATGATCTTTTTGATGATTTTTTTGATCAGCAATTTGATGAAACGTTTTACCGTGTTATGGAGCAGCAAGCAACAAGAAAACCCAAGAAGAAGCGGGCATATATTGAAAGAGAACGGGAAGAAGGGCACAACCGGTTGTGGAATGATTATTTTCGTGACGATGCCACATATCCGGCTTATACATTTCGACGTCGATTTAGGATGGCCAAACCGTTGTTCATGTACATTGTTGAACGTCTTTCCACAGAAATCCCATTTTTTAAACAAAAAAGAGATGCTGTGGGAAGATTCAGTCTCTCCGGACTACAAAAGTGCACGGCAGCTATTCGAATCATGGCCTACGGTTGTGCGGCAGACGCTGTTGATGAATACCTTCGCCTTGGAGCCAGTACGGCAATTTCCTGCTTGGAAAATTTCACAGAAGGCATAATACAGTTATTTGGAGATGAATACCTAAGGAGACCAACACCGGACGATCTTCAAAGGCTACTCAATATGGGCGAGAGGCGCGGGTTTCCCGGGATGATAGGAAGCATTGACTGTATGCATTGGGAGTGGAAGAATTGTCCTACAGCCTGGAAAGGTCAGTATACCCGTGGTTCTGGAAAACCGACCATTGTCTTAGAAGCAGTAGCATCTGAAGATCTATGGATTTGGCACGCTTTCTTTGGACCTCCAGGTACTCTAAACGACCTTAATGTTCTTGATCGGTCTCCCGTATTTGATGATGTTTTACAAGGGAAAGCTCCTAAGGTGAATTACATGGTCAACGATCACCAATATCATTTGACGTACTACCTCACAGATGGAATTTATCCCAGATGGGCAACTTTTGTCAAATCCATTCCGCTTCCACAAGATGAAAAATCAAGGTGTTTTGCTAAACGTCAAGAATCTGTCCGTAAAGATGTTGAACGTGCTTTTGGAGTCCTCCAAGCGCGCTTTGCGATCGTCAGAAATCCAGCGCTTGTTTGGGATAAAGAAAAAATCGGAAAGATTATGCGGGCATGCATCATATTGCACAATATGATAGTGGAAAACGAACGAGGAACCTATACCCAGTTCAATCTTGCAGATTTTGAACAAGTCGACGCTAGCAGGACTTCACATGTGGATAGGACATATTCAACATATATGCCTACAAATATTTTAAACTTGATCGGGAACCGGAAAAAAGTTCGTGATAAGGAAATACATCAACGTTTGAAAGACGATCTGGTAGAACATATTTGGAACAAATTTGGGAACTCCGAGGATTATGACTAAATCATTTTATGTATTCAATATTTGTATTTTGTATTTTAAAATGTTCTTGTCATGAATAATAATTTGGTTTGTAATCATATATATGTATGTTACAAATTTAAATTTTGTTATAATTTTTAATAAAAAAATAATATTATTTTATTTTCATGAACCTTATTACAGGTTCCAGGAACCATAAAAAAAAAGAGAAGTTCTTAACTTCTAAACTTCCACAAAAATATTACTAAAAAATCGCTTAGAACCCCTGTATGAGGTTTAGGGTTGAACATGCTCTAATATGTCATGATATATGTACGAGAAATACATTGAAATAATATAAAAAATATGTCCGAGAACGAGATGGAAAGTGAAGGTACGGTCCCGTATAGCTGTTTTGCCATGTCAGCAATTGGAATAAGTCAACTTTTCAAAAGGGTGGACTTTTTATCGTTATTTTTTCATTTGGGTACCCGCGAATCTCGCAAGTCGCCACCCGATTTTCTTCTTTTTGTTTAAAAGCTAGTATACATTAAGAAGAGGAACAAAAATCATATCTAAAGTGGTTTTCTTTGCACCGTCTAATGTGTTTTTTTATTTGTCATTTTAGTAAACTAGGCGGTTTGTAGAATATTATAATAAAAAAATCTATATATTTGATTGATTAAACATGTAATTTGGGAGTTTTTTTTGGGAGTTGTTCAAAGTCCATGTCGCACGATTCTGGTTTCTGGATTAATGTACATACGCAAAGAGAGAGAGAGAAACATTTTTTGAGGATATAGAGAAGATTTTGGCAGAAATTTGGCCGATCTTAGGATAATAGGAGATATTTGGCTTATTAATAATTTGTGGACAGCTTTCGTTCAACGATTACGCACCTGCCTACATGACTACATCGGCTACGACTACACGAACACAAAGCAAATACATGGATATTTACACCGTCTACATTATTCCACATACACATACTAACCTACATATATAATCTCCAAAAAAATGCGTACAGTTCACTTGACTTGACCGTCTATAACTATGCGTACATGAATATACATTATCCATTTGATCGTCCACACACAATTGTTAATAAACAAAAACAAATGCAAATATGCATTTTGTAGTCAACTCTACTTCTTTCCTTTTTTCTGTTTACGAACTCCAGTTGATCATTTTCTCAATTTTTGGCAGGGAGATAACACCCTCTTTACTTTCTACGTAATTGCTTTCTTTTAAACTCCTCAGACTTCAGCTTTGAAAAGTTTTTGACGTCTACAATACTAGCCTCTATCTAATTTTTCTAATATGCATAACAAAAGGTTCTCTCACAACCGGTTATTTTAGATTTTGGCAACATATTTGATACTAGTTTATTGCACTTTTTTTTTTTTTCTCAAATCATTAGATTGCATTATCTACAAATTGATTATATTATTGGCTCATACGTCAACGTAAAACAGGGTAAATACTAACTGAACATAATAATATTCTTCTCTTTTAATGTATTTGTGAATTCCATAATTCAAGTTTTGTAAATAATATATCGTTTCAACTACTAGACTTGATGACTTTTTATGGTATTATTATATAAAAATATAAATCTATAAACTTTATCCCAAAAATATATCTGTCCTAAATATTAGAAAAACAAACGTAGTACACTATATAATATATATGGCGGTTTATGTTTTCGGTTGAAGATTATCTTCTTATCTGTTGGTGGAAAAAACAAATCTTCTTATCTTTATTTGTCTTTGTGAATTACGTCAAATAAAGTCATAGTATGACCTCATATTCTATTTTCAAAAGGGAAATATGGTATTTTCAGAACCTTATCGTATATATATTTAAAACTTTGAATTACACATAATTTAGCAAGTTGTTTGTTTTCTTTGTCAATCAGAAATCTTTCAATTGATCATATTTTTCGGATGCAAATGCTATGTAAAATAAATGGGATGATTCGCAAACTGATTGGGACTAAAATTCTCATTTAAATATCATAAAATTGAACAGAAAATGTAAAGGAAAATAATCTGATAATATTTTTTATTGAATTTCTACTCTCCACTAGCTAGTGTTATTAGCGGAAAGAGTGATTAGCCTTTCTCTGGTCGACCTCCTTCTCTTGAGAGACGCACCCCAATATTTAGACCCAATCATGGACATTAACGTGCCTATGAATGCTGAGTTTTTTTTTCTTTCTCAAGTGTATATTAAAACTGATGTTTGTGTAGAACACAAAAAGCAGTTAAATGGGTTTAGGTGCAAGCGCCCACAGACTTTGCCGCTCGGCAAATTATGAGCACATGGGAAAGCTCCATTAAGTTGTTTTTTTGTTCGCAATTATTGTTTGTTGTGCCTATCGGAAAACACTTTTTTCTTTACCTAATTATTTAATAAAAATTTCGCCATTTGTTCTTATTCAATAATGATCCAATTGAATTTGAACCGCAATGTGTTCCTCCTCGAGAAGATTCCAATTAAAATACGTGACATATGTTTCTTTAACCGCTACGTACGGAAGTTGACCGTAAGTTTTAAATATGTACGAGCGTTTATAATATTTGATAGGAGAGAAAGCTTATATATTTAGAATGCATATTCTAGGCTTATAACTAAGCTGTTTATCTGTTCTATTAGTCCATACTAGTTAATTCATTAATTACTCGTTGGTTATTGCTAGTTGCAACTTTGCGAGTATATTTTGCTTGTAAGACACACCTACCCACAATATCTTCTAGCCATTGCTTTCTCCTCCAATTAATTTACTCCATAAAATATCTTAATTTTATACCATCTAAATATATGATTAACCACTTGACAACAATGTTAAACTTAAAGAAACTATTTTGAATTTAAAACGGTATTGATTACGCAAAACAGATATTCTGTTTATTTGACCGATACATTCTCTTCTATAAGAAAATCTGTTTCCAGCAAAAAAAAGAAAAGAAAATTCTGTATTTCGTAGTTTTAAATTTCGCTTTTGCTGAGTAATTGTGGTTAACGCATCCACAAAAAGATATTGCCGACACTCTACATGATTCAGCAGTGTAAAAACAATTGACAAATTTTGATATTTAAAGTCTAATAAACGTGTATAGATGAAAATCTCAAGTATCGTTATCGTGTTACACATAAGTTCAAATTCTGAAATGTGCTTAGATGAAAAAAAATTCTATTTATTTGTATGTCAAACTTGAAATCTTAAGTAATATTAGTATATTGGAAAGAAAACAGAGAATAACCAGTATGTTTACTACAAGATTGGAGTCTTAGAGATACGGGACCGACCAAAGTTCCTCATGGTCTTGCATAATATCATTTTTAAGTGTCCCTTAACATACATATAACCACAAAGCTATGTTCACAGATTTGTTCACAAATGGAATAAAACAGCAATGAGGCATGTGCATGAGACGATACATGTACCAAAAATCCCTCGATTCTGTATTATTGTTGAAATCCAGTTGATTTTATCGGATTCTTTGTGTAATCGATACAATATTTCAGTTTTACCTCAAATAAGACTAAAATAATTTTAAATGATCAACAATGGTGATGAAATGGAAGAAACAAAGTCCATTTTATTCATATATAAATATAACATGAAACAAACAAAGGATACATAATAAAACTGATGAAAGAAAAATACATTCTTTTAGTTTTTGTTTTTTTAAAGCTATAGATATTCGAAATGGATGCTTCTTCAGCAATTACATGATGTTGAAGAGTTTCAGAATCACTTATTTCCCCTCTGTTGCGACAGCTTCTCTTCTGCAACTTTGGCCTCTGGACTGATCTGAGGAGAAAAACCATGGACTGTTTGAAAATTTGGGTTACGATAACTTTTTTTAGTTCTTGCACAAAGTCCTCTGTTTGTTCCCTCATTAGTCTCATTTCTACCACGAGCTGACTCCATACGTGCGGCCAATATTTGTGAAGTACCAAATAATTGTTTGCACATCGGACATGTATTAGAACCGTAATTTTCATTTGGCAAGCCACGTGCCCGCCCCGCGTTTCCATCATCTTCCTTGTAATCAGCAAAACCAGGGAACTCAGTAGAGTTACGGAATTTCTTCACCGGCCGACCAACTTCGTGAACATATTGCTCATGACGACGATGGTTTGGCGACAAGTCACGTAGGTCTAAATTCTGAAGACCTGTAGGGACTTGTTCTGAAACTATGAAATCGATAGGTTCAGGGTAAATTGGTAAGCACTCTTTACCACAAACATGTGTGATATGTGAATGGGAAAATCTAGGATTCGATATGGTTGGTTGGGATTGGGAAGTCATGACACGCTCGACACGTTCATTACCATTCTGGACAGTGACCATATGATTGGTCGGAACAACAGTAGCATGATACCTTTTTGTGAAAGTTCTTTTGGTGAAACGGGTTTGAGTTTGAGTGATCAAAACCGGAGAAAACTGAGAGTGAACAAAACCTGAGATTAGAGGCATGCAAGGCGTTCCCACAGCAGGAACCATGTTGCTTCGCATCGGGTAAGCCACACGTGGATTGTTGGCTCTCAAGGAAGGTGAAGAGACTTGGGAATCATGATAGGAAGAAGTAAAAGATGGAGATGGAGAAACCATATTGGGACGGCTTGTGTTTACAGAAGGAACGAACGTTGTTCGAACCGTTTGAGACTCATTTGGGTTCATTTGGATGGGAACAAAACCACCATAGTTCATGGTATAGTCACCATAAGGATTGAACTCATTTGTGAGTGAAGACATCTTGAAAATGAGGTTGAGAGTGTGTTTTACACCTCTTGCATATCTACTTATTTATATTAGTTTTCAAAGGCTAGTTTGGAAAACTTGGAGAAAGGAGAAATTATTTTAGACACACATAGGAGTCACATTTTTCATGGTGATTTGTTAGTCATTTCGGTCAGAAATTTCTATGTACCGGTTCAAAATTTTCATTTTCCTTTTTCTTTTGCTTAAATGGCTTAGCTGTAGTTTGTAGATAATCATTTATTGTGTTAATTACTCTTTAATTTCTATTTAAAGTGCACACCTCATAAAAGTTGTAAGAAAATCTTTCTACGTTATCGTTATCTTTTATAATCGTTTTATCGTTTTCTTATTGGTTAACATATTATCCATTGCAAGCTTATTGTTTTCAAAATTTGTCTTTTGTATTAAAACACGTTTTGTAGGTATTTAGACTTTTTAAAATCGAGAATACAATCTATAAAACAAAATTTGGAGGTGAATCAAAATATTCAATATGATATTTTTTCTAAGTGTTTTTTATAAGAAAATAAAGAACGTAAAACAAATCATTAAACGAAATGACAAAGCGATTACATTTTGTATTCCTACGATGCCCGTTGGATTAACATCAGTATTCAGTACTGAACTGAGGAAAAGCAACTAAAGTGGTACCCTTGTTACACAAAAAGACCCTTTGTTACACAAAAAAAAAGAAAAAAAAGAAACTAAAGTAGGCTAGATAATAGCACAACACGAGCCACACGATGAAATTCACGGCCCAAAATTCACGGCACTTTTACCAAAGGCCCATCAAATTTGAAATCCCTAACGATTTTTTTCTCCTTTTCTAATAATCTTCCTCGCTTTAGGCAATCGAAAACAAAAACTCAGAAATCTAAAATCATGGCGGCAACTAGCGAAGAGCAGATGAATCTGCTTCTCTCTAATTTGGAGAAGGAGAAATTATTTTAGACACACGTAAGAATCACATTTTTCATGGTGACTTGTTAGTTATTTCAGTCAAAAATTTCTATGTACCAGTCCAAAATTTTCATTTTCTTTTTTTTTTTGCTTAAATGGTTTAACCGTAATTTGTAGAGAATCATTTATTGTGTTAATTATTCTTTAATTTCCATATAAAGTGTACACCTCATAAAAATTGTAAAAAAATCTTTCTAATCGTTTATCGTTATCTTCGTAATCGTTATCGTTATCTTTGTAATCGTTTTATCGTTTTTTTATTGGTTAACATATTATCCATTGCAAGTTTATTGTTTTCAAATTTTGTCTTCGTATTAAAATATGTTTTGTAGATATTTAGACTTTTAAAAATCAGGAATACAATCTATAAAACAAAATTCAGAGGTGAATCAAAATATTCAATGATATATTTTTTTAGTGCTTTATATGAAAAAAGAAAGAAAAGTAAAACAAATCAGTAAACGAAAAGACAAAAGATTACAATTTGTATTCCTACGATGTCCGTTGGATTAGCATCAGTATTCATGAATTGAGCAAAAGAAACTAAAGTGATACCCTTGTTACACAAAAAAACCCTTTGTTACACACAAAAAAAAAGAAAAAAAAAAGAAAAAGAAACTAAAGTGGGCTAGATAATAGCACATCACGAACCACACGATGAATCGACGGCCCAACTTTTACTAAAGGCCCATCAAATTTGAAATCCCTAAACGATTTTTTTTCTCCTTTTCTAATAATCTCCCTCGCCTTTTAGGCAATCGAAAACAAAAACTCGAAATCTAAAATCATGGCGGCAACGAGCGAAGAGCAGATGAATCTGCTTCTCTCTGGTTTCGACCAGATCTACGAGGTGGTTTTCGCGATACTCTGCTCCGATCTCTTACTTTTCGCTTTATGCTTGCAGTATTCTGTTTTGTTTCTCGATAGAGTGAAAGGAAAAATCAAATTAGTGTCGATGGGAAACGACTGAATCCGATTATGATTATCTTCATCTGTAATTGAATCGATTCTATCTCTTTTATTTACTGAACAGATTGAAAGAGAAATCTGGAGATTACGATCTGCTATTTAGTTATTTTTGGAAATTTCGAGTGTAGAACGAGAGAGATTTCTGAAAATTTTGGGTTATATTGATTGCTCATAAGTTTATGAAGCTACTGCTAATCTCAGTGCTTATATTAGCTCGTTTTTTTTTTCTCTGAAGATACTTTAACAGAAAAATTTCCTCAGGATTTTAAATGCGGGATGAATGAGATCAATGTTTTCAGATCAAAGAGCAATGTCGAAACCAGCAAGAGAGAGGCTCTTGAGATTAGTAATAAGAGTCTAAAAGAAGGTTTGGTTGATGTTGTTCTGCTTGCATTCTTTATATTGTTTAGTCTAAGTTGCTTTTGAGGAATCGAACTTGTTTAACTCGAATGAGGAACCTGCAGAAAATGAAAGGCTGAAGAAACTACACACGGAATCTCTAAACAATTTTGTCGATCAGGTCTTTTCCGCTTGAATCCTGAAATTTTAGTTTTTACTTTTGTGAACAGACCAATTGAAAAGAGAATACACGTAAGACGGATCTTTGGTTCTTGTGCCTTATATCTGAAACCGTTTCTTTTGTTGGCGATATATACAGCTTGAGCATCGAACCAAGTGCCACGGCTTGAAAGAAGAACTGAAGAGAGTGAATGATGAAAACAAAAGTAAAGAACATGTGAGACTCCATACATGTCAACTCTTTGTCAGATGAATTTTTTTTTTTTGTGTGTTTTGAAGCTGAAGATAATGCTTGGATTGTTCATAGCTATGAATTTGTATTCACTCATAGACATATAGGCACCAGTCTCTTCTGATATATCTGCAAGCTGTGGCAGGAACATAGGAAGGCTTTGGATTCCCTCAGGCAGAAGCATGTAACAAAGATTGAAGAGCTAGAGAATAAAATCAGGTATAAGCCCATTCACAACTATCATTTTACCTGAAATGTATGATGTATCTGATCTTTGTTGTAACTACCGCAACTTTCACCTACAGAAACCTTTTAGTTGAAAAAGCAACAAACGAAATGGTAATCGATAGGCTTCGCCAAGACTTGTCAGCTAACAAATCGCATATTCAAGCAATGTCGAAGAAGCTGGACAGAGTATTTTCTGAAGTGGAATCCAAGTGTAAGACTCGACACCTGTTCTCCAAATTGCTTAAGTTCATTACGGCTTACATATGGCTTTCTAATGTAATCATTTGATAGATGAACTCGAGATTCAGGATCTAAAGGACTGCCTTCTAATGGAACAAGAAGAGAAAAATGATATCAGTAACCAACTTCAGAGTCTGAAGAAGGAATGTAAGAATCTTCATCTTCTTCTCTAACTCGCTTTTGGAAAATGTTTGCCTATTATAAGGGTCACTGTCAATTCTGTCCATGGGGAAAACACAATTTCTTTAGACGATATTGTTTGGTTTCAGGTTTCATTAGCAAGACTAAGACTTCACCTAACTTCTAAGTCAGAGTAGCAACACTAATTACAGGTCCCTGTATATTCTTTGCAGTGCTTATAAGTAGAACGACAATAGCCGAGAAGCAGAGGGATACAACTTCATATCGACAGGTTGAGACATTGAAGCAGAAGCTAATGAAACTGAGAAAAGAGAATGAGATCCTTAAACGAAAGCTATCTTCTTCATAGATTAGCCTGGAACCAGGCTTTGCTTGACCTTCTACTTACCGCTCCGTCACTTAACGAGTAAGTTCCATTACACCAAACCATATTTTTTTTCAGGTCATTTTATAGATGATGATACAGTTGAAAACATGCACCAAAACCTATAGGACTCGTCTTAAACACACATAAAATATGAAATTAAAAAGGAACCCTGCATAAACTGCTGGTAGAAATATCGAAAAGACAAAGTTCTTGAAGACTCTGCAGTTTCTCCTGATCTCTGCAGTCTTCAACAACGGACGTTGATTTGGTTTCGATTATTCATTAAACATTGTTATGCAAAACGTGAAACTCACGCGTTCTTTCTTCTCCTCTCTTTTATTCATTACTAGTCCTACATGGATCGGTGGATGATAGATTTAACACAAGAGTAATAACAAGAAGTCAATTACAAAGATATAACATAGTCCATGCAACACGCGAATCAATTTCAGGGATATACATAAAATGATACGGCAAAAACAACACTTTCCGCTTGGTTATTTGTAAGAACTACAAAGAAATGGGAAAACAAACAAAAAAAATTGAAATAACGGTAAGGAGAGTGTAGAATCAACGTCCGTTGTTGAAGACTCTGCAGTTTCTCCTGATCTCTCCAGAACGTCCAGTAAGAACCTTAATGGTACCCATTTTCACCATTGCTTGAGCAAATCTCTGTCTAAAGAGTGCATTGCTTGATGCAAATCTCGACACAATTCCACGTGTTGGTCCATGGAGACCCATGTTCTGATCAATTCTTAGGATTCCTCTTTGTCTTTGGATCTCTCCATAGATTGCGTTATCCACGGTGAATGAGGTCCTTTGATCCAAGAACACGGATGGGTCATTTGGAGCGCGACACGTGTTCCTCAACCTTAAAGATACGTATTATTGGGTCAGATACAATTTTTGATGTTTCATTTGATAAACTATATTCTCAAATGAACCAAGAATTTTGATGCTATGTATCAAAATACGTACCTAGCATTCAATGTGCGGTCCATTGCAGGGTCGTTAAGCCTATCCTGGAAAAGACTGCAATGCGCAACACCGACACTGTGGCCACCACCAATAAGTGTAACCATATCGTTCACATTCATGCCTTGATCTGCAAATGCTCGGATAGATGCATCCACCGGAATTGTTGGTCCGGGCAAGTTCACATCATTGGGGTTTGACCTTAATCCATCACGCCTTCCTGTTGGTACTAAGAAGCTTGGACCACCAGCTAATTTGATCGAGTCTCTGGTGGCTAGAGTTACAATGTCTGCGCATGAGACAATTCCGGGACAGGCAGCCTCAAGGAGTCACTTTGCCTCATCAATGATCTCGTAGCCTCTCACGCTTGCATTTGGTCCGGTGCTTTTCTCGGATGGTCTTCCGGGTCTTGGGTCGATCAAGAGGGAAGCATCACAACCCTACACAACCATTCAACACAATTGCTTGATCAGTGTTATGTCTAGATATTAATTAGCAAGTCCATGATATATACACACACTGACACAAGGAGAAGCTTACGAACCGTGACAAAGCAATCATGAAACTGCATGCGAAGCAATGCTGCAGTAATTGAAGGGTCACGGCGGAAATGGCTGGCAACGACATTAGAAATGATTGATCCGGCGCGGTGGCATGACTGGCCGTAGAAACCAAACCGGAGTTGTGCAAAAGCAGAGGGAACATATAAACAGAAAAGGAAGAACAAAGCAGTGATTGCCTTCATTTCGTGTGATGAAAGGAGCTCTTCCTTGCCTCTCCTTTGAAAACTTAGAAACACTATTCAATTTCTAAGTTTTAGTGATGAAATTGTTAGTGTCCGGAAAATGCATATTTATATATGTAACTTTGGGAACAAGACATTGGCAAAGAGAATGTTTCATTTTAGAAGACGTGCATAGGGTAAAGGTGGATTCAATTGATGGTTCAAAAGGGTATACATTATTATGTAGTAGTTGTGCTTTAAGATAAGTTTTTATTTCCTAAAATGCTATAGATCGTCCTCAACACGTCAAAAGATTCATTATGGGCAACTTCGAATACATTTTGAACAATTTGCGTTCAACACTGTCGATTTTGAAAGGGTACTTATCATTTCTATTTCGAGAGGTGGATTTTTATTCAATGCTGATTCTGTATGATCCCATTCAAATAAGTTATAAAAAGAAAGAAGACTTCCTCCAATGACTGGTTCTTTCTTGCTGTACAACGTAGAAGGATAAAAAAAAAAACGACGATTTGAAGAAATAGAAAAAAAAAGAGGGAATAATTTTTGATGAATTAATAATTAATCTGCTTCAGGCCGACGAATTAAAATTTATCTAGAGCGTCCAGATTCACTCAGTCAAGAAACTCCTTTATTTTCGTCTTCTTTGCACGACCGAGGCAGTTTTATATATAGAGGCTTTCGATTGTACACTTGCTCAAGACACTCCACCAAAAAACAAATCCGAGTCAAATTATGTTTCGTCCAAAGGATCAAGATTCAACCCAGTTAATTTGTTCTGGATCCAACCTGGTTCAGATGAGTTTGTACTTAGTATATTACCTTAATTAATGTTAGCCTTTACAAATCCAACGTTTGAATTAGCTAATCTCTTTTCGGATATTTATGAACTCAATTTGTTAGAACTCAAAGAAGATTTGATGTTCACTCTTTCTATTTAGAGAGGATTTCTTCGTTTTTACGTTTGATTGCTATGTGTGCTAGTAGTCTACTACTTGAGTCTTAGGGTAGACCAATGATTACCATGATTTGGTGATTGATTGTTGATGCTTCATGCTTGGGTATATCCTTCATTTAGTGTATATATGCTTATATGCTAAGAATTTTGATCATTCTGTTCTAGACAATAAGGTAGCTTTTGCAAGTGCAGCATAATTTGTTTAATGAAACCCATCAAGTAAAACTAAACGAATAGTTTTGGCTTAACAACTAAGAGTATGTTCAAAAGAATTATAAGTTTCTTGGACTTGATTGCTAATTACTTACTAATCATTTACAAATGAGAGTTTAGTAAAAGAGATCTAAGCCTTAAGAGAAGATTAGTCTGAAATTACTGATACATACTTTAGAATTATCCATTTCAATTGTTTCGTTGCCTATGCTTATGCATTGAAGAGTCATTCGGATTTTAAAATTAGGTTACATGCTTGCATTACATTACAATTATTATATTTATACTATTGCCAATTATCCTGTTGATACTACAAAAAAAAATTATCAGAAAATAGATGTTTTGTTTATGTCTTATTACATCATCATTTTTTTTTATCTAATCCTATTAAAATGGTAATTATCAACTTCAACTATATGCATGCAGCATGCACACACTACAAGAAAACATACAATTTGCAAGGGAATTTTGCGACATTTTGAATTTCGTTGCAAAATCATTGTGATTTGCGAGGAATTTGCTACGAAATCAGCCATTGTAAAGCGTATGTTTTAGTGTACACGCGATTATGAGGAACAGTGTTACAAACAACTCCACGACGCAATAATTAAATCACATAAAAATGCTCACAGTAGAAATAACAAGAGAAATAACAAAGAATTTATAAAATGCAATTACATATCAATTTTAAAAGAAAGAATAAGATATGACAGTAAAAAAACATACTTTCGGTTGATTATTTAAAAGCGTAAAAATGGGGAAAAACAAAGAAAGAGTTAAAAAATAATAATAATAATAGTGAGAGTGTAGAATCAACGTCCGTTGTTGAAGACTCTGCAGTTCCTCCTGATCTCTCCGGATCGTCCAGTAAGAACCTTAATGGTACCCATTTTCACCATTGCTTGAGCAAATCTCTGTCTAAAGAGCACATTGCTTGATGCAAAACTCGACACAATTCCACGTGTTGATCTATCGAGACCCATGTTTTGATCAATCCTCAGGATTCCTCTCTGTCTTCTGATCTCTCCGTAGATTGCGTTATCCACAATGAATGGAGTCCTTTGGTCCAAGAACACAGATGGGTCATTTGGAGCGCGACATGTGTTCCTCAACCTTAAAGAGATGTATTAATGGGTCAGAACTCAGAAATATAAGTATTAGTATTGTCTATAATGCATGTTATTGACAATTTTTTTTTATTTTTCTTAAAATGAACCTAGCTAAGCTAGCCATATAAATACGTACCTAGCATTCAATGTGCGTTCCATTGCAGGGTCGTTAAGCCTATCCCGGAAGAGACTGCAATGGGCAACACCGACGCTGTGGCCACCACCAATAAGTGTAACCATGTCGTTCGTGTTCATGCCTTGAGCTGCAAATAAATTGATGGATGCAGCCACGGGAATTGTTGGTCCGGGCAAGTTCACATCATTGGGGCTTGACCTTAATCCATCACGTCTTCCTGTTGGTACTGAGAACCTTGGACCACCAGCTAATGCGACAGAGTCTCTGGTGGCTAGAGTAACAATGTCTGAGCATGAGACAGTTCGGGGACAAGCAGCCTCGAGCAGTCTCTTTGCCTCATCAATGATCTCGTAGCCTCTCACACTTGCATTTGGTCCGGTGCTTTTCTCTGATGGCCTTCCGGGTCTTGGGTCGATCAAGAGGGAAGCATCACAACCCTACACAACCATTCAACACAATTTCTTGATCAATGTTATGTCTACATATTAGCAAGACCATGATATATATATATATATATATATATAGACACACATGGAGAAGCTTACGAACCCTGACAAAGCAATCATGAAACTGCATACGAAGCAATGCTGCGGTAATGCTACGGTCACGGCGGAAACGGTTGGCAACAACATTAGCAACAATAGACTCGGCGCGAGGGCATGAGCGTCCGTAGAACCCAAATCGGAGCTGCGCAAAAGAAGAGGGAACAAGGAAGCAGAAAAGGAAAAACAAAGCTGTGATTGACCTCATTTTGAATGATGAGCTCTTCTTTACTTTGCCGCTCCTGTGAATGGTACTGCTAAGTTTTTGGTGTTGATATATCCAAGTGCCCTTAAAATGCATATTTATATGTAAATTTGGAGACAAAGAGAATGTTTCATTTAGAAGACGTGCATAGGGTAAAGGTGGATATACATTGGCACAAGTGACTGGTTTCAAGGAATGTACATGGTGCATTATTGTGTTTTAATTATGTTTCATAAAAAAGTTGTTAGAGTTCGTCCTCCACACGTCCAAGATTCATTATGGCCAACTTGGAATATATTTTGAACAATTTGCGTTCAACACTCAGTCCATTCCTGAAAGAGTACTATTTCTATGTCGAGAGACGAGAAGTGGATTTAGTTTAAGTGCTAACTCATTAAAATATGCAAAATTGTTTTGTGATATACTTTTTTATTGGAACCGTTTGACCGTTTTGATTGAAACAAACTAAATATTATTTCATTTTTTTAGTCTACCCATCCCAACTTATCTAGAATTTAAATCTCTAAATCGAGAAAATTTATCAATAGAAATAGGTATTCAAAGTGTGTGAAAGAAACCCTTAAACGATTGAGAATATTATAGTAGATACAATATTAAAAGTATAAAATGATCAGTTTTTTTTGTCTGTGTGATCTTCTGGCAATGCTCTCAGATTACCATCATCATGTGAAGACGTATGACTGTATGAGAACACTTTCGTTACTTTTTATCAAATAAAACACCTTTGTTACTAACATTTTATTTGCATTCGAGCTGCCAAATCGCCAAAAGGTCCTCAAGTAATTGGATCCTTGATTAAATGATTACAATGATTAAAACTTTAGAGCATGATTAGTGTAAGAAAATTGGATGCTGATGAATTTAAAGATTGCGCACATCACATTTCTCGAGCCCGTTGGCTTTGTTGGCAAAAATAGTACTTCCGACCAAAAAAAGTTCACACGCTAGCTACACTATAGATAGCTTTCGAGGTAAAGAAAAAGCTCCAAAAATTGTTCGTAAAAAGTAAATTTCAAATCATTCTGCTTTCTGAAAATGATATCTCAAACAATCTGATACAAAAATCAAAATGAATAGGATTAAAAGAAAACCCATGAAAATGTTAATTGACAGTGACCACAGAACTGTCGTGTAACAAAGACTGTAAAACATATCCAGATTTTAAACGTAAAAAAAAAAAACAGGCACCTAAATTTACATTGCACACTCAACTTGCACTCAACTACACTGGCTCTATAGCACTTGTTCTTACCCTCTCTGTTATAAATGAGCCTTTCTCTAAACAGAAATTAATCTGGATATCAATTTTAATATCGTAAAGAGTACAAAGCAAACTATCAAAGATTATAACTGCTGTAGCCACCAACATCAGAAGCTGGTCTATATTCCGTACTATAAGTTTGCCCAGCCAGCGATGGCGTGTAGGTAGAAGGACCCGCAAGCTGAGAGTATGCAGTTGGCCTGTACTGCACCGTCTCTGTGCCCATGTAGCTACTCGAGAGCGGCTCTTGACGATTGCTCAGCTGAGGAGGATATGCAGGTACATAGCCAGTGTCGAGCCTAGCATATCCCCCTGAAACTGAAACTGGTTCCTTGTGATTGCTGATGAACTCCTACATGCAGGTAAGCGATTAATAGCGGTTTAATGGCGAGGAACAAAGCAGACTATGTAAAGGAAGTACAATCTGAGTATTTTTATGATGCTATTTCACACAAAGAATACATATGAATTGCGTTCTTACTTGAATTAGTTGCTGAGCAGTTTGTACTTGAGAAGTTGTGCCTTTAATTTCCACTGTGATTTCATCAGGATGTGGACTCTCTTGGATGGTTATTGTAGCTGCGCTTCTTCTACGGATGTACGCTATATTAGCTCCTTCTAAACCAATAATATCTTCCGCATAGGAGAATGGTATTTGCATCGTTTGAGATACCTAGTAAGAAAGCCCATCCATAGAAAAGTCTTTACTAGTTCTGAGGCATAAACTTAGACGTGATAAAGATCAAAACCTCCACTAGAAGACTATTTATAACAAGAAAGTAAGAACAGTGATAGCGGTAAACATTTTTTGAGGAAATGATGCTGTATCTATAGAAATCTACCTGTGTAACGAAAGCAGCAGAAACCCGAGCAAGACTTGGAGAGTGTCTGGCGGACAGTAAAGGATCCTGACTGTAGATAGAAGCTCCTGAAGGCTGAACACGTGACTCCACCCGAGAATCGCGCTCCATAAACAGAGGTTCCCTCCGTGCTAAGAGGGAGAAATCAGACTCGATTACGTTTGATGAAATAGTATGGAGAGATGACTTGTTGTCAACTGAAGGTTCTTCTTGGCGAACTTGAGAGACTCTAGCTAGATACTAAAGATTCAAAATAAAATGATTAGATAATTCAGAAAGAAAGAAAAAAAGAGAGAGAAACGCAAGGAAGTAGTAGTTTCAGACAAACAAGCTTACTAGCTTCTCGAAGAGAGGAACCACTGTATGGTCGACTAGAAATTTCCTTAGGTGTCCAACAATCGCTTCTAAGGCTTTTACTATCTTTAAAGCTTCCCCCTGCAGATCCACTATCCTCTCATCTTGCGCTGCATAAAACGGTGTTTCCTCTGGCAACAAAAAGTACAGTTTACATATTATTATCATGCAGGCTCCCATGAAACTATATAGCATACATTTATAAAAAAATAAGGAAGCTGGCAACAGAGGCACACTTTTTTAAAAGGATGACAGAAATGAATTGAAGAAGAACTAACTGAACTCTACAAAGACGAAAAAAGAGATTCATTTGATGAGATTTCAAAATACAGATTGACTATACCTTCTGACAATATGCGAACTGATGCACCAGAGTTCTCTACTATTGATTTGATTAAAGATCCTTGTTTTCCGATTAAATTTATGGCCTGCGTGGATGCAACTAATAAACGCACTGAAGAGAAGGCACTTCCAGCGTTTTGAACATCATCATCATCATTATCGGGCAATCCTGAAACTCGTCTGAACACCCTTACGACTGCATCCATTGCAGGGGACATGTAGGCCTCTGGTTCTTCCTTTCCAGATATTAGCACCTAAACATACCATTTTAGTTGAAGAGCAAGAAATGACTTAGTGGACACTTGACACTACAATAGTAAACAGAAAGCAATGAAAATGCAAGCTTGTTCCTCCCAATTCACCACAAAAACGGGAAACCTAAACACTAGGCTGAAATATTACAGTTTTCCGGGGAAAAAGGCATCACAGGAGCTAAATGTTAAAGACCCAAATTCGACCCGAATCAATGATCACATTCCAGGAATCTTAACACCAACGATTAGGAAACCTGATACTCTCCAATTATGTACAACGAAGTTGTAATCAATAAAAAGAAACCCTAGGAACGGAAGAACAGAAAAATTCCCAATTCCAATAGCTTTGCACACAGTAAAGCACGTAGAAAGTCACAAGACAATAAACGAAGGGGGAGAGATACTAACGACGCGATCGGGAGTCGTAGCGGGACCATCAATGACTTTGATGCGAGCACGAGTCTCCTCGCACATCTTCTTGATGAAATCTCCTTTCCTTCCAATAATAGCTCCGACCTTAGTTACCGGAACGATCATACGAAACACGCAATCCCCAGGCCAACCAGGCCACCTCTCCGCCGCGGAATCGTTCGTGTCGGGGGCAGTCTCAGCAGCTAAGCTATCCGGCTGATTCAATTCAGGTGAAGCGCCAGAGTTTCCGTCAAGCAATGCGGTGGCGCTGGTTCCCGACGGTATGAGATTTTCGTTCTCAGGGTAGTTTATTGTTCCGTTCTCCACGGAATCTGCGACGGCGGCCATTAGAACCGGCAAAGAAAAAAAAAAGATAGAAGACGAAAGAGAGAGAGAAGCGATTTAACCTCTCTGGTTGGTTGGTTATAGGAATCGGCGCTGTTAGACATACGATGTCGTTTCATTTTGGGCTTTTGGTTAATTATGTAGCTGAGACCCGTAATGATACACAGATTCACATTTTAACTTTTTAAAGTCCATCAGCTATATAATTGTGATACCAAAGAATATCGAACTCAACTAAATTATGATGTTTCAAGCTTTAACCCGATTCGGTTTTGTACTGGAAAAATGGGAGTAGTGGGCTTTTCCGAGTCTGAGTAACGTTGACTAGTAATTTTTTTTTAAATGTTGGTTTACCTTTTATACAAAGGCATCCTTTTCGTATGGCTCTGCCTCATGTGAGATAGTTGCACCGTTGATAGCCTTAAAACTTAAGTTTGATTGGGTAAAGTAATGGTTTTTAGATAATGTCTTTAAAGACACTATACAGGTGTACAAAACACAAGTGCATAACCAGCTTTTTTTTTGTTTAACGCAGGTTCTGTTTGCACCCCATGTTTCGATAAATCTTTGAAGATTTATGTATGTAAATAATATAATATATTGAACTATATATATATATTAATTGAGATGAAAATGCATTATTCATTTTACCGTAATCTAGCATGCCTTCTGGATTGTATGTTTTGGAAGATTTAGTTGATATATCTTGTCGTCATATGCAATATGCAATGGGGAAGAAAGGGACGTGACCTAGAAAATATCTGTTTGCCCAGAAGATGCTTATCTCTCTGCGAGTCTTTTTTGTATATTAGGTTTTTAACTTTTATAATCAAACCTTTTTTACTCTACGTTTCAAAATTTTGTTGAACTTAAGCTGGTCATACTTTTTTATGAACTTTAATTTAGTTTTAAATAAAAAATAAAATTTGTCCATAAACGGAACTTAGAACAAATGGATCATATAGCACTGAAACACGTTATAACCGGTTGAACTAGTTTGTAGATATTTCTTTTCATTAAAAAATCAAAATCAAAAATAGTCTTCCTTTCTGAAAATAGTCTTCTATTTTTTCCATCATACTTTTGTACATATTTTCGAAGTTCTTAACAATCATCACTTTCTAAATTTTGAATGCTTAATTATTTGAATGCTTTTTTTTTTCTTATTACTCGAGAACCTATTCTCCATTGCTTACTCTTACACACACTTATTATTTTTTGACGTCAGACTCACCAACTTTAAAATTCTATTTATCTTTTACTATATATTCCCATTGAGGCGTTACTTAAGTACTAGTTTTTTTTTTCATTTTTGGATTTCCAATGGGTTCGAAAATTTATAACAAGGAATGGAAAGCAAATTGAAAGAGCACTTGTGTTGCATGAGTTCCCATGCCGAAACAAATTTGGGAATTTAGGGCAACAAATATGTAATGTGTATATACGTGTGTGTGTGTGTAAGTGAAGAGAATTCACTTATATATACGTGTGTGTGTGTGTGTGTGTTCACGTTAATGGTCCCCTCTAAACACGTACATATGTAAGAGAAGAGAATTCACTTGTAGTTTGTACTTTGTAACCATTTGGGTCAATCTTGTACAGTGCCCTAACTGACTCTCAAGGGTCACTTGCTTAATATCATACTTCTGCATTTATCTACTAAAATTTCCAGTTACATGTTATTTTTCTGGTTAGTATTTAAAATTTTCTTACAAGTTTATAAAGCATCTTTTTATCGTCTTTCCAACAGCTATGAAAGGTCACATCTACCGTCAAATGAGAGAATAAAACCTAACAAATAATTTTCTTTTTTATCTAAAGGTAAACACATTAGATGATGTGAGAGAAGAGAACTCATCAGACATCAATAAGCTTCATGAAACAAACTGATAGAAGATCGGTTGAAAAGTCAAATACACTATCGATCCTTCTATTTCTATCGACCTAATTATGCTCCTACAACAAATCCGATCACTAGGTGACATTTGTGGCTACTCTTTCGAAAACCCTATTTAGTTTTTAGATTCAAGTATTTTTTTTTTAATTTAAGTATACGTAACTCATATATTTATTATCTTTCAGATTAAGAAAAAAAAATGGTATAAAAAAAAAAGAGAGGTCACATGTTGTCATATGAAAAGAAGTGTAATAACAAAAGAAGAATCCAAAAATAGAACGGGGATGGACTTTGGAGACAGTGGCAGAGTTGGCAGGAAGGTTTATCCTTTCTTTTCTAAGTTTCTCGTCCTATATATTCACTCCCATAAACTGAGCATATATATATATATATATTGTATTATATATATATTATCTTGGGTTTAAATAATTTGAAGAAAATATATACATGAAACTTACCGAATAATGGAATAGTTGTAAAATATACAAAGTAAGCCTTGAAATGCTAAATTGAAAAATGACATACGAATAGAAATGGTTTGAAATAATATATTTTTACTCGTAGTTGAAGGCTAAATAGAAAAAAGATCTATGAATACTTTTAGCCTAGATTGATTTTCCTATGTAAAGCTGGACATACTGATGCAATTTTGACTGTTAACCTATATTGGATATTCATCCACCAAATCACATCACATAATTCCACTTTTACAAAACATCCAATCGAATCATACACAATGTAATGAGGAACTACGTATCGTTTGAAACGACGTGTTTTTATTTATTTTTTGTTTTAGTGGTCGAATATGTGGCTCATGAGATAATCCGATGATCAGCGAGTGAAACTCCAATTTAATTTTCTAGCAGAATACATCAATATACATTACGGAAGTCCCAGATATTTCAAATTTTGGTAAAAAGCTAATGTAAATTAAACTTGTACAACTGCAAACATTATATTCGAATTTTCGGAGTAACCAGATTTGTTATGTAATCCCAAATTTTTTTTGTCCATCCTTGCTTATGATAGCTATCAGGGGCGGAGTACAATCTAGTATTTTCCTACTAAAGAGAAGGACCGATGGGAACATGATCTAATATATGACAAATAGTACTGGCACGAAGTATTTGAATTTATCACTGAAGATTAGACATATCTCTTAGATACCTTAGAAAAAAAAAAAAAACTGACCAGTACTGGTGGTAGTATATAATAACCTTTCTAAAGCTCGTATATTACCACACAAAAATAATCGAATTAATTATCTAAGAAAATCTAATGAGCCCATTGAACGTAATGAGGCAAACGTATCAGTGCCATCTGCCACACATATATACTGTATATACACTTCTGAATGATACCAAATGGGCCCAATCGTCTCTGGCTCACTCTCCACATTTTCATTTTAAATACCATGATATTAACATACGAGTTACTCAAAATTATAGTTAGACAAAATACAACTCTTGTTTTAGTGGTTGAGGGTTTAAGTCTAGAAGTTGGGTTTCTATGGATGTCTGACACTAAACTTATATTCACAGCCAATAAATCCAAATAAGAAACAACAGATGGTGATTTTATTTTCCTTGAAAACTTCTTAGTCGGATCCATATCTAAAATTCGGGTTTAGGAATTGTTTTGTATCTGAAAATTATGTTGAACATGAAATACTATAATTTAAACTTTTTTATCATTTATCTTACTTGTTTTTGCCATATTTTAAAACATTTCACATATCGATGCCAATTTGAAGTTTCGTACTCCCTACTTTTTCTTTGATCGAAGGTTAAAATATAAGCAGAAATAATGCCAAATAAAATACATTCAACAAGACAATAACCTATAAGTTGAAAAAGCTAAGAACTGGAAAGAAACAAGTAAAGAAACAAGAAAATAGGATGCTGAGCAATTGAAGAAAATTTTAGAATAGTTCTTTAGGACAAAGTAGTTAACGTCTTTCTCTTTTTTTTCAAAAAGATATTAGTGAACCCCTTAAGTTCATAACTACTTCGTTAGTAACTCTTTTGAACAGGGTTTAAAGGTATAATAAAAAAATGGTCAAAAGGTTTCCTAGTGTAAAGGAAACATACCGCGTCATTACAGAAATCTAACTCATGCAATGAGATCAAGCCACGTAAACAGATAAGGTGACCTGTTAGGTTTTTTACATACAAAGCCAGAATGTTTTACTTTTACAGATGGGTGGTTTATGATACTTTCAAACTTTAGAAAGAGTCCAAAACACTCCATCATCAATTAACGTTAACGTAGTTACTTGTCATCTGGAAACATTCGATAAGAAAATTAATCTAATTATCCATGCATATATATACTTTTAACTTGAGTACTTATAAAATGATATACTAGATTTACCTTTTTTTGAAAACATGAATCTGCAATATATTATTATTCAGAACTTTTGTTAACTTTTACGTTTTTTCAAAAAAATGAGTCAACTATATATATAGTTGCCGCATGTTAAAAAATAATGAATTAATCATATAATTAGTACTACGTTTTATGGTTTTCCAACGAATACTTTATTAAACTGGAACTTTCCTAATATTTGATAATTCGGCTATTTCAATATATTCTAATATAAATCCATGAATTGATGATGGGTGTTTTGAATTCATTTCACATACCATACAAGCTGAATTGAATTTGTTTTTTGTAGACATTCACAAAAATATATTACTATTCATTATTTTCCAAGAAATACACTTTGTTTCTCTTCCTTATATGCCCTTACTCTTACTCTCTCTATATATATATGTCTCTCTCCATCTCACCACATTTTAACCTTTTTTACTCTCTGTTATTTGCCGCAACTACGTGATGATTTTTCACAAAATTAATTAATAGAGCCTCCATGTATTTGACTATATAGCTTGACAAACCCTAACGGATCTTTTCTCTTTTCTTATATTATCTCGTGACTCTTCCAATCCAGTGGAAATCGTTATCTCGCTCTCTCTCTCTCTCTCTTTGGGAAAATCTTGCTTCCATGACTTTTTTTGTCTCTCTCTAATCTCAAATCTTAATTTTGTAGGGGTTAAATGAACACCTGTGCTTTTTCTTTCTTTTCTATTAGATAGACTCTTTCTTTTTCCCCATATAAAAGTATTGACCTTTTTACTAAATTTAGTAAACAAAGATTTTGTCAGAGGTTTTAGGGTTTATCATCATCCTATAGGGAAACACAAAACAAATCGAATTTCATCCCAAAGCCACTCAATCTCAGCTTAAAAAGGGAAACCTTAAAGCTTCTCTCTCTCTCACGAACAGTCTAGTTCGTACGATTCTCAGAATTTTTCTGAATCACTATTTTCTCTTTTTCTTTTTATTTTCTTTTAACTTACATAACTAATTTAAATACCTCCTATATCCAACAGTTCTCTGTTTCTTGATTTTCTCGGGAAAATTCTGAGACTTTCTCTCATCGGCAGAGAAATGTCGTCTTGTCTAAGCGACGGCGGCACCGCCTATAGCTTCGAGCTAGAAACGATGAAATCGCCGCCGTCGAGAACCGCCTCACACAACACTCCTTCTCCGTCGTCTACAATCTCCGAGTCCAATTCTCCTCCGCTCGCACTCTCCACCAGAAAGCCACGGACTCGACGGAAACGACCGAACCAGACATACGACGAAGCGGCGGCTCTTCTCTCCACCGCCTATCCAAACATCTTCTCCTCCAAGAGAAGAAAAACTCCGTCTTTGAATCCTCTGTTTCTCGGGACTAATAAATCTCCTCTCAGCGACTACGACGAAGCTTCCGAGCTGCTTCTTCCGTTTGAATCAATCGAAGAGACCGATTTTCTCTTCAATCCCACGATAAGAACAGAGTCGGATCATTTGTTGGAGCACAAGGAGGTGAATCTCGGAGGTGAAATCGACGACTACGAACTGAACCGGTTCGGAGTTTTCGACCCGGGATCGATTCTTGATGTGGAGATTGAAGAAGGGATCGATAGTTTCATGGGGAACATCGAGGAAGAGAATCTCGGAGATGGAGAATCTGGATCTTCAGGAAGGAATTGTCACAGAATTGGTCAGAGTCCTTGGTACGGTGGCTCCATGGGATTCGGATCCGCCGGAAATTTTCGGTTAGCGCTCGGATTGAGGAACGCTCTCCGGGAAAACGACGACTCGAGCTTGTGCAGGTTTCCCACCGTGGAATTCGAACAGATCTCGCCAAGGATTCAAACCAGCACAATCTTAGCTGATGACGGCAAATCCAACGCCGTTGATAATGGCGAGAATAAGACAAGTGCGACGGTGGCGGGAGACTTGAAAAAGAAGAAGAAGAAAGTGGCTCTGGCGGCGGAATTAAAGAGCTCCGAGAACCCGAATCTGAAGCCGGAGCAGAGCCAGAGAGTGAGTCCGATTTTGAAGCTTGATTATGATAGGGTTTTAGAGGCTTGGTCGGATAAGGAGTCGCCGTTCTCCGACGAGATGCTGAGTTCGGACTCTGCCGGAATTGATCTCCATGTACGTTTCTTTTTTTTCTCTGATCTCTCTTTCCCGCGGCAAATCCCACATTTCAAGTTTTGTTTTTGTTAATTATAAAATAATTTAAATTTGGTTTATCGTAATTTCTCGTAACCATTATTTTTGGCCACGTGACAGTCAGATTTGCGCAGCTGAAAAGAGTGTTGTCTTTTAAACCTTTTTAATGTTTTGATAACCAATCTTTAGAGACAGTTCATTACATTATAAATCTCTGAGTGTCTGAATTCCGACAAGAATCAAAAGTGGTTTTATTTTGTTTTCAAGTTTTTAATAATTATATGTTGGTTCACTATTATTAAAAGTTCGATAGAGTAAGCTTTTGAAATTCTTAAGCCAAGAAATTAATATTATTTTTATCTACAGAAATTAACGAGAAATCCATCTTAACGGCACGGATTTGATCTTCCATTGTTTTTATATGTTTTTTTTTTCTAAAACTTGCATGGAGATCTTGATCTAAAAAAAAATAAAAGTTGCATATGAAAAAAAAAGGATGAAGCCGATCTTTATCAACTTAGTAGTTAATGAATGCATAGAGAGTTAGAGACTAAGTGTGAAACGTTTGTTTCCTCTTCTTTCAATTAATAAGGGATAAACCATGTTTTAGCAAAAAATGCAAAGTAACTTACTGTGTGGGAGTTTTGGGGACAGGCAAGGTTGGCTGAGATAGATCTGTTCGGAGAAAGCGGAATGAGAGAAGCTAGCGTGTTAAGGTATAAAGAGAAACGAAGGAATCGACTCTTCTCCAACTCCCAAAAAATTCGTTATCAAGTTCGCAAACTCAACGCCGATCAACGACCCCGTATGAAGGTATATATCTATATTATTTTCTTGAAATATTAAAGTCTGTGTTGTATATGTATATTGATTATTAGGGAAGAATGATAGTATGATACTCATGTGTAACATGTGTTAATACATTTGATTCTGATAATGTTGTTGGTTATCTCATTGACAGGGACGATTTGTGAAAAAGCCCAACGTAAGGAACTTAAGAGTCGAAAGAACTTAAGCCCTTTTATTCTCTTCTCTTTTGCTCATTCATGTTCCATTTTCGCCCTCTCCATCTTGTTTCTTTTACTGACCCCTCTTGTTATCTTTTTTGTCGTAAGGGAATGGGGGAATTTAGTTGATTCGAGAAAGTAAAGAATTAAAATGAATAAAACAATTTTTTTTTTGGTCTTTTGTTGGAATCCACCACGTGACGAGATTATGGATTCATATTCTAACACTATTAACGTCGAGATGTGATGATTTAGTTAAAACATTGTTATATATTGCAGATGATTTTTGACTTGGAGTCAAACATCGTTATATACATAGCAAATCAAATATAATTTCAAATTTCGTTTCAACTTTTTTTTTGGGTCGAGATTTCAAATTTCTTTTCTTGACATACAATTAGAACTCAAAATATCGTACTCTTTTTATCATACGTAATTGTTTTCATCCTCTTTTATAGCTTTTGTTTTGTCTCGCATAATTTTATTCATGCATTAACTAACTAATACAATCTTCTACACATATTTTTGAGTCGAAGATTAAAACGTATTGTTTCCTACAATTGTATCCCTTTCCAACACATAGAAAAGGGACTAGCGTGTTTGGATTGTTTTGTTTTTAGCATGGAAGACATACAATATAATACAATTACAGTTTTCTGAGTATAAGAAATTAACCCCTTCAAATTTTTACTGCATACTCTCAATTGAAAGCCGAGCAAACCCGTCGAACCTCTCCTTTAGAACCAGTTTTCACATGAATCTTCCCCATCTTCACTATTGCCTTTACGAAATCGGATTCGAACGATGGGCCAAGTAGTGGATTTAGCAACCCAATATAGGAATCCACTACCCGGCGGGTCATTGCATCCTCGTAGAGTCCCGCGTCAGTCTGAAGCACGGCAAAACCATCCTTTATATTCTGCAGAATCTGCTTGTCGAATATCCGTTCACTGAACCGGTCCATTGGAACCCGGGTGTTTATGTCACCGTTTTGTGGGCACCGAGTGGTTAGTTCGGGTAAGAATACCGGATTGATGGTCGGGTCGGGCTGGCCACCAGGTAAGAACTCGTAGAGGCGTTTAGTCATAAAAAAGCAGGCCGTTGTCCCGATAGTGTGAGCAGCTGATAAGGTACAAAATAATTTATTAGGACGAATGGAAAGTGGATCACTCAAGTGTTGAATGGTGCTGGTGATCTTGAGCTACTGTCAGTAGCCTACTGTATTAGACTTGTGCATGTTGATATTTTTTTTTGGGGGGTCACACGGAGATGACAATTTTACTGTCCCATAATTTGACACAAAATCCACTCGAAACTCGTAAGAGTGGCCCCATTATAAAATAATTATGACGGAATGCATTTTGGTCAGATAAGCTGCCTATATTTCTGCGCCACTCCAGATTTAATGGATAAGATGACAGAAAATCAAAACATTTCTTCCTAAAATATCCTTTAATCAATGCCTAACGTAAGTTGTTAAAATGCCTAAAATATAAAACTCACTCTGTTTTCTTTAAACAGATCATTTTTAAAGAAATATTTAGCAAAGTATAGGTAAAATGGGATCAACTGTTTGATTGAATTCACAAATTGTCATGAAAAAATTTTCTTAGCAAAAAAATAAAACTGCTGGCTTAGCTAGAAAAATCCCATAATTTTTTTGTGTAGATACAAGAAAAAAGGTGGTCTACGAGAATTTGGTAACGCACGGTAGGCCTAACGCACGGAAGGCTTAACGCACGGAGTAGTCACGTGGCATCAGCACGAAGAAAAGAAGAAACGGACAACACATGCGAAACACATCACGGGTGTAGGAAATGAGAACTCATATAACTTGGACTTCGTACCAAAAACCTCGAGAGATTCGAGACCACTAAACAAACATGAATGAGAGAGAAAAGAGAAGAAAGAGGGAGAGGGATACATACCACTGAGAAGGACGAGTTCTTTGGCGTTGAGACCTTTCTGCATGAACTTAGCCTTAAGTATCTCAATCGAGTCACTCACATCCGGCATGTCCTTAGCCAGCGACATGTTCGAAACCCGACCGTCTCTCCGCCCAGTTGGAACCTCATACGCCGGTCCATTCGCCTGTACGATGAATTGATCACAACGGAGAAGAAAATAGAGAAAGATCGAAAGGTTTTCTTTTCTCTTTCTTTTTGAATTTTATATTTTTTACCAAAGATATTGCATCACGTGCAGCCAAGGCAACAATGTCTGAGCACGAGACAACACCTGGGCATGCAGCTTCAAGCTCGGCTTTGGCGGTTTCTACTATCTCAAATCCTCTGACGCCTTCATGCCCGAATGCATTCTTTTCAGAGATTGCTCCGTTGTCCACGAGGATCGACCCGTCACATCCCTGCACGTGTGTGTTGTTGAATCTTCTGAAAAATGCAACAATAAGCAAAAAGAGGAGGAAAGTGCATCTTACCTCGACAAAGCAGTCATGGAAATGGAGCCGCAGAAGTATAGCCGGAAGGTTAGGGTCGGAAAGAGCAGCTCCAAAGACGACTCTTCTAACGATTGACTCGGCTTGAGGGCATGTACTGGAGTAAAAGCCGACTTTTAGATCAGCTAGAGAGACGCCAAGGAAAACCGTGACCAGAGACAACGCTAGACTACTATTAGTCTTTGTCCACACCATTTGTGCTTTTAGTGTATTCCAGTACTCAACAGAGAAGGATAATACAAAGGGAAAGAGAGTGTGACAGACAGATATATATATATATATATATATAGAGAGAGAGAGAGAGAGAGAGAGAGAGAGAGAGAGAGAGAGAGAGGGAGAGAGAGGTGAATAAGAGGGAAAGCCTCTTCATTAAGATAGCTATAAAGAAAGACATGTGTTTAACACTATTTGCATGTAAAATTGTCACCTAGCAAAAACACTTGATAAAAAACAAGACACAGTTAATATCAACAAGTACCAATGCCCGGGACATACCGGTGTCATATATACAGAGCAAAGTCATTGTGTATCAAACAAAGAGGAATTGTGCTCGTGATGGAAAAGACAATATTAAAACAAATCAAACCAAACCAAAGCAGATCAGCCCTTAGTTTTGTACTAACTCACAAAGATTGTAGCAGTTCAGGGTTCAAGTACACAGTTTTCCAGCTTTGGAAAGGAGACACCTAGTTGCATTCCGACAGTAATTAATGTCTCCAAGGACCTACCGCTGTTAGCTAAGAGATCTTCATCAATCTTCATCGAGTCCTGCAATTTATGTCACGTCAAAGGTAAGGTTGATGCAGATGCAAGCACTCATCTAGAAACGTATGATAGATATCACAAGATTTTGTAATTAAGTAACTCGATTATAAGGGTAGAGGAAGGGAAAGCATATAATTCAACCTTTCAGTCTTAATAGACTCAAAGATATTGAGTATTACATTGGTAAGAGTCTTAAGATCTTTTATATTTAGCATACAGATGAAAAACAAGTTAGAAGCTCACCTTTTCAAAGACGCAGATAACAGTGCTCCCGCCAAATGAAAAGTAACCAAGCTGGAAAAGGAGAATGATAATTTAGTAACCGCTTGCAAAAGAAACTATTACCTATTTTTCAATTTAGAAAGAATTGGGTTCACTATTGCTTACCTCGTCCCCTTTCTTCACATGGTCTCCCTCTTGTCTAACAAAGGTGATGCTACCAACCATTGTTGCTCCAATCGCAACAAATGCGACCTGTTACAGACAATAAAGCTCAGGCCAAGTTCCTTAATAAGATCAGTTTATAAATCACAGCAGCATTAAATTCATAGCAGAAAGCACAGGGACAATCGAGAAAAATAATTTTAGCAGACAGAGAAATAAAGATAGTGTATGACTTATAGGGGATGACAAACCTTTCCAAACTCTGCTGTTGATATAATTACGACGGTCCGTTTATTCTCAGTGAACACATTACAGTACTTGCTATTGACTGCAATCGGATTAACCTGAGAAGCAAGGTCGATTAATAAGGAAACATATAAGTCAGCTAAGAAATCACGGAAGAGAAGAATGAAACTATTCAACTTATAAAGACATACTGTATATAGGCTTCCAGGAACATCGACAAACTTTTCAATGACGCCAGAGACAGGAGAATGAAAGCGATGATAGTCCTGTAACAGATCAATAAACGCATAAAAGGAGGGAAAGGAGCGAACAAAACGACTGTGATAGTTATCGCTTTTTGGTCGAAAGACATGAAGCACAGTCTTGTCGCACCTGTGGAGCCAATCGGAATATCACCAAAGATCCATCAAGGAAAGCATCCGAATGCACATCCTTCCCAAGGAGGCCTTTAATTGAGAACTTCCGGCCCTATCAATATAAAAAAACAATTGAAAATTTTAGAATAGTGAGTAACATCTACGCAGTGTTGCAAGTATAGAGCTGCATCACTTATCTTAAGAGTTATTTTATTCTGCAGATGCCGAGCTTACAAAATACTATGTTGTAGCTACTCTAGAGGTTTTACCTTGATCCAGAACCGTGTGCTATCATCCACCGATTGAAATGCTATTAATCGACAGTCAGCAGCAGATACAGCAACATCATCCCGATCCATGCATGCAATTGGTCTTGCACCAGGCTTTAACTCCCGTATGAAGAATTCATTGAACGTCTGCAAGTGAAATGACCATCTTTCAAATCCATGAAAAGTACACTAGCTTACAGTTAATCAAATTATCAAGCCTTTTTCCTGTCCTCGATAAAATCAGCAAAGAGTTTAGCTTAAATTTACCTCATTATCACTTACATCTTTATTTTATACCTAGCCACAAACTAATATGCTTTTTTATACAAAGTCATACTGTGAATTGCCTTTGGTTAAGATCTCAAGTCCAAAAGCTAGCAACATTTTTTATTTTAATATCATGGTGAGAATCAAACCATGAATTGCCTTTTCATACCTTAAAATGGTCCAGAGGATACTTGACTTCGGCCATGTTTATTTGATCCTGCAACAAACAAATGATTCAGTTATAGGCATTCATGTAAACTTACAAAGGAGGCATACAGTTTAAAACCTAATGAATCTGGTGAAGCAATTCGAACCTAGCCATCGTTATAGATAAAGCATAAGATAGGACTGTCAACTGAGTAATTATCGTTTATCTGTTAATATTTAAGGAAGTTATTCTACGATATTCTGTGCTGTATAGCACTACATCAATATCACATTCCTCCAAGCCACAAGCCAAGTTGTGCCAGGCTTAAACTCAACAGCCGTTTTCACACATAATAACATAACAAAAGAGGATTCATACCTTGAAAAACTCGAGAAAGCTGGGTATATTTTGGGCAGATTCAACTGAGTTCATTTTCTTCCCTTGCTTTTCAGAAAGGTTCTGCAAAATCTCTTTTGCTCCTGCATTAAGTAGATAATCCAGAATAAAGACTTGTTTGCTTTGATACAGCGGCAAGAATGTGTAGCTTGTGGGCACAAAGTAAGCATTTATCAGAAAGGTACTACGGCCAGGTGTATTTAAGAGGTGAAGGAAACCTTGATCCATAAGATGGAGTCCAATTTTTGACTGGTAAATAGCTCTCATCGACATAACAATCTTTGAATCAATCAACTCTTCTACGAGCCTCTTAGTCTTCCGATCAATCACCTAAAGCAAATATCAAGTAAATGTAACCAGAAAAATTGATTGGAGGAATGTGAAAAAATCAGGCTTTCCCCAGGCCAGGTTTCCTGAAGTTTCAAGGATTGGCCTCCATAGTAGTTGTGTATCATGACATAAACCAAAGTGGTAGAGAGGAAATATACCACAATATGTGAAGCACTTGAACCAGTATTCAAACCAACGTCATAAGTTGATAGATGACTCCATTCACTTAGTTTGAACATCCATCTGACGAAATGTTAAAAACTTGAGTGCTGATCAAGCCAATAATATGTGAATTATATAGAATGGCTGATTAGAAACTAAAAAAAGTTGAGAATCCAAACCCATATGAAGCCTGCCTATCAGTCAAGAACCCTCCGGTCATTGTTTGATTACCAGTTCCTTCGTCAAAACAGAGAGTCATATGGATCATTGCGTTGAGCTTGTCAGAAAGTTGAAGAGCCTCACCACAGACCGGACAACTATTTATAATTGGCTCCCTGCAATAGACGCATGCAAATTACTGGGATTCAAGGAACTATAAATCAATACGTATAAACAGAGGATCTCAGCATTGGCAATGTATAGAATGTTATTACTGTTCCTGTTGAACGGCAAGAAGTGCAGCCAGCTCATCAATAGTAACAACACCATCTCCATTAAGATCAGCGGCTTTAAACAACTCTTCTTTCTGGTAAACAAGTCAGTGACAACATCAAAATGCCTCAGAAAAATGCGGCAATCTAGCATTGTCTATCAGAAAATGCTGAGGGGTACAACTTTTGTTACTTGAAATTTCAAACAAAAGATAGAGGTGACAAAGCTGCTGAAGATCAAACCTTGTTAGCAGCCACCAGATTCCCAAAAGCATTCATCAGATCAGAGAACTCTGAGAATGAGAGATGCCCATCTTCATTATAATCCTGCGCTTAGATGAAGGACTCAATCAATCAACTATAAAGGCTGCAGGACGCCGTAATATTTTATATAAAAACTGCTTGAGAAACAATTCAGCTCATAGTTTCGTAAATTTAAAGAAGTGTCCACCAAAATCAAAGGAAACAATGAAAATGAACGCAAAGGAATTTGATTATAGGCTGCAGGACGTAATCATAAGGAAATATCAAGAAAACTAAAATTGTAACATGCAAAGAGGATAACATCACAAAACTTCAGAAGACCAGAGTAGACGGAATGGAAGATTAAGTAAAGCATACCACTATGGACAAAATACGCTTTGCAAAACGTGTCTCAGTTTCAACAGGATCCTGCATATGTTAGCAATCAAACATCAAAAACCAGAAACCATTCCCATCGTTTTTTCTTAACCACTGTTTTAACACTAACATACTGCATACCTCAACAGAGCATGAAATGAACATGCTGCCAACAACATTAGAGGAGGCCGGGTCTAAAAGGTCAAATGACTTGCAGGTAGAGTCAGGTTCCTATAACACATTTTTACACAGAAAAAACAACAAAATGTCAGCAAAACAATTTTCTCATCGATTTATCATTCAAAGCAATCTAATCCATGCAGTCACAGATTCCCTCCCAGCCAATGGAAGACAAATGATAGAAAGCAACTTGCTGATACTTAAACCAGTCAGGCCTAACCCAGAGGAAGCACAGATACTCAAATGAAAAGAACGAAAAAGGTGGAAGAACCTAAACAGCTTTCATATGAAAAACCAAATTTAACTGCTGACCTGCACTACAAACTCAAGTAGATCAAGTTCACAATAACCGATGATATTGTTCTTCAAGAGCCTATTGGTCTGAATCAAGAAAAAAAAAATTAACCAATCAAAACTTAAAGTAGAAAATGCAAACTAAACGCCAAATATAGAAAGAAGAAAGTCAGCTGATAATCTCAGACCTCAAATACTGAGATCCTAGCCAGTGTTGGTCCATTTTTCTCAAGGAGGAGCTTCTTTTCCTAAATACAGAAAGAAAGAAACTCAAACCGATACTACGCAATTATTCAAAAGACGCTTGAGAAAACAGAAACCAGTAGTTTTCTTACCGAATTCCAAATCGGCTTATCAGTTCTGCAAAATCATCAAGGGAAAAGACAAGACGTCGTTGATAATTCTTGGAACTATATAACATTCAAAATAACTGACGAGGAATGCGAATAATTGTTGGTAACTTACGAATCTGAAGTTTCCGTACGGAATGTCTGTTCCCCGAAGGAAACACAGGCGAGCCACTTGTCCTTGAACT